ACTTGGCACAGTACTTGAGCTAGACTCAAAGCTTGAGCTGGACTCGATGCTTGAACTTGGCACAGTACTTGAGCTAGACTCAAAGCTTGAGCTAGACTCGATGCTTGAACTTGGCACAGTACTTGAGCTAGACTCAAAGCTTGAGCTGGACTCGATGCTTGAACTAGAATCAGTGCATGAGCTAGACTCAAAGCTTGAACTTGGAACAGTACTTGAGCTAGATTCGGATACATGACAAAATTCTGGATTATTGGCATATTCAATTATAGTAGCAGTTGCACCTGGTGTTGCCAATACAGTGGCATACGAGTTGCCTTCTCCACAGTACGCACTGTGGAGTGTGGTGGTTGGGATGGGAACTTGAACAACGATTGTCTTGGTATGGTCATACTTGGTATTGTATGACAATGTTGTAACAGCGGTAGTCAGTCCGTAATATGTTGTAGTTGTAAGAACAACTTCCTCACCATTTGAACCAGCTTGGTTGTTCATATATGCAGCCCATACAACTGACCTTGAATTATCAATTTGCTGTGGACTACCCGAACACTTGTATTTATTAGTAAACAGCGTAGATAATTGAACACCGGATGCAGCTTGGACAAGGCCATCAAGATATGGTCTATAACCGGCTGGTACATTGTTGTATTGAACTGTGAAGCTGTTTGGATTACAAGTTGTAGTATGCGTAAACGTGCTTGCAACTTGTGGATTAAACCAATCATTAAAAGCATTACTTATTGCCGCATGAACTGAAGCGCAATCTATTTGACCATTGCTGACACTCAATCCTAAAGTACCACTGGTATAGCCAGAGGGACAATTTCCTGCCAACAAGTACACCTGTTGCTTGTTCAAGGAAGGAACCACTCTGTTAGAATATACTATATTATTTGTGCTAATGCCCAGAGCAGCATTTATATAGGAGCCAGCTTGGAAATTTGCATTGATACTAAGTGCGGTGCTTCCATCGTAGAAGGTGACAGTGTTGTCACCGGCGTGGTAGCATGTTGAGTCTTGAAGGTCTACAGCCTCGGCAGAACCACCAACATTGAATGTGAATGGGAAACTAACTGAGCCAAAAGCGTTGGTGTTGGAGTTGACATTGTTTGTAGCGGTACACTGCAATTCTGAGTAAGCAACCACCAAATCACCTGGTGCAAAATTACAAGTAGCATAGACTGTGCTGCCTACAGCCAAGTTTATGCTACTTTGAGTTGTGGTGAATTTGAAAACGCATGGCATATGCAAGGTAAAGGTATCTCCAGCATGGACATTGGTTCCCAATATTTTCCATGATAATTTAGCAATCCAACTTGGAGCAGCAGGTGTTCTCAAAGGATAAGAAGCACCTGGAACCCATTCAAGACTATCAAAACTTTGAAATACATTGCCAACTTGCGCGGCCCCGGCAATTGCACAAATTGCAAGTGCTTGTACAAGTTGTAAGAGCATGGTATACAAAACTTGATTTTACTTGATCCTGAACAATTCCCAACTTCAAATTGAGGTTAAAGGATGGATAGTTTCCCAGGTATTTATACAACAGAAAGTGACTTTGATTTCTTACATCACAGGCGTCGATAGATAGTTAATTTGAGGTGAAAATTTGAAAAGATTGCAAAAACGGCACAAATTTTAAGTTGTCTGCCTGCTCCTGCAACACAGTTTTTCTTTTCTTTTCGATTATTTCACTTGATATGTATTATTCATTAATGTTAGTTTCCGGTTTGTTTTTGTTTTTGTCTTTGATATCGTTATCTTTAGTCACCTTGTTACTGAAAGAAATTACTGTTCGTTTGGATTGGACAGTTGTCGTCATCAATTCGTTACCATAATGTTGGATCTTGTAGTATAGGCAACCAAGGTATCCAACAGTACTTTAGTGGACCCATGCTCCCAAAAAACGAAGATGAAACATATTCACGCTCGATAGGGACACATGTACCCCTAAACTGGAACATTACTTTAAAAAAAAAACAAAAAACAGGAAAAAAAGTAGCACGTTGTAAAGCTGTCTTGATTGGTTTGGAGGCTTTGATCTACGTCAGAAGAACAGAAAATACACGGACGATAATCAACTCTCTATGATATTGGTAATTGCTACGGCTTTTTTTTGGAAAATCTTAACCACTTTTTTTCCACGAACTCATCATTAACTCCGCATATACCAGTATACCATTTCAGATTCAATATATTTCTTCCCTCTAGAAAATCTGCAAAAGGGTATCGGCAAAAGAAAAAACCTTTTTGTGTCGCATATTTAATTCTTTTTTTCTCGATTAGTGACGTAAATCTTCTTCTTTTTTCATTCGCCTCATTTCATCAAGGGTCTAAGGAATAAAGCAGAGAAAGTAAAAATAGAAAAAAATATATATATATTCACGTGACCGCGATTCGAAGATAAGATTCATTGTAGATAAAGAGACTGAACAAACTCGTCTACTCTTGACTTTTTCGGTTGCTGTCATGTGCAACTATTCGTATTATTGTTACCTGCGATGATTCTAAAATAGGGACAAATCGTCGTAAATGAAATATATTGGTTCTAACAGCATTACTCGACAAAAACAACAATTGTATGGACCCGCCTTAGACGACACATGAATCCCGTTAACCAGATCTCAGACCTACATAGATATTGTTATAGGGCAGAAAAAGCCAAATTCTCATCAACTTTGCATCAAGGACAAAGACACAAAAATAGTAGACGGGAGGGTTTTTTTTTTTTTTTTTCCTTCATCTCATGCGAAGTCGGGCAAACGAACAGCTATTAGAGTGGAAAAAAAAAAAACACCAATTTTTGGGAAATAACATAAAGGGTTCAATGATCATCCCTGTTGTAGGGGCAACATAACCATGAAAGGAAAAGATCTTCCCTTTTTGAGGGTCTCGATTCCCAACAGTAAGTATCCACCGTACAGAAAAAGGAAGACGTGCATTTGCTTAATCGAGAGCAGAGTTTTTTTTTTGCTTTTTTTTTTCTTTTTCTTTTTCAACGAGTTTGGTCACCACAGGCTCGAATTTGCATCCCAATTCCAATTATCAAGAAAATTACATTAAGAGACGATACAAATTTATTTTTCAAGTTCTGTGTCAATTTATATCATGGTTAACTACTTTCAGGAGGTTTGTAATTGGATCGCCATCACATGCTGCTCCATAACGTTGCTCAAACTTTCATATTTCAAAAGAAATGCTGTTTTTCTTTTTTTTTTTTGGAATTTGTTTTGTGGATTAACAGAATAGACGATGTGAATAAAGAAAACTCCGCAATTCAAATTGCCTCAAATTTGAAAATGAAATTGCACTTTAAGAAATCACCTGCAGTAGGTTTGAAATCAACCTAAACTTGACTTTCTTGTGGCTTTTGCTTGTTTGTACTAACACTGTTATAAGGAGAGATATATGAAAAAAAAAAAGAAGAATTTTGAAAATTTTTTTCAAAATTATTTTTTCTCAACCACGTCACCTTCAAATATCTTATCAGTAATTTCTTTCCATCTTTCTTTGCAGCTCTTACCCTAATTAAAATAATAGATCCCTTTTGAACGAGTTTGATGCCAAAAACAGTTGTCCTCGTTTTTGAACGAGTTTGATGTCAAAAACAATCTTCTCGGTTTTGAACGAATTTGGTGCCAAAAAAAAAAAAAAAATTGTTCTCGCTTTTCTCCATTAATGAAGACACCGCTAGAGTACTCAGCTCTTAAACTGTATATGCTTCCCATACACAGACAACGTGGTTTCAACAAAAGGAAACCCAAAGTTTGTAAGAGAGAGGGTCTTTCAACAACAAGATTTCCTTCAGTAATGTTTTCTACTTCATCATACTTTACTATATACTTTGTCATCGGGGGTCTACAAAGCTCAATTTAGGCTCGATGTGGAAAAAAAAAATTATGCTTATTACTCAACATCTAACAACTACACATCAAAAATTATCTATAAATGCCATAATCTCCGAAACCTCAATTAAGTATAAAAAAAAGGTTTTATTTCTATTGATAAAAATGATTAAAAAGATTTTTATATCCGCGCGCGCAAATAAATAGACATAGTGTTGTATCTGAATAGTATAATGCTGCTCCTATATCAGCAGATAAACCAGGTAGTGCAATGTGACGAAAAAGATTTTTTTTTTTTTAATTTTTTAATTTTTTAATTTTCTTTTTTGGCCATTTCTACAAAGGGAGAAATTTGAATAAAATTTTTCACTGATTAGATAACAGACCACTATACCACTCAATAATTTGTTTTGAATAACTTATCATTTGCTGACAAGTCACTATACACACTCAAATCCAAGTACTTGTATGGAGTACCGATAGATAACAGACAACTAATTTGGAAACAACTACAACAACTACTACAACTACAATAATAACCATATTCTTTCGTTTATAACTTTTAGAATACAATTGAATTCTTGGTTTAGTTTTTTAATTTTTGCTTCAACAAAAAAAGATCAACCTTACTTCCTTCCTTCCCCCCCCCCCCAACTTTCCCTTAACATCCTTCCTTTTAGATAACCTTCGTAAGACAAGACAAGATGGCCGATTTAGAAGTACAACTGCGTCCTCATCCACCAACCCAGTTGAAGAGTCCTCCAGCGAGTGCAACTACGTCAATATCCAGTTTATCAAACTTTGAAGGTAGAGCCAGTACACAGAAGGTTTTGAACGAACAAGCAGCTAATACTGGTCTGTCTATCAGGACCACTGGGAAATATCCTCCAAGTAACTCATTATCTCAGGAAACTAATGCTAGTATCAAGAATGAGCCTTTTTCTTCTTCTTCTTCTTCTTTTTCCAATACTGCTACTCCTTTGTTCAAGGCCAAATCGTCTGAAAACTCAGCAACTACTACTACCGCTCATAATTATCAACCAGATGAGGTTATATCACAAAGTTTACCTACACCTCCTTCAAAATCAAAAAGCGAAGAAGAATCTCCCTCAAATTCTGGTCCTGATCAACCAAATGTTAGAGAGACTACTCACATTAATAATGATGGTACTGCTACTTCAAAATCCAATATTTCAAGTCCAATTTGTCGTAATTGTAAAACCCAAACTACGCCTTTATGGAGAAGAGACGAAACGGGCCACGTTTTGTGCAATGCGTGTGGGTTGTTTTTGAAGTTGCATGGAAGACCAAGGCCTATTAGTTTGAAAACAGATACTATAAAATCAAGAAATAGAGTGAAGCAAGGTGCTAATGGACATGGACATGGAACTTCCTCGGGCAAACCTTCAACTGCCAACACTCCTGAGCCTAAATCGAGGGATTCGAAAAATGGCAAAAAGTCACCAAAAATCAAGAAACTCAAAAACGGAAGCACGAGCGATTTGACACCACTTTTACCAGCAACTGTAAATAGCACTCCCGCTGCTCTCAAGCATGCAGAGCCCACCTCCTCGCCTCTGACCACCACCACCACCACCACCTCCTCCTCGCAATTACAACCACAATCACAATCATCATTTTCAGGTCATTCACAATATAATGTCCACTCTCACCTCAATATTCCTAATCATGTATTGCAAGCTTATCAGGTACCATTACATTATCCTTCTTCCACCCCAACCCAGTTTGCACCTGGTTCAAGGAGAATCACTTCTCCATTGATGTTGTCCACAACGTCATCATCTGCGGTGAGAAATGAGCCCATCAGTGTAATTGATAATAACATAAGTTCTTTGCAAGCTGCTGCCGGAGTTTTAGAGAATTTGTCAAACGAGTTAGGTCCTAGTGCCACTTTCAATGCAACTTACGCATCGAAGAACACTAAAAGCAATGGTATTTCATTAATGAGAAAAAGCGATACAAAAAATGGTTCTAGTTCAAGCGGCAGCTCATCGATTTTCTCAAGTGTGACTCCACCAAATCTTCCTCGATTACCGGCATTGAACAAGAAGTCAACAGCGTTTTCTTCGGAAGTACACTCGAGGTCGGCAACTCCTTCATTGCCTCCGTTGCACGGAATGGCCTCTGGAGAATCATCTTTTACAAGTTTGAGTCAATTTCTGCACAGTGTGCATCCACAGCAATCACTGTTTGATCAACTGCGAAACTCAAGTGAGATACCAGCTAGCGGAGAAAATGGAAGTAATATAGCTGATAGTTCGAGGGAGAATTTAAATAATGTAGGTAATGATCAAAATAATAGTAACAACAGTAGCAGCCACAACAACAACAACAACAACAACAACAACAACAACAACAACAACAACAACAACAATAATAATAATAATAATAATAATAATGAAAGTAACAACAGCGGTGGTGATAGCAATAGCAACAATAATCAATCAGGATACAACTCATCTCACGAAATAACTATTTTAAAGACAAGAATCTCTGAATTAGAATTGGTTAATGATTTATACAGGACTAGAATCATGGAGTTAGAAGCTATGGAGCAAGCAGCCAGACTTCGAGAAAACTCAATGAGAAAGAGATTGGACGAAGTGATGAACTTACAAGCAAGTGTAATACTTCAGCATCAACAAGAGCAAAAGCCATCGCAGCTGAGGGAAAGTGAATTTGCAGGTAATAACTCAGCAGTAGCGGCAACAGGAGCAGCGCCAGCACTAATTTCATTGTCATCTTCACTGCAGTCAGGACATCCACAGGCTATCCATTATGGCGAACAAACCGATTTTCAGCATCAATCACCCGGCAGCTCTTCCAATTCATCACACAATATTTCGAATTCCGCAAAACCTAATGTCGTTGCACAGGAAAATCCTAATCCTCTGGTGACATCAATGGACTCGAGCTCGTCAAGTGGATTTGCTGTTCCAAAATCTCATTTTGGTCAAGGTCAAAGCGATTTTGTTGTCTTGCCACCTTTGAAAAGAGATCATGATGCTTCATTCACCCAGAGTGTAGAAAAGAAACCAAAGTTGAACTAATACAGTGGAGGGGTTTTGCTTGCAAAATGTTTTATATCTTTTTTTTCTTTATATTTATTTATTCAAGAAACGAACTAATGTGATGTAATATATATATATATATATATACTGTTTATTTGATTTCTTTCTTTTTATTTTTTTGTTTTTTTATTCCCCTCTTACTTTGATGTTTAATGTTTCTCAACTTTAAGTCCGTACATCAGGTTCATCTTTACCCAAAAATTCCTTGAACTTCAAAAAAGTCAATATGAACTCTACATCCTTTTTGAAAAACTCATCAGGAGTGTTTTGGTATTGTGATTTATCGTTTGAATGTTTTTCCAAATATAATCTTACTGTGGCACCCGATGAACCAGTACCCGACAATCTCACAATGAATCTTAAACCGCTTTCAAATTTGATGAACAAACCTTGGTTAGGGGAAACAGAACCGTCCAAATCAGTGTACGAGAAGTTGGCTGCCTCCTTAACAATGTATCCTGGCTTTAGTTCATCACCAGGTTTTGAAGTGTTAACTATACCTTGTAGCAATTCAATCAAATTGTTAGCACCTTCGCTTGAAACTTCTTCATAATCATACCTGGTAAAAAATGTTCTTCCATATTTATTCCAAAATGAATTTTGAACAATTTTGATCGATGTTTCAGAGTCTGGGTTCTTTGAATGGTAATCGGCCAAAACATTCAACCATGCAACAATGGCCCATAAACCATCCTTCTCTCTAATGTGGTTCGATCCAGTACCAAAACTCTCTTCACCACAAATACTCAATTTCTTAGCATCAAATAAGGAGCAGAAAAATTTCCAACCAGTTGGCACTTCGTAGCAATTTAAGTTTTTGTCCTTTGCAACCAAATCAATAGCTCCAGAGGTAGGCATAGACCTAGCTAAGCCGTAGATGCCTTGCTTCTTGAAATATGGAATAGCATCTGCATATTCGGAGATGATAGCGACTGAGTCACCAGGTGACACGAATGCGCCAGCTCCATAAATCATGTTTCTGTCTCCATCACCATCGGATGCTGCACCAAACGCAATTTGCTCCTTGTCAACTCTTTCAACTAAAGTATGAGCATATGTTAAATTTGGATCAGGGTGTAATCCGCCAAAATCTTCTAACGGCTTGTAATTCTGTATAGACGACTCCAGCAAGCCCAACTCTTCAACAAAAATTTTGTAACCATAAGGTCCAGTAACACCATTTAATGCATCAAACAACACTTTAAAGCCCAGATCTTTGGATTTGGACAAGAATGATTTGATTAAATCAAAGTCGAAAATATTCTTCAACATATCAACATAATCCTTTGTAGAGTCAATTACTTGCACTTCAATTGGACCAACCTTGCTTTCTCCAACTTTGCTAATGTCTACTTTTGGAAGATCCAAGATTTTGTAACTCTTTAACGTCTTGGAAATATCAAAGATTTTATTTGTCACCGATTCAGGCGCTGGACCTCCATTGCCCAAATTGTACTTGATCCCCAAGTCATTTTTTGGTCCTCCGGGATTATGACTTGCTGTTAAAATGATACCACCCGTGGCTTTATACTCCCGAATAACGTGGGAAGTAGCTGGTGTAGATAAGATACCATCTTGTCCCAAAATGAGTTTTTCAACGCCATTAGCAGCAGCAATTTTAATAATCAACTGGATAACTACATCATTATAGTATCTTCCATCTCCTCCAATGACCAACGTTGCTCCTTTTGCACCTTCGGGAATTGCATCTAAAATTGCTTGAATAAAGTTTTCTGTATAGTGCGGTTGCTTGAATATAGCAACTTTTTTTCTCAAACCAGAGGTTCCAGGCTTTTGATCTTGAAAAGGCGTGGTCTCCACTGTCTCTACCTTGAAGTCAGACATCTCAATTAACTTGTAAAATTGATTATACCAATTGTACCAAAATGTATCTCTCTCTTTCTCTCTCTCTCTCTCTCTCTTTCTCTCTTTGGTGTAAAAAAAAAATGTGCCAAATAGATTCTTTTTAAGTTAAACTTTTGAAAAATAAAGTTAAAAATATCAAACAGGAAAATTGAACAATTGTAACAGAAACTATAAAGGTTCTGGTATCACCGGTTTTTTATGCACACAATAAAAAAGAAAAAAAAAAAATGAGCGAAAACCTGGTGAGCTTCTTCAAAACTAAAGCCAATTGGCTTGAGAGCACTTTGTAGATTTTGACTTTACATATACTCGCTATCCACTGAACTTTCTCCACTATCTCGCTTTGCTCGATAGTGTCGAGATTTAACCTTTATAGGACCTATACGGAATTTGTTGACAATGGATAACAACAAATGTGGTCTTATAGTCCGTGGGGGGAAGAAATTCTTTAATTCTTTGTGTATTGCATTAGTGTGGGTTGCAGTTGTGCCTTATTTTTCACCCCATATAATTTTATTTTTTAATACAGACGCCCGCGATGGCGGAAAACAGCAAACCGCAATTTACCCCAAAGATATTTGATTTTTTTTCGCATCCACCATGGTGTACAAAATTAGCATATTCAAAAGTAGGAATGTAACTTGATAATGGTAAGTAGAAAGTGATGGAATTATCTCATTTTTACTATTACTACTCTTACTCTTTCAAAGATATGGGTTGTACCAGATAGATGTTAATTGTGTTGTACCAAAGAGATGTTAGAATAGTGTTATACCAAATAGTGTTGTACCAAATAGATGTTAATAGTGTAAATTTTGTAATTCAATAATATTTACCTCTACGGGAGCTAAATGTAACGAGTTTGTGAAAGTTAATATATATATATATGTGTGTTGAAATTTGTGTTTACGGAAAGTGGCCAATTCTAGGACCAAAGTATCCATCTGGAGCCTGCTCGGTAGCGTTTAGCCAGCCGGTCATTTGGGCATCTAACCCCTCGTACATAACCTCATTACCCCACCAATTTATATCCTTCAGATGATACTGAACGGCAAAGAAAATGATGATAGATGAAAAAGCAACACCTCCACCTAATCCAGTCGAAAGAAGATAATTGTACTTTTGCCACCATGCCTCATACTTATTCTTGATGTAGACCATAAATGCATACGAGACGTAAAGACCAGGGATGTAGTACGATAAGTTGTAAGGTGCAAAGCCAAGGAATCCACCAATAACAATACTTGGTTCAAAAGTCTTGAAATATTTCTTTGGTCCATATTTTTTGATTGCAATGCATGGGAATGCTAATAAGAACCCAATAAGGAAACACCATCTCAAAATTGGGTACAAATGATCAAATACTTTTTTTGGTCCAATAACACCCCACAAGACTGAGGCACTGTAGAAGGTACTAGTCGATGGACAGGTAAACTTTTGGGCATTGTCGGGGTCACAGTAATCTTTGATACCAGTAATTTGAAAGTTCAAAATACCCAATTGAACAAATGAAGCAATAAATATGCCTAGTATTTGGCATCTGAACAAAGCACGAGGTGGAAGCTTGGCATAGTGGCCTTGTTTCAAATCATTAACGAAATTTTCAGCTTGGCCGTCAATGTTGTAACCCAATGCCTTGATAAAGGACAATGCTAACCCATTACCGGGAATGGCATAACCTATAATCAACTCAACCAAAACATTCAAACCAAAAGAAAATCCAGTTCTTGCATAAACGGTTGTCAATGGAATCAAAAATATAAAGTTGAAACCTAAAGCAAAGAAAATACCCCAAACAGGAGTTTCTGCTGGATAGAGTTTCACACAAAGAATAGCCAACACAATTGAAATAACCAAGACAATCAAATATGCCCACTCCGGAACTTCAGGGTAAGCCCTCATCATTACACTGTGAGGATCATTAAAACCTTCATAAGTTGATCTATGATAATTTTTTACTGTTTTCCACATTGACTTAAAGGCACTAATCATTTGCTTGTATTGCAAACCAAATTCATAAACAAAGTGGAATGGATAAATTGCAAAGAAAGCACCGTATAGTACCAAATTAGCAGCGGTATAAAAAGGTGGACCAACCTTTTGATACTTTTCATTATCAAACAAACTATCTTTATTTACCACGGCCCTGACATTGTATTTCTTTCCAGTGTTGGTAAATAATCTATTAGAATTGATTGGGAGGTAGCCAGTCCATTTATAGTTTGAGTACCAAACACCAAGGATACAAAAGAATCCAAGAAACATACCCACAATATAATTTGCCTGATTGTAAAAGGGCACATTCAATGGAGAATTGAAACTGATCACATTCCAGTCAAAGGAGGTTATAGGATTCAAACCAAGACCACCAACAGAACCAGTGACCACAGCAAGATTCAAATTATTTGGTTTAATCCAGGTGAGCCAGTTAAACGTTGATAAGGCTTGGAACAAGTAATCTGGCACCCAAAACCATAAAAATGATAGTGCAAAGACAATAAAGAAAAAGTTGTAACCGGAGATTCTCCATCCATTTATGATTTCCTTCTTATTAGGGGTCAAAAGGGCTCTATTAAGACTTAAATTTGGAAGAATGGATGGCCACAAGGCTTGAACAGGATAAACAGCAAATTTACGCATGATCCCAGCTAAGCCTATTCCAAGAAAGTTGGTTGACAAGATCAACAACACCTGGTAGCCAAAATCAACCCATTTATTGTCATAAAACAATTCAGATTTTTGCATCAATATGTTAGAAGAAACGTATGAAGTACCACCTCCTGTAACAGAACAAAAAATTGTTGCAAGCATCTGTTCTTTCCAATTGTATGGACCAGGGTTCAAGTCAAATGTTTGTCCAAAGACCTTAAACTTCCATTTTGGTAAAATCCATTCCAATAATATACCACTTGGGTATAAGAAGACTTGAACAACAGACATAGCGAGAGTAATAGCAGGTTGTCTTTCAACGAAAAATTGATTAATGACTGCGCCAAGACCAGTCCAAACAATACCGATGATGTATACTCTTATGGTTTCCACATACATTGTAGGATCATCAAATGGGTATGTAACAGCTCTAACTTCTGGATACGGAGACCAGTATGCAATCAAAACGGCTTCTAACCTTACCTGCAAATCCCAGTCAACGATGCTTTCTTCATTTTTATGGTGATGGTGATGGTGATGCAGTATGGTCTCTTCTTCACTAACCTCTGAAAGTGTGGACACTTTAATGGTATTGTCTTTAGTCTTCAATTCGACGGACTCGCCTGAGCTTTTTTCACTAAATTGCTTTTCAGAGTAACTTACCAAATTTTTCCACAAAGTTAAAGTAGACTCTTTTATGTTGATATCTGAATCATGCTCTTCGATGGCCTCTTTTAGAATTTGTACAGCTTCTTCAGTGGTCATTTGCTCGATTTTTTCAAATATAAATGTACATTCAGGAGGCAAGTTTTCAAATGATGTCAAAGCATCAAAGTGCAATCTCTGTAATACAAAGCTCTTCTGAGCCTCTGTTAAAGTGGTGGCTACTTCACCAATCGATAGTGAATTAGAAAAAACAGCATCCAAGTTAACTACATGGTCAGCTACTGTCAAATGACTTCCCACACTTTGGATAGGATCAAAACCTTCTGTCTGGTCCTTTTCAACAGAACTCATGACAGTTGTTTGTGTTTGTATGTGTGTATGTGTGTATGTGTGTATCGATTAAAGAGAGATACAAAGTTTAGAGCAAATTCTTGAACGAAAATGTTGGACGTGGTCCCTATTATATATGTTTGGTCACACTAAATCAAAGCCTTTTTACCAAACGCTCTTTTAGAGATGATCATCCACATATTATTATCTTTTCTGAACGGCTCCAGTAGCACTTATTACAATCTAAAAAAGTGAAATAAGGTAAAAAAAACATTACATGAAACAAAGCATAGATAACAAAAAATGAAAATTGGCTTTTCAAAAACAAAGCCATTGTGATAAAATTGGTGCCAGTCTCCTCTATGTTACGGGTTTTGAGACAACAAAACTAAATACTGTTGTAAGGCGGGATGGAGTAGAATGGGTAGAGTGAAGGTGTAATTGAACTTGATGCATGACACCCAAATCGGAACAATTAATAATGAATATTGCAAAGAGTAGCACTCTCAAGCAAGAATTTGTTTTGCAGCAATTCACCTGACTATTAATTAATTTATTGAAGTTTTCATATGTCACAAAAAGAAATACGATATCAGTAAATATCTGTCAAAACACAAAATCTAGCCTATTAAATTTCTACTTTTTTTTCTTTTTCTATTTTTGTACTTTTTGACAGCACGGCAATCCTGCCTGAAGTTCTTTCTCCAAAATTAATGATAATCAAAACCTATTTTTATTGTTCCACAGATAATGATGCCACTTGATTCCACAGAAAAAAAAACGCATAAAAAAGGAAACCACACTTATCTTTCAACTGAAAATATACATTATTGATGAAAGGAAGTTGTCAAGGATGTGATTATAAACTGTGGTAGGTATATCTTTTCTATATCAAAGTATTTCTTTTGAATGGTAATGAATGTACAGGTATATCTCGAGATGTCTCTAGTCTAAAAGGGGAGGAAATATATCCAAAATGTTTATTCTACTCACACGCCATTAAAAAGTCATACTTATTTCAGTGATAACTTGAAGCGATATACTATAACCAAAATTTTGGTGCCATTCAGCCAAACGAGAAAAATAATAAAACAAAAAAAATAAAAATAAAAAAAAAAACGGTACAGGGTTCGCAACCGTTATCAATGTATTGTGAGGTTTATTATCAGTTCGTGATCACCGGATAAGCGAATTAACCCCACTCAAAACGCATCTAATGTAGTACAAATTTCAAGTTGAAAATCAATCTTCTATGCATATATATAGCGTGCTTATTGATAAAAAGTAAAAGGTTCTGCTTATTTAGTCAGTATAATCCCTCGATTTCCGTGGAGCCTGTAAATGAGTTAGTGAGTGAGCACGGTTCAGAAATGTAGTCAGTTTATAGAGCTTATTTAGACAGATGATGATATGCTAGACCTATTAATTGTATATTAAAAGGGTTTAACCGAAATGTGAAATTTGCTAGCTGTCCAATATCTTCCAATCTACTAGCCAAAAAAATCAATTTTGCTTCTCTGAAAACGAATTTGTCATACCACATGGATTGGCGTTCAAACTATATCTACTCAATTGGTATATACAAAAGCTTCTAAATCAAAACTTCACTATCGAGCAGCTCCACTTTGTAGCTTAATTATTTGTGTATAGAAGAGAGATGTAAACACCATCAATTTGTAATGAGAAAAAAATGGTTACTTGACTAGTTTGATTAACTAGTTTAATTGACTAGATTGAATATTCAGAATGCTCACTCATACAAAGACAAGTATGTTTTGTTATAGTATCCTAAACTTTGACTCGTAATCGTAATAGTGGTAACAGCGCTACCGGTTTCAAACGAATTTGAAAAAGAGGAAAGTATACCATCTCAACACACCGAAATTATCAACACTATCGAGCGAAGCGAGATAGTGGGGCACCACTGACTGCCCCCTACACTATCCACACTATCGAGCAGAGCGAGATAGTGAAGCAACACTGACTGCCACCGACACTATAATGTCGATAGTGTCCGTTACAGGTAGTGTGCTCCACTATCTCGCTTCGCTCGATAGTGTCGATAGTGTCGATAGTGTCCGCTACAGGTAATGTGCTCCACTAGTGATAAAACACAAACACTTTTACGCTAGAACATATAGTGAATATCGAATTTTAAAATTTTGAATTCTAGTGTCGAATTCAAGCATAGAAACCCACGCTATTCAACTAATCGAGGAGAGCTAGTCTCGCTCTGCTCGATTAGTCTCATCTAGTATCGAGTTTTAATAATACCCGGGTTTGATTGAAGAAAATTGCGAAAAAAATTTTTTTTATGAGAAAAACCTATTATGAATCACAGATTGAATTATTTTTATCATTAACCCTAAAAACATTTATTTTTATTACTCCCCTTATAAGACATTATAACTCTCAAGTGGCCAAAGTGTACTAATAGACATTACTCTATTGAGCTTGTTACTTTCTAATAAACATTACTCTATTGAACTTGTTACTTTCACCCCCGCTATTTAACTCGTTACTTTCACCCTCCGCTATTTAACTCGTTACTTTCACCCTCCGCTATTTAACTCGTTACTTTCACCCTCCGCTATTTAACTCGTTACTTTCACCCTCCGCTATTTAACTCGTTACTTTCACCCTCCGCTATTTAACTAGTCTCGCTCTGCTCGACTAGCTCTGCTCTGCTCGACGAGCTCTACTCGACTAGCTCTACTCGACTAGTCTCATCTAGTGTCGAGTTCTATAACACACGGGTTTGATTGTGAGGAAAAAAAGGTCTTTTATGAGAAAACAAAACCTAAAGGGAGATTGATTTATTTTTATCATTATACACATTACACGGGTTAACACTGTTTATTGTAAAACATTTATTTTGTTACCCAGACACCAACACTCTCAAGTGTAGCTCCTAATATACATTACTCTGCAGAACTAGTGAAAAAAAGTCTTGAGAGAAAAACCTACAAGCATAGAAACATCCACTCGATAGTGTTGTTATCAAGTGCTGTCCACTATCTTGCTTTGCTCGATAGTGTCAGATTCAACTAGTCTCGCTCTGCTCGACTAGTCAGACATTACTCTATTGAACTTGTTACTTTCCCCCTCTGCTCTATAGTGTCGAGTCTCTCTACTCTATAGTGTCGAGTCTCTCTGCTCGACTAGAGTAATTTTTTAACATGCCAAAAGAAAAGCAGTAGAACTCGTTAGTAAAAGTCAACCCACTAATAGAAACTAAAAAAAAAAAAACAAACAATAACAACAACAGAAAGACTGAGAGGGAGAGGGAGAAAAAAAAAAAATACCAATAGGTAAAGAGCCCGCTATACATCTTCCACTTCTCCATTTCAAAAGGAAGCCCTTAAACGGCTTGTCATCAATCGATTAAGTAAGCTTTTACACATTGGATCCTTATATTTATGTAAAACATCTTTACTATACAATTTCACTCACACACAAGCCAAAGAATTTTTTTTTGTTTTGTCATTAGTAGTTATTTGATTTTAAAGGCTAAATTAATTTTAATATTGAAAACTAACATTTTATTCAATCCAACTTGCAGTCATTCTTTTACATTGAATAGAAAAAAAAAAGAGAGGACACCATTATATCGTTGAGCTGTATTTCGGAAAGGTCACCATTGTATCATTGAGCTGTATTTCGGAAAGGTCACCATTGTATCGTTGAGCTGTATTTCGGAAAGGTCACCATTGTATCGTTGAGCTGTATTTCAGAAAGGTCACCATTGTATCATTGAGCTACATTTCAGAAAGGACACAATTGTATCATTGAGCTGTATTTCGGAAAGGTCACCATTGTATCGTTGAGCTACATTTCGGTATTGTTGTTTTTACCTTTATCCATCCTCCAACTATGGATCAGTTAGTTGGTTCTTCTCATGGACACCAAGTTCGTCGAGCGAATGCTAATATTTCTGAATCTAATGTCAATGTCATACCATCAACTTCAACTAATTCTAATACAAATCTTGTCCAAACCACAATGGATCAGCTGCAAACTCGGGTATGTGACTCACACTCAAATGCTCAGTATCTAGTTAAGACAGCGCCTCCACCTGAACGTAATTCCATAAGGAAACATTCAAGATCACGGTCTCAGAATTTCGACCAAATTAATTCGCCTAAACAACGAATATTTTACCCTTTGCACCATGATGGTCACAATCATCGTCTGATAAACTCACGTGGTATACCTTTTTCTATCCCGTCAACTGCACCACCACAATCCCCTAGACCACCAGCACCATCAATAACAACAGCAGCACCACCACCACCAACAGCAACAACATTGCATAACACTAGACAACTGCCAAACGCCTCAAGTCTGTCACTTGCATCAAGTCTGTCACTTGCAAAATTAAAACAATCAAATTGGGTATCTTTGATTCCGCCATTACCAGCCAGGCCAGACGGTCTGCTAATAGCTGAAAAAGGTAAACAACAGGCAACTAATGACGACGTGGGTAATGGTAATAATGTCGGTACTGGTGGTAGCACACAGCAGGTACTATCAAATGATGAATTTGATTTCAGATTGCGAGATCCATTCTCGGAGAAGAATTTAGGCAAAAATCGAAATCATCGCTCATCGGACTCGGACAAATATAAATCCAACCTTGATCCGTCACAGCGACATTCAATTGCAATATCCCCTACACCAGATAAAGGACTGTCGAAAACGGAAAATGAAAATGAAAATGAAAATGGTGGTGCTTTGAATCTAGATTTACTCGATTACAAAACAAACATTAATAACACTGTCTCCACCACGTCCCCGAAAAGAGAAGTTAAAAAGAAGGCTCGCAAAATTTGTGGAAAGTGTGGTCTTGAGATTACCGGTCAATTTGTCAGAGCACTTAAAAGTGCTTTTCATGTCCAATGTTTCACATGCCATGAATGTGGTGTACAATGTTCAGCCAAATTTTTCCCTCAAGAGATTGTAGAAAATGGAGTGTCAACCCAAGTTGCTTTGTGCGAATACGATTACTTTAAGAAGCTAGATTTGATTTGTTTCAATTGCAATAGTGCTTTGCGAGGACCATACATAACGGCTCTTGGAAACAAGTACCATTTGGAGCACTTCAAGTGTTCAGTTTGTCAACATGTATTTGACGCTGATGAAAGTTATTACGAACACGAAAATGATATATTCTGCCACTACCACTATTCAAAATTGTATGCATCTCATTGCGAAGGATGCCAATCTTCCATTGTCAAGCAATTTGTAGAGCTATTTCGCGGAGGAAGAAATCAACATTGGCATCCGGAATGTTTTATGGTTTATAAGTTTTGGAATGTTTGCATTACTGCTGACTCTGTGGGACTCCAGAAACTTCAAGGATGGTCTAATGAAAAGTTGACAAACTTGAGATTGATAAAGCTATCCGATAATTCAATCGACTCAAACAAACTTATAATGATGGAGCAGCACATTGAGCAAGTTGTCATGAGCTGTTGGCTAAGACTCTCTGGATACGAACAAGCAACTGCTGCATGTATCTCCGATATGCTCCTCAACGCTTGCACAGGAAATAAGTTCAATGGATTAATCGTAACAGGGAAATTGATTTTGAATGTGGAAGTTCTTTTCGAAGCTTTAGACCACGTTTTATATTTGTGCAAAAAATCACCTCCCACCATACAATCAAGCCCATCCAAAAGCGAGGACCAAGACACTCTGGACTCATCTACACTGGAGATTGAATACTTTCTGCAATTGAAAAAAGAGCCCAGAAATATAACCGGGAAAATAATGAGCTACTTGGCTATCCTTAGAAAGTCTGCAAGTATATCGAAATCAGGTACTTTGTCAGCCGAGCTATTATCGGTGATAACAGGCTGTGCTCATTACTTGAAGCTTTTGATAAGGATAGGCTTGGATAATGCATTAAAATTGAACAAATTGCATGGCAACATTGAAGCATTAGATGAGTTTTTGCATACTATAGTAAAACATGAAACATTGGGATTTCCAACAATTGAAAATAAAATACAGCTAGAGCAATTTGTTGAGAAACTCTCTGTACCACCAAACTCAACAGACGCTTGTACCAGCTGCAACAAGAGTGTCGAAAAAGCATGCATAAGGTTTTTGGATTACAGGTGGCATTTAAGATGTTTTGTATGCTCCCGATGTCAAAGGCATGTGGAGTTTGAGGCTCGGAGTTGTTCATTTGACGCTACTAAATGCGCCATTATTTGCCCCAAGTGCCATGACGGTAACGGAGCCTTGGGATTTGAAGAAGTGACAGATCTAAGTCAATTAGTGTATCTTTTAAAAATTGCACTACTGAGATCCAGATTAGTGATGGGAATCGATTTTGAAAGTCCACCACAGCAATCATCATCATCATCAATATCAACATCAGCAGCAGCAACATCAACATCAACATCAGCAGGAGCAACAGGAGGAGCTCACTCCTTTGATGATGAATCCAAAAAAGCAAAAGAACAATACGATCGTGCAACTTATGTACAAACTTTGGATGATGTCACTAGACTAAGAAGTAAACGCCAAAGCCAAAAATTGTCAAAATCAGTAAAGAAGAAAGCACGCAAATCGGTGATTATAACTGCGCCCGAAGCTGATCATGCTCAGGAAGAAGAAATTCAGTCACTGCTGAAAAGAGAAGAGTATGATGTAATACCGGAGATGGAGTCGTTGAAAGTACACACAAAGGAGGGAGAGCCTGTGCGTAAAGCGAGTGGTGCATCACAGCTCTCATTTGAGGCTGGAGAAGTCTTATCGGTTAAGAAGGAGCTTCGAATACGAGATGAACCACAGCGCCAACAAACGGCAGTCCATTTAGACCGAACATCCGATCTTTTGCGAAGTGAAAAGTCATTGACATTGGACGATATTCCAAGAATAGTTGCTGCTGAGCAAGCGCGTGATCAGCGACCTAATGCATTTAAACATCACAACAGACTTTATCAAAGAAGTGGATCTCATAAACTCAAAGCAGGAGGGCATAGTCCTGTTATGAGCACACCAAGTAGTGCGTTGCATCATATTTTGAACTCCTCCACGCAAACAAGCGAAGCTCCTTCTGAGAAGCAAAAATTTTATTCGGAACTTACCAAGCGTGAACATTTCATTATGCGGCATATTGCAATTGAAGCTTTATGTCAAATGAATAAGGAAAAGTACAACAAAGAAGAGCTTGCTTCTTGTATCCAGACTAAGAAGTCTCCTACCTTTTGGGAGAAGCTAAAATTTGGCGGTGCTGGAGCATCATCGAAAGAGAAATCTAGTGGTGCGTTTGGAGCGGAATTGAGTTTTTTGACGAAAAAGTTTGGTGTTGATTCTGATTTGGGCGTTGGCCCATCGAAACTCAGAATCCCTATAGTTGTTGATGATGTCATTAGTGCCTTGAAACAGAAGGATATGTCTGTTGAAGGTATATTCAGATTGAATGGAAATATTAAAAAATTGAGGGAATTGAGTGAAGAAATTAACAAGAATCCTTCAAAGTCCCCTGATTTCAGCTCGCAAAGCGCAGTTCAATTAGCAGCATTAATGAAGAAATGGCTACGCGAGCTTCCGATTCCTTTGCTTACATTCAACTTTTATGATTTGTGGATCTCGTCTCAAGAAGAAACTTCTGCGGAAAGCCGGAAACGAATTATTCAATTGGCTTATTGCTTACTTCCAAGAGACTATCGGAACTTACTTGAGGTGCTTCTATACTTTTTCAGTTGGGTTGCTTCGTTTGCAGAAGGCAATGAGGAGAATGGGTCCAAAATGGATACGCACAATCTAGCTACCGTGATTGCCCCTAATATCCTAGTATCACGACAATCTACTGGCCAAAATGAGCAAGGAGAAAACTATTTTTTGGCAATAGAAGTTGTTAACCAGCTAATAGAACAGCATGAAGAATTGAGCACAATTCCACCAGATCTTTTAAATGTTTATGAATTGGGTGGATTTGACTCAAGTGAGAAAGCCTTGTCGTCTAAAGAGATATTCGCTCAAATAGAGAGTCTTTATGGTGATAACTCTATGTAAAAGAAAGAAAAAAGAAAAAAGAAAAAAAAGTGAGGGGGAAAAGTATATGCATTTATGGGATTTCTATTTTGATTATGCACTTTCACCTTATTTGTATGTATGTATTTGTATTATGTGTGAGAATATAAAAATTTCAAAGTATTATTCTCTTCTCTTCTCAGTGTTCAAATTAGAAAAAAAAAAAAAAAAAAAAATAAAAGTTGAAGTTGAAGTAGATTAAAAGGTCATCGAGGCTAACATAATAAGCTCGGGTCTTTTTCTCTTTTCTTTCTTTTTTTTTTCTTCCTTTTCTAAACAAGAAACGGCCTAACTTTCTCTCTATTATCAGCGAAATATCCAGTTGTAATTTAGGCCAAGTAAGATTGTTGAAAAGACAATATTAGCTAGCTTACACCAAGACGTTTGAAAGCATATTATTGCTTCTTTGCTGGGGAAGAAAAATGGAAATAGAAAATTTGAAGGATATAATACGGCAGAGATTGGATGCTGATTTGGTTCTTGTTCAGGATATGTCTGGGGGATGTGGACAAGCCTTTGCCGTTGTTATTGTATCGAACAAGTTTAAAGGGAAGAACAAGCTAGCAAGGCACAGATTGGTGAATTCAGAATTGAAGGAGGAAATTGCTTCTATACATGCATTTACTCAAAAGACATTTACGCCAGAAGAGTACAAAGAATGCGAACAAAAATAAATAAAATATCTAAAATTAAGATTAGACGAAACAACTAACTAAACAAACAAACAAACATTTAAACAAACAAACAAACAACCTAGTAGCAGTTGTTGGAGACTGGGGTAGGTATGTAGGAGACGTAGTATTTCCATATACTGAAAAAAGCTTTACATGTTTGCCAAAAAAAAGGGGGATGGATAAATGATAGTATTATTTCTATGTAAACTCAGTTAAAGATGTCCTTATTTATTGTTTCTTGTTCTGCTCTCTCGCTTTTTGTCCAAGTTAATGAATATGTATGATTATCTTAGTGGCGATCCATAGCTTTCGTCTCAACCTCATAATACGGTTCGTTTATACTGCCCTTTGTATTTAACAAACACCATAATCCACAGGATAGCTAAAATCACAAACATGATGATGATGATAACAGGAAAAACTTTCAATCCTATATTCGACTGTGCTGCCAAGCCAATCAAGAATGGCACCCCTGCTGCTCCACCCCCGCCAAACGCGCAAATAAAACCAATTCCAAGAGATTGAAACCGAGCAGGAAGAATCGTCATGGCGGCAACTATCGTGGTAGGAAATATAGGACCAACAACCGCACCTGTGAAAAACACAGTAAGGAACATAACACTGTTCAATTGAGTTGCCAGGATGGCCCAAAATAAGAGATACCCGACCAAGGATAAAAGGATATATACGAGGTTTGCTACCAACTCAGAATCAAAGTAATGAGCAGTCACAAATCCAAAACCAATCCTGCCCAAAGTCAAACCCAACCAAAACACTGTTGCCATGTGCGAAGAGACAGTATATGCCCAATCTTTTACTCGAAGAAGGTATGTTACCAACCAAGCACCAAATGCAGCTTCTCCCCCAACATAGATAAATAAAATCAAAGCAAATCCCCAAATTAGGTGCATTCTTATTGCTTCTTGAAAAGAAGCATTATGTTCGATATCGTCCACTTTTGCAGATTCATCCAGGTTGAAGTCATCAAGTTCAAACGAATAATCATTCTGCTGCTTAGCCTCGAGATACCTAGCGCGTGAAACGTACTTGTATTTTTTAGGAGATTCAAAGCGAAACGTGTAGATAACCAAGACAAGTATTGCAGCTGCAACTGTGGCAAGGAGAATATAATAATTGTTCCACTTCCATGGGTTTTTTTCTCTTTCAAGCAAGTAAGTAATTAAACTCGGTGTGATTAAACTGCCTATCCCATAGCACCCATGAATGATGCCTAGTAACTGATTGGAATCTACCAAGTTAGCTGTCCATGCATTTAGCGACGCATCTAGCGATCCCAAGCCTGCTCCAGCAAAGAAATATGCAATCAAAAGCGCAGTCAAGGAGGGCTTCATGGACAAGACCAAGTAGGCCAGAGTCATCGATGTAAGTCCCATTACGGCTACTCCACCCACTCCAAAAAGCTGGTGTGTAAGATTATTGCATATGGCCATAATCAAGTAACCAGAAACACTCATTAGGAAAATAACTGCAATTTTACCATCATTAATGTGATAGTACTCTTGTAGCTCTGGGATTAGTGTGCCCACGGTCTGTTCTCCCAATCCAAATAAAATAAATACTAGGAATGAAGCAATCAATTGACATTTCAACAATGTAGAATATCTCCAATCATTGGTATCTATGAAAAGAATCTCACCTTCAAATTCAACTTTTTTATCGTGTATTATGCTGGAAGAAGAAGAAGAGGAGGAGGAGGAGGAGGAGGAGGAAGAAGAAAAAGTGCCTACAGTATTGAAACGACTCACTTGTTCTGAAGAACTAGCTGGTTTTTGATCATTTTCATAGGGCATTCCTTACCTTCTTCTCTTTTTACTTTTTACTTTTTCTTTTTCTTTTTCTTTTTCTTTTTCTTTTTCTTTTTCAAGAATGGACGAGAACGTTGAATTTTTCAAGTTGGGTTGATTCAAGTTAATAAGCCACAATATGGTATAGATATATGAGATCAGGGAGAGAACTGAACAAAACTTAACTTGTCACTGCAGAATCAGTAGTGCCTCTTATCCCTTTTTTAGTTTCTATTGTATTTTATCAATTTGAAGAGATAATAAATCCAAGTCTGGCAGAGATATAGGTATAGGATCTTTCATGTCAATCATTAGCTAAAAACATTAGCCACATTACTGCATTCTATTCTAAACAATTCTCGTAAAATCAAATAGTTAATCAAAAATGGAAGCGCTCTTGTGTTATAAAATTGGAAAAAGGGGTAAGTGAGAAATTGAATAGTGGAGATGTGCGGCATAGACGGTTACCCCCACCCGATAATCGGACCGTGTTCTAAATCCGATACTCCGGAAAAATGGAAAAAAGAAAAGTCTAAAAATCACAAAAGAAGGGAAGGAGTCAAGAGAAAGAGGAAGTGAAATAAAGGAAGGAGTGAAGAAGGAAGGAGTGAAATAAAGGAAGGAGTGAAGAAGGAAGAAGTAGAGAAGGAACCAGTGAAGAAGGAAGAAGTAGAGAAGGAACGAGTGAAGAAGGAACGAGTGAAATAAAGGGAAAAAGTGAGGACATTCTGGTAGACGGTTATATAGTATAAATTTTATAAGTAGAGAAGGAACGAGTGAAGAAGGAACGAGTCAAATAAAGGGAAAAAGTGAGGACATTCTGGTAGACGGTTATATAGTATAAATTTTATAAGTAGAGAAGGAACGAGTGAAGAAGGAACGAGTCAAATAAAGGGAAAAAGTGAGGACATTCTGGTAGACGGTTATATAGTATAAATTTTATAAGTAGAGAAGGAACGAGTGAAGAAGGAACGAGTCAAATAAAGGGAAAAAGTGAGGACATTCTGGTAGACGGTTATATAGTATAAATTTTATAAGTAGAGAAGGAACGAGTGAAGAAGGAACGAGTCAAATAAAGGGAAAAAGTGAGGACATTCTGGTAGACGGTTATATAGTATAAATTTTATGAGTTCCCAGTTGAAAGATTCACATTTGTTCAAACCAATTACAATAGGGGATGGTATTCATTTGAAGCACCGAGTTGTACATGCGCCCACTTCAAGATCAAGGTCTACATGTGATGGTGAAAACTTCCCGACAGATTTGATGCTTGATTACTATGATTCCAGGTCTAAAGAAGAAGGGACATTTCTTGTTTTTGAGTCATGTTTGGTGTCACCGAGGAGCGGATTAGTTCCATACAAGTCAGGAACATGGTCGGTACAACAGTGTCAAGCGTTGAAGAAGATTACTGATAAGATCCATAACAACAAATCCTTTGTCTCGTGTCAGATTTTTGCCCCAGGTCGAGTATCCAACATTCAAGTTTTAAAAGAAAAAGGAATTTTGTATTTGGCTCCTTCTGTAATTTACCATTCCCAAGCTCAAGAAGACGAGGCTAAGCAACTAGAATATCCATTACAGGAGTTGGGTATTGACCAAATCAAACAAATTCAAGACGACTTTGTTGATGCGGCTGTCAACTGTTTGGAGATTGCAAACTTTGATTTAGTAGAACTACATGGAAGCTCAGGTTTTTTGATTGAACAATTCCTTTCGCCAACTTCAAATAAAAGAAACGACCAATATGGAGGTTCTATTGAGAACAGATGCAGATTTTTGATTGAGATTATTGAAAAATTGGTTGAAAAGGTCGGAAGCTCAAAAATTGGCATTAGACTCAGTGCATGGTCTAAACACTTTGGAATGAATTATAGTGATTTAATGGATGAAAAGTTTCCGCCCTTAGTATTCTGCCAATATATTCTTGACTACTTAGAGAACTTGAAGCAGCAAGGGAAGGAAATAGCCTACGTATCTCTTGCTGAACCAAGAGTTTCGGGATCATCAGATCAAGACCCTTTAGATAACACAAATGATTCGTTGATTTCTAAATGGAGCGGTATATTGATCAGGGCTGGCGGATACGCTACCAACTATAAGCTGGCGATTAACAGTGCTTCGCCGCCATGGCAACTCAAGAAAGACGTAGATCAAGACAACAGAACATTAATTGCATTTTCAAGGCCATTCACATCAAACCCAGACCTTGTAAACAGATTGAGAAACAATCTCAAATTGGATTTGTACGAGAGGAAATTCTTTTATACTCATCAATTGGAAGGTTACTTGACATTCGGGGATTACGTGAATGACAAAGTTGGCTCAAACACATTGCCAATACCTTCAAACGAAAGGCAGAGAGAAGGTGTTTCACTCGCGTGAGTTATTTTATAGACGTGTATCATCTTTCATCTTTCATCTTTCATTGAATAAAGAACGCGAGGGTTGGAAAAAAAAAAACATTAATAAATAAAATGTCAATTTGAATTCTCTTGTTCTATATAACTTTGAAATCATCTTCTTACTGTTTCATTAACTAGAAGGTTTATTAAACTACATGTCTTCAGGAAGACTGCAAGCTGACAAGATACCCAAAGTTCCACCAGAACTACGACATTGAGGCATTAAGATGAATATATCTGACTCCGAAGATGAAATTCTGGTGGACTATGCTATGATTTCAAATAATAAATTGAAAGAGCGACTATCAAAGTTTCTGCCTACCAGACGCAAAGAGGTCGAAGAAAGAGTCAGTAAAGAGCTTGGATTCAATACGCAAGAAGACTTTTGGAACAAACTTGTTGATGGAAACGGAAATGGAAACGGAAACGCAAATGGTAGTGAAGGTGGCAATACCACTACCACTGCAACTAGTAATATCCCCGATACAGAATTCATCGAGGAGGAAAACAAAAATCACTTAAATGCTTACATCAATTGTATGAGCACGCGAAGAAATCTAAGGAGACGAAACTTTGCCAGCACTCATCCCTATTTATCTGATCAAGCTTACTACTTGGGTCTTTCAAACATTGATTACCTTAATGAGCTATACGAAGAGAATGATCACGACATAGAAGCTATAGTAAAACTCCTAAACTACAATTATATTACCCTAAAAAAGAAATATCCCAAGGATGAAAAGTATAAGCAAAAGAGTTTTTTTTCCATTTTAGGCATGCAGACCAAATCGAGTGGAAACGACAAAGATGAAAGTAATACTTTTTCAGAAGAGACCAAGGATTTGCACTACGAGCAGCCTGCGCTAGATAATGATGAATTTACACCGTCTAGTCTCTCAACAAGTCAAGTAGTAGATTATTCGGACGTGGATATGAATAAAAGCGAAGGTGAAAGCGAAAGTGATGATGATGATGATGATGATGATGATGATGATGAAGAAGAAGAAGAAGATGATGATAAGGAGGAGGGGGAGGTATATGTTCGAGTTGGAGGTCGGTACAAGAAGGAAAAATTCGCGTTGAAGGGGGTTTTACCTGAGTCTGCAAAACATCTACCAATTTATAAACCTTTGAGAAGGACCAAAATAGCCAGAGAGAAACCAGAGAAGCGGAAAGGTTTAGCCATTAAGAAAAAGCATCGTACCAGAAATTTCAACCCCAGAGATTTCGATACAGATTTTGTGGATGATACAGTTGTAGAATATGAATGGCCTAGTGTTGTTGGACCTGTGGTTTCAAATGACGAAGCTCTGTCTGCAATCGAGCAACCGGGTTCCAAGGCTTCATTGCAATTGTCCGTTTCGTATTCAGACAGTTGCTCCCTATCAAGTGCCGAATCCGACCTTTTTGAATCGGACATTGAGTCAAGACCCAACACTTTTCCTGTTGAAGAGGATACATTATCGGAAGCAGAAGAGGAGGACAAAATTGACCGAATGTTGGTGGTGGAGGAAAGACGTACACAAAAGGAAAACTCTATCAAGAGTCGACGACGTCCTTCTAATCGTAAGCATCATCTGGCGGCACGATCCGATTCGAAATATAAAAGAGTCACTAATCGTGAAAAGAAACAGTCCCAAATAGTCACAAAAACGAAACGTCGACCGGGAAACTCTAACCGCAGAACTTATTCGACTCGTGATACTTATAGACAGCTCGAGTTAAAAACCATTAGACCCCGTACAAAAAATGTTGAAAATAAGAAAAAAAGGCAAAAAATTGCCACACACACCAACAAACCAGTTTATTGGAAGACACTTGAGCACAATGCAGCATGGAATAGATGTCCAGAATTATTTACCACAGTTTTTGAAGCAGAGGGTGAGAATGTAAACACGACTCACGAACTAAAGAGAAGGTTGATACAACCTCTGTTTTTTGGTACCACTTCACAACCCATATTTGATTATGGATGTATGATAAATGATATAAAATTGACGGAGCTAAGGCACTCGGACAGTGGAAAGACTTTTCACTCCTTTCGAGATCCTGTTTATTTGAAACTTACCAATTGCACCTTGACATTGTCATTATTAAACATAGCCGAAGCACACAAGCTGATTGAGCTAGCTTTGCTTCATTGGGCAAAGAGTATTAAAACAGGTAAAGAGGAAGTGACGGAGAATATGGAAGAAGTGGAAGAGGAGGAGAAGGAGAAGAGGAGGAGGAAACACAGGAACGAAACTTTATACGATTTCTTGCGTGGCTTAGTTTCGTGGTATTTGGTTCTGCAGCAGCCTCCTTCTCCACGTGAATGGGCTTTGTTTCACATTATTGTCACAGCGTTTTTAAATGACGATATTGGTACTCATGAAGGCTTCTATTACATGCCGTATTTAGCGCTCCTCCAGTACACTATGACAATTATTTCAAAAATGAATGGCGAGAGTTGCGACACCTACCCTATTCTACTGCAAATGGGCTCTTGGTATTGGCAACAATTTTTCTCTTCTTTCAGTGAAGACCGCTTTGAAAAAATGAACTTTGCAGTTGGTTGTACATCTCAGAGAGCCGAGTCCTTTTACATTATGTGTATCATATTGCAACTAAACAATCTTTGGTTTCTGTCTATGATTGATGCGTTAGAGGATACGCGTTACGCTGATGTGGGAAGTTTATTGGACGCCGTGTTTCATGCGTGTCGAATTACAAAAAAAGGTCACAATTGGGAACCATTACAGCTCGTATTCCAGAAGATTGAAAAAACAAGCAATCTGTCTTTGTACTGCCAATACATTGAGATAATTTACAGGATAAATAGAGAACGCGGCTGGCCTGTGAATGAGAAGATTATTCTACAAATCTATCGCAATGTGTCTTTGAGAAAATTTGCCAATTTTGAAGATGAACAAAATATTTTACCAGAATTGTTTGATCACATACGGTCTACGGCCGACATACCCGCATGTTCATTTTTTGATTGTTTTATGCAGTTATTGAGTTCCTATATATCTGGCTTGTCGGATGTCACACACTTGAAAAGATTGGTTATCAAGTTATTTTCATCCAACGAAGTGCAATACACAAACTCGCGGCAAGCCCACAATAGGTTTATCAACAAATTCAATCTCATTATTCTACTTTGCCTGATTACAGCTGTTGATTTGAGAAACCAAATCGATAATTTGATGCAGCTGATTGCTGATGTAGATGATTTTGGTTTTATCAAACTGGCAGCAAAAGCTATGCTTATTGTGCTCAAAATAACATTTTCCAAACTGATGAAAGTTCCAAGGTCGGCCATGGAGTTTTTGATTCGAAAAGTGAATCTGATGTTTTACACAAAATCCGGAGTCAAAAAGCTATGGAAGTTTTTAATAAAGAGTATTCGAGCGGTAGTTGATAAAAACAAGACTGTAGCACTAATACAGCTACTTCCATTGGTGAAACAGGTGAATTTGGATGATATGGAACCCGTTTGCTGTGCCGATACCATGGAGTTGTGCTGTCAGATATTGCAAGTATTGGCAAGAGAGAAACTTTCGGTTCAATCACATGCACCCTACGTAGATGTCGTCAAGAGTTGCAGTGAATATCAGCTTGATATTTTAAGTGCTAGCATGAGGAAGCTATCAGCAAGAGGTACTATTAGAACCAACAAGAGATTCATTGAACACTGCATAAACTTTTGGGTGACATCGTCATTTATCATTGATGCAAATTGGGACAAATTGATACTACAGACTTTTCGATATATTGGAAACGAAGAAACGCGAGAAAAGTTTGAATATTTCTTTTATTCTCAAATCTTAAAATATTATGACATGCGAGATTATGAAGAGAATATAGCAAAAGGTGTGATAAGAAGCTTATCGCTGTTCACTATTCCGGAATATCTCACAAGCTTGCTCTCCCTGTTGAGCAAAGCAAGGTGGCGACTATTTTCGTTTCGCGAGCCCGGGTGGTTTTCTCATCTTGACTCGGGGTCGAGGTATAATGTCTTGATTAAAATTATCGGAAATTACTCAAAGTACTATAGTGCGGAAAAAGCAGGTGTACTTTTACATGAGATGTTACAAACAATCAAGTTGCAACTAACAATTCACATTTCGTCCCTTTGGTATAAGGAATTCTGTATACAAATTATAAAGGAATTACCGAAATATGACGTGGGTCGAAAAATGGATTCGGTGACAACAAATGATGTGGTTTCGATTTTAGGGTTAAAAGCAGAGGAAGTGAATCAAATCAATTTGAATAGGTTGACCGTTGAACAGAAAGTTACTAGAGCTCAAATGGAGTTGGCAAGCAACGTGAATTTTAAGGACAACAGCCTGAATCCGTTTTGTGGTTCTATGGATCTTAATGTCTTGTATTCCCTTATGCTCTGCTATACATCACTGGACTTTATTGGAAGTTTGGAGTGGAGGACTGTTTTTTTAATTATTCAAGTCTTTGTAGATAATTGTCTATCTATGCTGTGGGACTATACCAACGAGATGTTTATGGGTTTTTTGAAATTGGTACAAAAGACGTTGTTCATGGGTCGCGACATAAGACAAGATGAAGCGCTCATTTACTATAAGAAGATTCTTCTTACTACATATGTCTTCATTTGTTGGTGTGCTGAGATTTTATTTGAAGGATATGAAACACCTACATTTTTTCATGAGTTAAAAGCTATAATGTTTGATTGCGCACAATCAATTGTCAACCTAAGAGGAAAGTTCAACTTTGGGATCGGCTATACTGTTAGCCAATTGATAGAGGCAACAGATCAGACAGAAACGGGATCTGAGGTATATGATTTTGACTCAGAAGTGAATCAATTGGATATAGACCAAAGTTCTTACTGTCTTGATTTCGATTTTCGATTTTGAAAAATAAAAATAAAAAAAAAAAAAGCACATACATATTTACACATACACGCAAGCACGCATATTTTATTACTGTAATTCACGTTGACTTTTGATCAAAGCGATTTCTGATTCAAGTTTATCTTTAGCCTTTTTCACTTCCAATAAAGTAACAACAGCTCTTAATAATTCGTCGTACTTTGCTATAGTCTTTCTGGTAGGCATGATTGGTTTCATCGCGATACCACCTGCTGTCGGTATATCCAACTCCTGTAATAGTGCACTCACCAGTTTTAGTACCGACTGTTTTTGCTGCAATCCGGACATTTTCTGCTGTGATCGCAACGATACTCCTGGGACAAGCTTCCCTACGCCGTGGTAGTATAAACCGTACGCTTCTTCTTCTTTCTGAGTAAGCTTTTTCAACAAAAGTTCGTGAATTGCATTGGCTTCATGTTTCACTGCTGAGCTTGTATGGTAATTCTGTTTCAATAAGCTTGACAAGTACTGTTGTAACTGTGTTTGGAATGTCTTGTCTCTTTTAAATGACGATGATGCAGCAAGTGGAATAACGGGAGGAACTGGCTCCTGCGCAGTATTCTTTTGCAATTGCTGTTTCTTTTTCTGATGTTTGTCATAAAGCATTAGGTTATTGTAGAGGTTGGTAATGCCTTGAGAAGATTGATATTGTGCAACATTATGTGTCGATTGTGGTGAATCCAATAAAGCAAGCAAATTAGATCTTTCCATTAACATCTTCTTTGCTGCAAGCTCAAACCTCCTAGCCTCAATCACGAGCGACTCTTCTTCGGCAATTTCTGCTGGTGTTCGAAGTAAAAGATTCTCAAGGTATTGTTTTCGTTCCACTTCTTTTTCTTTTGAGTAGGCCTTTAACGATTCTATAAGAGTAGGATTGCTAGAGTCTTGTGTCTCCAAAATCTTTGCACAAACCTTGTAAAAATGGTCCTTGAGATCCTCAGTTGTACGTTCGCTGGAGGGAAAACGGTCATGTATCACTGGCCATTTAAGTTCAAACGTTCGACATAGATCAAAGAGTGTTTTTGTTTCCTCATATGTCCATTTTCTTGCTTCTTTTGGTAGTTTACTGTTGGGTTGATCTGGCTTGTTCTCATTTGGCGGTGATGATTCGCCAGAATCTTTGGATTGCGTTTGTGCTACCGTCTCATTGCTGCTTGTGACATGGTCACTTGTGTCAATGGGGCCAGTATTATTGTTGTTGTTGTTGTTGTTGTTGTTGTTGTTGCTACTACTACTACTACCACTACTTCTACTATTACTACTACTATTCGTGCTGCTCGTAGTGTTGTTTGGCTCTAACAGTTTCATTATATCATCGTAGGCTGTTTCATCAACAAAGCGAGGTATATCAACTTCAACGTTAAATTTTTCGAAATAATATGACTTGAGAATTTCTTCTTCCAGGTTAAGTAAATTCTCTGAACCTTTTACCCAATGATATAGCTGTATTCCGCCTTTTTTAGTAGGCTCAAAAGCAAGTCTTGTCCATGGACTTGGCCTAAAACTCTTTCTTTCTTTTGTATTTTGCACTGGAGCCAAGTTAAGTGGTGGCGTGTTTGGTCCTACTAAATTGTATAGTTCCCTTGCCATACCAGTTAATGGTTTCTGGGAACTATCTACTGCAGGAGACGACAATTTTTGTCTCTTTTTAACGGGATTATGTTCATCTCGTTGAATGTTTAGCACGTCTAAAATGTCTTCGGTTGACATCTGAAAATAGATAAAAAGTAAAAAGCCCCTATGTCCCCTATGTAATGAAGAAACACTTCTTTCCGGTATATCTTTAGGATGTTTTTTATATTTTTCAAAAAATTCTCACTCGGAAAAAAAAATCGCGATAGTTTTTTAATTATCATACATATAGTTAGAAAGAGAGATAGAAAGAGAGATAGAAAGAGAGATAGAAAGAGAGATAGAAAGAGAGATAGAGAGAGATAGAGAGAGATAGAAAGATAGAGCTCTTGACTAAAACCCGTGTGTATGGCCATATTTTGGGTTTTTTTGGGTTTTTTTTTGTACCAGTAATCTTTTTTTTCACGCTATATAATGATATAGATTTCTATCTTCGACGTCCCTTTGTAAATATTCTTTGTCAATCAAGTCTTCAATCCTTTGTTTTATCAGCATTATCGAGGGCTGAAATCGATTATTCAACTGTCTAACCAAACCTTCCACTAGCTCATTGTGTTTTACTGACCGCCTTGATTTCAAAATCCGAACAATTGCAGCATTGAGTTCGATTTTTCTTGCTTCTAATATGTGCGCATTCACTTCATCCAACTCTGCTTCCGCATTGGTCTTTTTGGTCTTGGTACTGGATACAGATGACGACATAGATACAGTTAAAACCTTGACCTTGGTAGTGGGTGCTTTAAACTTGTCATTCAACTTGAAAACATCGTTCTCATTTATATCTTTCGACATGGGGACTTTGACTAATAATCTCAGTTTGGGAGCCACTGCTATCGATTGCAAATGTCGTTTCAATTCTTGCTCGGGTATACCTGTCAATTCAAAAATTTCTGTATATGAGTATTGCCTATTTTCAGAAAAGGGCAGCGGCGTTTCCTCACCATCCAAAGACAGACTAGGTGCAAACAAAAGCATGATTATCGCCGCAAATACAGACATATTGATATCATAGGTTCTGGAAGGGTAAGAAATCCTCATATCAACCGAACCATACTTTGGGGACCAATACAATGATTTGTTGTCGTTGTTCTTCCCCGCTAACCAAAACTCTTCAAACTCCAAGATAGTTTCTCGCAACTGTCTGGGCCATACAAAGGATGCGCCATCTTCTCTGGGAACAAAATTCTTGTAGTCCTTAGTCAATGAATTGGGCCACAGTGCAACATTGCAGATTTTTAAATCCAATTCTACTAAATTGGACTTACTCATGTCAGGTTTTGTCAAATGCTTCTTCCATTCTTTGGTCGTGTCTATTGAGATTTTGATGTCTTTGCTCATTTTGATAACCTTGTCTAGCGAAGTGTTTCCCATTTCCTCACACAATTTTGATAATACCTGTTCTTCAATGTCCATTCCTTTGAAAGTGCTTCCAGATCCGGAGTTTTTGGAATTTAAAAATCTCTTGGCAAAGTGATTGGCATAGTATGCTTCAAAGGCATCTTTATCCTTGATGAACCTAAGAAGTTGTATAGAGTTGGTGATCAAGTTCTCAACTTCATCACCTGGTTGTGTATTTAGTTCACTACTAATTGATCCTTTACCTATTTGCTTGATGTTGTAATCCATGTAGATAGACAATAATTCTGGAGCATTTATACTGGAATTACTGGAACCTGTCCTCTTATTGTAGTTGTTATTGCTGCTGCTGCTGTTGTTGTTGTTGTTGTTGATGATATCCCTCAAAGAATATGCTAACGTCAGTTCAATTGTCAAGTCCAGGTCAAAAGACTGATTCCACATATCCATCATCTGCTTCTTATACTTCAAAATCAGTTCTACCCATTTTGTTGCAAATGATACTGTGCTTGCTACACTAGTCTTTTTTTGTGAGCTTGCTGATTCCAACGAGTTTCTCGCCCATTCAGGAATTGAACTTCCCTGTGATACAAGAGCTTCCTTTAGTCGAAGTCTCAAAATCTGGTATTCCTCATCAATTCTTCCAACTAAATTGTATAACATTTTCAAGTCCGCAATGTGGTGAGTTTCATTACTACTGGTGTTGTCGCGAAAGACATTTGACAATAACGGATTGAGCCAGTACTCCATTCCTTCAGTAGGAGAGAGGATTACTTGATCTATTTTATCCTTGATTAGGATATTATTCATAAGATTTGTTACCTTTGGATGTGAACTTTGGGGTAGATATAGCTTCATTCTATTTTCTTCTTCCTTGATAAACTGCGAAGCAGCATGTAAATATTTGGATCCCAGATTTAACAATACAAAAGATTTTGCCAAATTTTGAAAGTATTGCTCTGAACTTGACAAGAATGCCGGCTCAAATATAGTTTGGTAGTAATTTTCACCATAGTGCACTTCTGAGGAAACGTTAGTTTCAGCTAACAGCTCCATCATATGCATCAATTTTGTTATATACATATTCGTAGTGACCGCTACTCCATCCCTACTTTTCAAAATCTCATTTAGAATGATCAGCATCATTCTTGAGCCAATCTCATTGTCATTGTACATTATTACATTGTCTTTGAACAACTGCACACCAAGATCATAAATAAGGAGCCTCTTGTGCTCTTTTACATACACCCGGTTCAAGTACATTAGCACATCCCCTATAAACTTCATGCTCTGTAGATGCTCATCCCATTCGCGTATAAGCGACTGAATAAATGTTTCAGGGTTGTCTGTCATCGCTAATAGCATTGCTCTCTGAGCTAATAAATGCTCGGTAACAGAGTTTGCCACATTATCATATAATTTTTCACCAAACTTTCGTATCACCAAAACATAGGCCTTGCGGTAAAGTTGTTCATATGACAAGTTTGAAACATTCTTGTTTTGTATTTGCGAAATGGCATTTTGTAAAACTGCCCAGTTTTTCTCAAAATCAACAGATCCGTCGGCGCTACTTGAATCAGAATACGATGAACTGATTAAAGATTTCCGTGGAGGTCTAATCTTAGACCTTCTACCTCCTGCTGGCGTCATTTTCTGCTTTGATATATAGTCATGAATGGCCTCGGCTCTATACTAAATGTGCGCATATATACTAAACTATAAAGTTAATTCGCACAGTTTTTTTCTTTTTTTTTTTTTCTTTCTGCCTTAGCGCTGAGCACCGCGATGAGATGAGAAGAAGGCGGGGGAAGCAGATAGTATCGGTGGCAGATGGTGTGCTCCACTATCGAGCAGAGCGAGATAGTATCGGTGGTGGATAGTGTGCTCCACTATCGAGCAGAGCGAGATAGTATCGGTGGTGGATAGTGTACTCCACTATTTCGCTTCGCTCGATCGTGTCGGTGGCGGATAGTGTCTATGGTAGAAACCTCAACCCCTTATGCTGTGTATCAAAGTACTTGGCACGTAGTTGCCCTATAGTATGTCATGTTTGTATAACCGTTAGATAGTGATAGTTTTGTTACTATGTGTTGCTCCACTAGGGAGCGAGGCGAATTATTGTCGGTGGCAGCCAATGCTCTACTAGGGAGCGAAGCGTACTATTGTCGGTGGCAGCCAATGCTCTACTAGGGAGCGAGGCGAGCTATTGTCGGTGGCAGCCAATGCTCCACTAGGGAGCGAGGCAAGCTATTGTCGGTGGCAGCCAGTGCTCTACTAGGGAGCGAAGCGTACTATTGTCGATGGCAGACAATGGTCCACTATCTCGCTTTGCTCGATAGTATTGGTGGCACTCAATGCTCCACTATCTCGCTCTGCTCGATAGTTTGGTCGATAGTTTGGAATAAGGAATGTGAAAGTTACAAAGAGGAAAGGCACAGATTCTCTATATATGGAAACTATTGACCAATATAATCCTAACCAAAGTCGTTTATCCTATTACTTATTCAGCAAAGTTGAGGTTCAACCTCTCAAGTTTGATCATAACAGCTAACGCTGTTGTATTTGGTCATGTTGTTTACGCTGTTGCATTCGGTTGTTGACTCAATTCTTTCACCAATAAGCATTGCGAAATTAGTCACCAGCGAAATCGCGCCGGTACCGGCGCGCTGAAAAGTTAAAAAGAATCGATGATAAAAGCTTGCAAGATTTTCAAGATTTTCGATCCCCCCCCCTTTTTTTTTCTTTGAAATACTACAACAGCAACAGGGTCACTTCATTAACAACTATGACAGGAAAGACGCTTTATGATAAAGTATTCGAGGACCATGTCGTCCTTAAAGACCTGTCATACTTGCTTTTTATTGACAGGCATCTAATCCACGAAGTAACATCTCCACAAGCTTTTGAAAGTATGCAGACAGCAGGTAGGGCTGTGCGTCGTCCTGATTGTACTCTTGCCACTGTTGACCACAATATCCCCACCGTTTCCAGAAAAAACTTCAAAAACGTGGACACTTTTATCAAACAGGAAGATTCGAGATTGCAGGTGAAAACTTTGGAGAAAAATGTGAAAACTTTTGGAGTGCCGTACTTTGGCATGAGTGATGAAAGACAGGGAATAGTACACGTAGTGGGACCCGAACAAGGGTTCACGCTTCCAGGAACTACTGTTGTTTGCGGAGACTCACACACTTCTACACACGGAGCTTTTGGTGCATTGGCCTTTGGTATTGGTACCTCGGAAGTTGAGCATGTTTTGGCAACTCAAACTATTATACAAACAAAATCCAAAAATATGAGAATCTTTGTAGACGGATCATTGAATGAAGGTATCACATCAAAGGATTTGGTTTTGCACGTTATTGGAGTAATTGGTACCGCGGGAGGAACTGGTTGTGTCATTGAGTTTGCTGGTAAAGCCATTGAAGATTTGTCAATGGAATCAAGAATGTCGATATGTAATATGGCTATTGAGGCTGGTGCTCGTGCCGGAATGATAAAACCTGACCAAACTACTTTTGACTATATCAAAGGAAGACCATTGGCTCCGAAAGGCGAAGAGTGGGATAAAGCAATGAGCTACTGGAAAACCTTGTATTCGGACCCAGATGCCAAATTCGATTATGATATCAAGATTTCCGCAAAGGATATCGCTCCAACAATCACTTGGGGAAATTCTCCACAAGACGCCTTACCCATCAGTGCAAAAGTTCCTGACCCGGAAAATGTTACCGACCCTATCAAAAAGGAGGGAATGTTGCGGGCGTTGAAATACCAAGGGTTGACTCCAAACACAGCTTTGAAAGATATAAAAATTGACAAGGCATTTATTGGTTCTTGTACCAATTCAAGAATAGAGGATTTGAGGGCAGCTGCTAAAGTTGCAAAGGGACACAAAAGGGCCGATAATGTAAAGCAAGTTTTGGTGGTTCCAGGATCGGGTCTTATAAAAGCCCAAGCTGAGAAGGAAGGACTAGACAAAATTTTTCAGGCTGCTGGTTTTGAATGGAGAGAAGCTGGTTGCTCGATGTGTCTTGGAATGAACCCTGACATTTTGGATCCTGAAGAAAGATGCGCTTCAACTTCTAATAGGAATTTTGAAGGGCGTCAAGGTGCCAAATCGAGAACACACTTGATGTCTCCGGCCATGGCAGCAGCAGCAGCTATCAAAGGCCATTTTACCGATATCAGAGAGTTTGACTATATTGGTGGACAGGATGAGCCCAATGTACCTATAAGTGAAGAGGAAGACAAAGAATTGCAAGATGCGGTTTATGAGCATGAAAAAGAGCCAGTAGATGATGACAATGTTTCACTTGAAGAGGAAAGAATAGATGACATACCCGAGTCAACCGGAGGTTTTGGTTTAGAAAAATTTAATAAATTCACCGGTATTGCAGCACCATTGCACAAGGCGAACGTTGATACAGATGCAATTATACCTAAACAATTTTTGAAAACCATAAAAAGAACTGGTTTGAAGGATGGTTTGTTTTACGAGGCAAGGTTCATTAAGGTTAATGGGAAGGATGTTGAGACAGATTTCATTCTTAATCAAGAGCCATATAGAAAAGCCGAGATTCTTGTTGTTACTGGTGACAACTTTGGATGTGGTTCTTCTAGAGAACATGCTCCCTGGGCCTTGAAAGATTTTGGTATAAAGTCTATCATTGCACCATCATTTGGTGATATTTTCTACAACAACTCATTTAAGAACTTTTTGCTTCCAATAAGATTACCGCAAGAGGTAATTGAATCTAAACTTATTCCAGTTCTTGAACACAAGTTGACAATCGATTTGCCTAACCAGCAGATAAGGGATGGTGAGACAGATGAAGTTTTGGTGGACCATTTCGAAATAGAGGAATTCAGGAAGCATTGTTTGGTCAATGGTTTAGATGATATTGGATTAACTTTGCAAAAGGAGAAGTATATTGCCGAGTATGAGCGCAAAAGAAAAGACAAATTTTCATTTCTTGAAGGAGGATCAAAGTTGATCAAACCTATTAAGGGCACAAAAAAGAGTAAGTTTGGTCTTAATACTCCAGAGTGGTAAGATAAAAGAATGGATTCATATTTATACATACATACATACATATATATATATATATATATATATTAATTTAATAATCAGAAGGAAAGTTGAAATAAACAAATTAAAAAAAAAAAAGTGTGTATGTATCTATCATTTTACTCTGCACGCTCTGACATCACCTGCTTAACTGGCTCTGAGTCACCATAAAGATTATGCTGCTGAATATATCTTATTACCGAATTTGGCAAAAGGTACTGAACTGACATGCCCCGTCTGATAAACAATCTAATCTTTGTTGATGAAATATCATTGTAGATTAATTGTTTGATAACCAAAATGTTTTTTCTATGCTCATACATTATATCATGACTCAAGAGAAAACTTCTCACATCTGAACCTGTTCGTTCAACAATTAAACATCCGTATCTTCCCAAGATGTGGTGTAAATCTTGGTCCGCCCATACATCTGGCTCTCCCATCGACTCGATCAAGTCTCCACCTGCCAATAACATTATTTTAACGCCTCTTCTCTGTCCTGTCTTTGTCATTACTCCGCCTCTTTTTATATTGATTTCCTCATTGAAATGGTCCAAAACCAAAGCTGTTCTCGTATACCTTGGTTGTAGCGATTCCCAAGCATCAACCATTAGCCACGAGGACGTCCTTTCACTTGCCAATTCACACATACGCACTCTATGATTCGCTTGTGCCAAGCCTTGTTTTTTGTAGTTTGAAGATACGGGACTAAAGTACCCTCCAACAACTTCAAATCTAGTCAGTTCCATTATGGCGTCCATGGCCATTTCAAACATCCGTAAATGGAGGTAGGTTATAGGCGAAAAGCTTCCGCATGCTACTATCACCAATGGTGACTTTGAGTCGTCCGGTAGTGTTGTAGCTAATCTATGAGTCGGGAAGTGGTAATTCTCCAAGTGTGTTGCTTGTCTTTGAATTCCATGCGGAACCTCTTCCAAATCTGCAATTTGTGACGATTGCACTTGAAAAGTTGGAGGTAAAATTTCAGGCTCTCTTTTAACATTATTTTGCACTTCAATATCTATATTCTCCTCGTCAGATGAAGAGCTCATCAAATCTGTATGCTTTCGAGGTATTCTCGAATGATACCTTGACTCCGAATCTGCATTGCTATCGTGTGACTTTAACGATACCGGCCCTGGTCTGATACTGTTTGAAGACGCAGGGTGTGGCGGAGGTCCATCTAACGCTGCTCCCAAATCCTCCATCACGAAAGGTTGGATTGGAGTGCTATGTGGTATCTTATCCAGCGGGGCAATTGGTTCAAAATCTTTTTTCAACGATGGAGGTGTAAAGTCGGGATCATTTGTTGGATCCATTTGCTAAGAAGAATATACTGTTTCAGTAAAGAAGGAGCCAGGGGGGGGGGGGGGGGGGGGGGGGGGGGGGGGAGAAGAAAGGAAAATGAAAGGAATGACGGTGTGTGGGAAGTAGCTGAGTACAGGAATTGGTGGTGTAGGTGAGAAGAAGAAGAAGAAGAAGAAGAAGAAGAAGAAGAAGGTCTTGACCTGCTCAGTTCAACTTTGATGACCGGAAGTTTATTAGCCGCGCAAAATTTTATGCATTTAGTGGAGAAGAGAAAAAAAAAAACTGTGTAATTTCCGGTTCAGGATTGTTGACCAAATTCGAGTGTCTGAATAGTGGGAGCTGGAAATGGTAGAGATAGAGGAATGGTAGGGGTAGAAGAATGGTATGGGTATAAGAGTTCAAGTGTATTGGAATGGAATGGGCACAAGAGTGCAAGTGTAGTGGAATGGTACGGGCACAAGAGTCCAATTGTAGTAAAATGCAAGGGATAACTCACTATAGATTTAGGAGGATTTCCTTTTTATCACCGGGCCGGATCTAATCAGAGATAATGATGATGACCATTGAGCCGAGTATAAGGGCTTAATTATATGCAAAAAAAAATAGTGCCAACGTAGCAAAGGTCGGGTTTACAAAAGGAATGTTATCAAAAGAAGAAGCGTTTGGACATTTGTTAGTCAAGATTACTAATTGTTAGTCTGTACATGTCCAAAGACTAATTCATAAAGCCCAACCCTAACGGTTATCCAAGTCGCACAAACAATTTTTTTTTTCTCACAATCTGAAAAAAAAAAGGAGGTTTAATAAAAGAGTAATAGTAGGTCATTGGAAGAAGTAGTGGCAGGACAATAATAGAAGTAGTGGCAGGACAATAAAAGTGTAGGTAAATAATAGTGGTAGATCAACAGTAGTGGTAGATCAACAGTAGTGGTAGATCAATAGTACTGGGGTTAATAGTACTGGGGTCAATAGTACTGGGGTCAATAGTACTGGGGTCAATAGTACTAGGGCAATTACTACATTCTTTCACAATGTCGAAAACTGGTAAAGTAAGACCAGCAAAGAGGCTTATAGAGGCTGCTGGTTTATGCTCATTGAAAGGGGCTGATTATGGAAATTGCATTTTACAAAAATATCAAACCATAAAGAAAGGAGATTGTGAACAGGAGTTTCAAAAGTTTAAAGCATGTGTTAGTGAAAAGATGAAAAAGAGGTAATCTAGACCCATATGTTTATTTTTTTATTTTTTTTCTGGTTGAAACTGTGGGTTATACTCAGCAACACTATCGAGCAGAGCGAGATAGTGTTGTAACAAGCTAGTCAGTACTGCTCGATGGTGCTGTAACAAGCTAGTCAGTGCTGCTCAATAATGTCGGTGTAGTCAGTGCTGCTCCACTCGATAGTACATTGACAAAAAGAGAAATACATAAAAAAAATAAGAATATATATGTTGTATATAATAACAATATATATTAGTATGCATTTACATATATGTGATAGTATTTCGTTTTCATATGTGCCACACCCTAAAGTGTAAGAGAGACTATCTATAAAACCAAAGTGAGATATGTCTATAGATGAGATATATCTATAGGTGAGACATGTCTATAGGTGAGACATGTCTATAGATAAAATATGTCTATAGTTTAGATAGCTTTACGTTGGAGTGGGCAACGGTTTTTGCACACAAATTTTGAAATCTTTTTTTATAACAGGGGCTTCTCTTATTGTAAGAGTCTCTATATATGTTGATTGAGTACATTTTACACCACCACCATATACGTCTCATCAGTCGATAAAACCACTAGTAACCCCTCCTTGTAGTAATAGTAGTAGTAATAGTAGTAGTAGTAGTGGTGGTGGTGGTGATTGCACATTTTCTAATTCGTGTATAGGTCCTATTTAATTTCTCCACTACTTAACTACAGAAAAAAAAAAAACAATGATAGTAACATTAGGTTATAGATATACATCATTAGTGGGGTTTTATTACTTTTCAGGGATACACCAGCAGCATAAGAGCTGAAGGGTTTCTGTTAGTTTGTCGGTTTACTATGATTAATATATCACGATTAGCAGGGTATAACAAACAGGATCTCAAGAATATTTTCCTTTTATTTCAAGAGTTTCTTATAACGTATAGAGATAATAAGGTCAAGCTAAATTATCAATCACGACCAGTGATTCTATTTTTCAGCACCTTGATTGCAACAGCCGGGTTTGGCTTATATTTCACTATCAGAAATGTTATCACCAAGTACAATGAATTTTGTTTGAACAGGAAATTGAGACGACCAAGTCTTATTCGGCAATCGTCAAATATCTTAAAGAATGGGTCAAGGGAGATATTCATTAGCAAGGGCAAGGACAGAGTCACAAGGATAATTATCCCCAAGCCAAATAATGACCAATATGCCGCTGATAAATATTTGTATAAAGATTTTGCTAGGAACCAGCGTTTTTTTCAACAACAAAAGGGGCTAGTGTTCAATTCAAAGTTTCTCAACCAGTTGGCCATTATATGGAGGATTTTGATACCCAAATTTTACAGCAAAAATACATCTTTGCTTTTATCACAATGTTTCTTTCTTATATTTAGAACTTGGCTTTCTTTACTAGTGGCTAAATTAGATGGTCAAATTGTGAAAAACTTGATTGCAGCAAATGGCAGAAAGTTTGCAAGAGATTTGATTTACTGGATATTGATTGCTTTTCCAGCTTCTTATACCAATGCCGCAATCAAGTATTTAGACCAAAGGTTGGCCCTTGGTTTTAGAACTAACTTGACGAGGTATATCCATGATATGTACCTAGATCAAACCATGGCTTATTACAAGATCGAATTGAACAGTAGTAATCTTCAAAATATTGATCAGTATATTACAGATGATGTCACCAAATTTTGCTCGTCGTTGTCCTCATTATTTTCCTCCATGGGTAAACCAATTATTGATATGATATTCTTTTCGGTGTATTTGCGAGACAATTTGGGCACTGGTGCTATGATTGGTGTTTTTGCAAATTATCTTCTTACTGCAGTCATGTTAAAGAAGGCCACCCCATCTTTTGGTAAGTTGTCTGCACAAAGGACGCATCTTGAAGGTGTTTACTTTAACCAACAATTGAATATCATGACAAATTGTGAGGAAATCGGTTTTTATAAAGGGTCGTTGAATGAAAAATCAAGACTCAAAGAAAACTTCACAAAGTTGATGAACCATGTTAGCAAAGAGATCAACACTAGTTTTCAGTATTCAATAGTTGAAGATTATGTATTGAAATATACTTGGTCAGCTTGGGGTTATATCTTTTCTGGATTGCCGATATTTTTGGATCAATTATGGCCAGCCGAGGGCAAGAAGGATGAAGCTGCGGATTCCGACGATTCCGTTAGTGAACGTAAAAATATGAGACAGTTTATTACAAATAAGAGATTACTTTTGTCACTTGCAGATGCTGGATCTCGGTTGATGTATTCAATTAAGGATGTCAATACCTTGACTGGTTATACTGATCGTGTATTTGATTTGTTAATCCAGTTACATAGAGTTCACTCACCTCGATTTGATTATGGCGATAAAAGGGGAATTGCAGATATACATGGAACAATCCAAAATAATTATGCTGATGGGTTACGTTTTGAAGATATTCCTGTCATTATTCCAACACCAGAAGGATCCGAGCAACACCCTTTGGTTGAGAATTTGAACTTCCACCTTAAAAACAGGAACATGTTGATTTTAGGATCAAACGGATGCGGCAAGACTTCAATTGCTCGAATCATTGCTGGGTTATGGCCATTATACCGAGGACTTTTATCGAAACCAAACGATGAAGATATTTTCTACTTGCCCCAAAAGACATATTTCACTACTGGAAATTTGCGAGATCAAATCATATACCCACATACATACGTTGAGATGCTCGAAATGGGGTATAACGATGATTATTTGTACCATATTCTACGTGAAGTCAAGTTGGAGTATCTTTTGAAAAGAGAAGGTAATTTCAATGTTGTTAAAGACTGGAAAGATGTTTTTAGTGGCGGTGAGAAACAAAGAATGAGTATTGCTAGAGTTTTGTTTAAACACCCTAAACTAGTTGTTTTGGATGAAAGCACAAATGCAGTAAGCACCGATGTTGAAGATTACTTGTTTGAACTATTGCAAAAGAAGAAAATTCCCTTTATAACATTGTCTCATAGACCATTACTAATGAAATATCACGACTACATATTAGAAATAGAAGAAGGAGGAAGTTGGATATTGCACGATCTTACAAGTGAAGAAAACTTGGAAAGCATAGATAATGAAATTCACGAAATTGAAGATAAAATCGCTCAAGTATCGAAATGGGAAAAGAGAAAAGATGATATAAATAAATACTTGGATGGACATTTTGATGATATTGAAATGGATAGTTCAATTGTGTCGACAATGCCAACAACGACAACAACGACAACAACAACAACAACAACAAAGTCAGTCCAAGCTGCGAAGTAAAAGGAGTAATGGAGTAATGGGTAAGAGGAGTAGCGAGTATATGTGTAGAGGAGTAGTGAGGATGGGTTGACCTTGATTTTAGGTGGCATGTAGGTGGCAGCTAGTGTGCTTCACTACCTCGCTCTGCTCGACAGTGTCGATAGTGTAGGTGGCAGTTGCAGCTAGTAGTGGACTAAAGTTCCTCTTCTATTTACTTTCCCGGTTTCCATTTTTGTTCGTTTCTTCTCTTCGTCTTTAACTTCTGCCTAATGAGGGAAAAAAAAAAAAAAAAAAAAAAAAAAAAAAAAAAAAAAAAAAAATCCATCACATTAAAAATTGTTAAATCTTTTCAATCGATTGAAGGAAAAAGCTCTACCCGTCTGTTCCAGTGCTTGTCCTGTTTGCCACGAGAAACCCCACCATGTCTGAACCTATTAAGTCTAAGAATGGCGATATTTCTAAAGCGCCAACACCGCAGAACACACCGGCAAGTGTTACTAACTCATACTTGAAATCACAGCCACCTACGGTATCTACTATTGATGAAGTCAATGAAGACAAAATTGGCCAAACTTTGGCCAATAATCCTGCGTTGCTAAGTATGATGCAAGGCAAATTGAACGACTTGATTGGTAAGAATAGTGGGTATGTTGCTAGTTTGCCACGGGTTGTTAAGGATCGAGTTTATGGGTTGAAAAGTTTACAGCAACAGCAAATGAAACTTGAAGCTGAATTTCAAAAGGAATTATTAGAGTTGGAGAAGAAGTTCTTTAAGAAATACGAGCCTCTTTATGAGCAGAGAAAGAAGATCATTGTTGGGGAGATTGAGCCAACGGAGAGTCAAATTGAAGAAGGTAAAGCCTTGGATGAGGATGAGGATGAGGAAGGAGATGAGGAAGAAGAAGAAGAAGAGGAAGAGGAGGAGAAGAAAGATGAGTCTACTACAAAATCCAATGAAAAGGGTATTCCAGGGTTCTGGTTAACAGCATTGGAAAATTTAACTACGGTTTCAGAAACAATAACTGATCGTGATTCTGAGATTTTGCAATTCTTAATAGATGTCCGTATGGAGTATTTGTCAACTCCGGGCTTCCTGTTGATTTTTGAATTTGATACAAATACATTCTTCAATAATAAAACTTTAACCAAAACGTATCATTATCAAGCTGAGTTGGGTTATAGTGGTGATTTCGTATATGACCATGCCACTGGTTGTGAAATTGAATGGACTTCCAAGGAGAACAATCCAACAATTAATATCGAGAGAAGAAAACAAAGAAACAAGACAACCAAACAAACAAGAACTATTGAAAAATTAACTCCGGTTGAATCATTTTTCAATTTCTTTGATCCTCCAAAACCACCCAAGCGTAAAGAAGTAGATGAAGGTGATGATGAACAAGCAGGGGAAAATGAGAGAGAAGGAGATGATGAAGATGAAGACGAAGACGAAGACGAAGATTTAGAGGCAAGATTGGAATTGGATTATCAATTAGGTGAGGAAATCAAAGATCGTCTAATTCCAAGAGCCGTGGACTGGTTTACTGGGGACGCTGTGGATTTTGCATACCCAGATGAATTTGAAGGCGATGAAGAAGGTGAATATTCCGATGAAGAAGGTGATGAAGATGACGATGACGATGATGCCAATGTAGATGGTGAAGCTAAAGACGATGACAACGCATCAGGTCAAAAACAACCACCAGCTGAGTGCAAACAACAGTAAGAAGAAAAAGAGAGATCTTTTTGAGGAAATACAGATATTTTTTTCCTTTTCCTTTTCCTTTTTCTTTTTTGTGTCCCTTTCTTTCCTTTTCTGCAATAGAAGCAGCTCTGAGTTGTAGCGTAGCACCCAGAGTAGAAGATTGAACCACTATTGAGTGGGTGGGTCAGTATTTGTAGTGTCTGTGACAGCTAGTGTGCTCCACTATCTCGCTCTGCTCGAAAGTGTCGCAACCAAATGTTATCAATCTAGTAGTAGAAACAAAAAAGATTGATGGGTATGGATATGTTAGATTATTGGTATATTTATTTATCCCATATCAAGCTTTATCCTATAAAAGGTACTTGAGACGTTCTAGGCCACATAGGTTTCGAAGAAAAGGCACTCACTAGTTTCAAGGGTTGAGTCCATAGTTGGAAATCTGTTGGATATTCAAATATCACCTATCACCTATCATCAAAATAATCTAAACGCTTGAAATGTCCTTTATGAGGTTCTTCTGTTAGGTTGTGAATAAACATCTATGCCAGAATGAAAGTAGTTGCCTTTAAAACTTCAAACTACTGAGTTCAAAGAAAATCGTGATCAACTAGGAAACCGTTCCAAGTTGCACATTGGTGGCTTTTCATTATAGACCCATTTTCCTGTAAGTTCAAGACGTTAATAAGTTAAGTAAGATTTGTTAGTTTTGGTAGCGTACATATATTGGCAATAATATAAGGTGGCTTTTTTTTTCTTCTTAATGGAGAGGGAGAAGAGAGACAAGGAGACAACAACACTGAAGACGATAGTTTCAAAAAATTTACAAAGTTAGACCAAATAGTCTTTTCTTGATTATTGATATTATATCTTATATATATAGCCCTATAAGTTTATTGAAAAGCATATTGTAGACTACATTAGCTTCTCAGTAATAGTAATTCTATGTTCTAGAGTGCTATATTGCTTAGTTTTTTTTTTGCTTTTAGTTTTAAATTGGCAAAACACAATGTATATGAAGAGCATACAACTACAAAATAAAGCAGACTATTAAATTAGCTTTTAGTATAAAACAACTTGCTAATTGATCATCTAAACTATATTATTACTGTAACTGTTTTTAGGGATATAATTCAAACAAGTCAGCTAGCAGTAGAGATGCTGTCGTGAGGATATCCTGCCTGTTTTTTACGCGCAAAAACAAGTATAATTCGGGGCAAAGTGTAGTTATATTATGACTTCACGACTTTACATCTGTGAGTCACCCGTAACTCACATATCCCAAACTTGAGATCCGTTTTCAATGAAAAAGTTCTTGCTCAACGAAAATCAATCAAATCCGGGTGAAGTCGTTTTCTTTTTTTTTTTGCGTTATTTGCACCCAATAAGAAATCCATCAAAATTTACCACACAAAAATGTAATTAGAAAATAAACAAGGATTTATTTCTTGGTGTTATTAAACGTCCCGAGGAAGATAGAATTAACCGAATTTGCCTCTTCAAGCTTATTGCTATTGAAAGAAACCCGAAAAGACTCTGTCAAAGGAGTCAACGGCAGAAACGGACAGACAAATATTTTGTTGTCTATCCTAGGCTAAGAAATAGAAAAAAGGACATTTTTAAACTTGAAAAGGAAAAGGGGGGGGGCGGGGGGTAAGGAGGGCACGAATTTGCAATCGCGCATTCAGGACTGGACTAAAGGCAGTTGATGTACATGAGACACTACATTGCAACCCTATGGCGTAAGTATTTTCAGGGAAGCGCAGATTGTGGACAAAACAAAAATACTGAAAAGTGTTGTTTGGCCAATTTATCATAAAAACGTTTGGTTGCGAAAAGAAAAAAAAAAGAAAAAAAAAAAACAACTAAATTACCCTAACAACATGAAGAAAGTGGAACTTAATGAAATTTTGATTGCTTTTTGCAGATACAGAGTTTTTGCATTAGTCGAAAAGTAAAAATTAAGGATGTTGAGTGAAGGGCTTAAATATGTGGGTAGTTGATTAGGTGGTATGTTATTAAAAGTTGAATTCTTACTTCTCAGTCATTTATTTTAATTTTTTTTTTTTTTTTTTCACTGATCAAGAAACTACTATTTTTGAATAAGGTCACTTGTGCCATGAAACAAAACGAAAATAAGCTATTCTGCTATATTCTGTGTATAAGCGGGAGTATTTTTTTGCAGCCAGTACATCTCTCAAGGATGTTCCCTCAGTTTATCTGAGTCCGCATGTGATGTAGGCATAAAAACTAATAACTCACCTGATCCTTAGCCGATGATGAGTTACTTTACGAATCTGATCTTGCGATGTTCCACTAGGGTTATTCCGATATTTTTAAAATGAATAGGAGTTTCAATGTAGTGTCGTGGAACAGAATTAGCCAGGATTACATTGAGCAAAGATTTTGGAAATAGGAGATAAGGGGATAGGGGATAGGGGAGGTAGTTTTTGAAAAAAAAAATGAAAAAAAAATGAGAGAAGGAGCTCTATGAGAGGTATATTGTAGTATGTTCAATCGATGTAATGTAGATTGGGAAGAGAGATGATGGTTTGTAAAGCCATGGGAATTACACTTTTTCTAGTCATTGATATGAATGATTGCGGAATTATCCGAAACAAAATTTAGGATATATCCGCTCAATAGGTATCATCAATTTTGAGCGGTTTTGAACCGAAAGTTTTACCTCCTAACGTAAAATTTAAGGTTTCTCTTTCTTGTTGCAAGGTTTGATTGCAAATTTACTAAAACAGAGACCTAGACAGTGTAGGAGAGTTACTAAAGAGCTAGACTGTGTAGGCTAGACGGTGTAAGAGTGTTATCAAAGAGCTAGACAGTATAGGAGAGTTATCAAAGAGCTAGACAGTGTAGGAGAGTTATCAAAGAGCTAGACAGTGTAGGAGGGTTCATCACATATGACGTAGCCAGCATAGACACTCTTTATCTCTCGTAAAAGGCTGTCTAGGTCAAAGCCACTTTGATTATTTAAATGGGATAAAATTTATCAATTATTACTTTTTTAAACGATTACAGAAAAAAATCACATGCAAATTGCAAAAAAAAAAAAGATTTGATTTTTCTTTCTCGGTGTTTTTTTTCTTAACGTGACTCTATAGACCAGACAGTAATTGACAAACAGACAGACTTAATGATAGGGCAAGCACAGGCAGACACACACAGAAAGACTTAAACATGCCCAGACAGAGACATGTTTTGTGCTATTCCAAAAAAAAAAAAATCTTTGCTGTGCTCTATCTTATGTATTGTAACTTATGTACCAATGCTATTTATGTACCTTGCTCTGTACTATGTTATCGATAGTCTACATTTATTGCAAATCTCGTGTTATATTCGTTGTACCTGTTTTCAATGTTGACAGTCCCTTGATTGAAAAAAAATATGGTTGATACTAAGTTATTATTATAATAAGTTACTATGTTTTTATACTTTACAATTGTAGCCAATACAAAATACAAAGTACATAACAACACATTTTAAGGTTTGCACCCTTTTACCCACTATATTATAAATTAGTGTGGTATAAGCCAATTTCCAAAACCAAACCTGTGTCACATCTCACTCTCTCTTTTATTTTTGTGCAAAAGAATAAAATCTTATTTAGCATATTTGCAGTTGTTATTTTTCACACAAGTGTGTGTGTGTGTGTGTTTGTGGTTTTTTAACCTATTCGTTGACTTCTCAGCCTTAATTTTTGTCATATGCAAGCAAAAAACAGGAGATGTGTCTCTATGAATTTTATGAATTTGTAAACTGTTATGTGTGTGGTATCAAGTTCTCGAGTATAGTTGGTTTGGTATAAATACCTTTATGGATTTCTTTCGAATTCCATTTGCCTATCAACTTGGCTTCCTCTTGACTTGTCTTTCACTTAGTGTCGATATTTTCATACAATATCTACTAGTTTTTCAGCTCATATATAGCTAGTCTATAACCTTCCTCATTTTTTATTTTTTTATTTACCTTTTTCATCCCCCTTCACATTCGCCTGGGTGAAAAGCAACAATTAAAAAAAAAGAAAAAAAAGGACAAAAGATACTTAAAGACACATCTAGCATAATCAGACACATTAGAGTCCAGATCTTGTCGCAACTCTAAGACCCAGTATTTCATATTTTTCACTCACCCCTTAAAGGCTTTAATTTGCAAGATAGAAAACAAAGGGAAAAAAAAAATTCCATATATAAAGAGGGTTTTTTCACAATATACTCATCGTAATCTACACGTTTTTTTATCTAACTACTAACAATTACCTTGGTCCCTTTTATAAAAAAAAAAAAAACCTACGTATTTCTTAAGGATAGTTAATTATTTTTCACAATGTCTGAACAACTCAACAAGGTAGCCAACAAGGTTAAACAGTCTATTCCTACAACCAAGAAGAAATTCGACTCCAAGTCATTAAACCATATCCATCAGTACTCTTTAATTCAATATTTACAAAACTTGACTTTATCCTTTGGTTTATTAAATTCAATTTATCAACAATTTATCTTGCCCTTGTATCAATTCATCCAAGTTCACTTGTTATCAATTTCACCAATCTACGATGTTGCTACTTTTTTCGATTCCTTAACCAATTCTTTATTAAGTTTATTTGATAAATACTTTATTGAAATCCCATCTACAAATCTTGATGTAGTGGCCAAAAACTATATTAAACCAGTCAATAAGAAGATTATTGAAGTCAACAACAAGTATTTAACTCCAATTGAAAAACAAACTGAAGAAGGCGTGTTTCAAATCTATTATACCTTCAAGTCAATTTTGCTAAATTTAAAAAAAAGCGCATTTTCCAAATCAAACGAAATTCAAAAAAACTTGGTAGATACTTACAATAAAGAATTATCGTCAACTTCTCCTGAACAGAATGTTTTGGGCAAGAATTTACAAGCAAGTTACAATACAGGTTTGAAAACTTTCAAGACATTAAACGATGATTATTTAACTCCTTTAAAAAACCAAACTGAAAGTTATGTTGCAAAGAAGCAAAAAACTGCTGTTGATTTGATTACAAGTACAAAGGAGAAGATTGAACCAAAATTGAACGAATTGAATCAGAAAAAGGATGATTTGTTGAAAAATGGACAATCTTCTGCTCCAGTCTCAGCAAGTGCTTAAACCATAATCTTTATATATATATATATGTATATATAGTATAAGGCTGAAGAAATTGGTGGTTAGTTTTTCTACTTTACTTTATTTACTTTAATATACTTTACTCTATTTTACTGATTATATAATTACGATACTGTAATATTATGGCAATACCTCTCTCTCCTCCACCACCTCCTCCACCTCCTTCTCTTCTCCTTCTCTTCCCTTCTTCTCCTCCTCTCCTCCTCCTCTTCTTCTCCTCCTCTCCTCCTCCTCTTCACCTCCTCTTCTTCTCCTCCTCTCCTCCTCCTCTTCACCAAGTCATTGTCCAATATAAACAGCTCCAACATAAACTTTTTCTGTGACTGAGGTCAGTTCCTTATACCCAAGTGAAACAGCATAATCCTGATTCCACTTTATCCAACTTAATTATGTCATTGCTTTATTTCAACTAATTATAATGATATCTCTATTGTTTACCATTTTTTCATAGATAAGATAACCAGAATAACACAAAAATCCAAAAGAGTCTATTGTCGCAAAAAAACATCAAAAAAAAAGAGACGACAAAAAGAAATTAGACACTTGCCTATTTCGATAATGTTATTGCTTATTTATTTCGATAACGTTTCTTTGCTTATTTAAAAGACTTTATATAATCAATACCTCCAACACATTGAGGAACAGTCAATTGTTTTGGTCCCACTATTTTTTCAAAAATCTCAATTCCAACATCAACTGTTCTTTGTATAGCATCATGCTCTAAAATTAACCCTTTCCCTTGCTTTAATTTTTGGAAATTTTCTACATCTTTAAAAATGTCAGCCTCTTTACGGTTATTTGAATGATCCAACATTTTCCAGTCAAAAGTGTCAAAGTCCCATAATGTCGCCTGCATTCCAAATTGTCTCAATATCGATCTTATCCTATTATCAATTCCGCCATATGGTGGACGAAACCATTTGGGTAAATGGTTCCCCGTTGCATTCATGGCCCAGATCAGCCATTCTATTTGTGCTATAATTTCTTGATTTGTTAATTGAGGGAGAAACTTATGTGACCACGTATGTGACCCCATTATGTGGCCACGTTTCATACTTTCTTTGTAGACATCGGGAAATCGAATAATGTTGACCCCCAAAGTAAATAGCGTAGTCTTGGTATTTGTTTTGTCGAATGAGTCTAGCAACTTCAAAGTATGAGGACTGGGCCCATCATCAAAGGTTTGAGATAGTTGGGGACAAGTGTAAACATCATCAAACTCAACACAGTTGAAACAGTCAAAGGAACAAGCTTGCGGCGATCTCAATACTTGACTGAAACATTGTGCTTGTTGATGTTGTGGTAGATCAACTATCCTATTGAAATTGATAAAATCAAGTGGGATATACGGTGGATCCAATCCTGGCCATTCTTTTAACCCAGTGAAATCAGTAAGCCATTGTGGGAAAGGTAATCTTGGCGGATACTGCATTGGAGAAGGTGGCGTTTCCTGTTGTAATGGTGGCTGCATCACCACCGTTGTTGGTAAAGATCCTCCATTGTTCTGATTATTATTCGACTGTAATGTAGAAACAAACTGGACATTAACATTGGAGTCCACTACAGGATGTTTGGGAAAAAACAGATCAAACAATTTAGGTGAAAATGAAGATATCAATTTGGCCCCTAAACTTTGTGACGAATCATCTGTAATTGCTGATGCCAAAATCAGTGCAGTTAGAGTGAATATGACTAGTTTATAGTTCATTTTGTAGTTATAATGCGCATAGGAAGAAAATCAAGAGATCAAGAATTCAAGATAATAGGCTTAGAAAGGGATATATGTGTCTGGCAAGTATTGGAAAAAAAAAAAAAGAATTATTGATATGTTTGTATAGATAATTCTCTTTTCGCAGCCAATAAATTAAAAAAAAAAAAAAAAAAAAAAAAAAAAAAAAAAAAAAAAAAGATAAAATAGGCTACTTATCTACTAAATTTCACACAAGAATTCTTGCAAAATCACAGTAGAAGCGTTTTCAACTTCCGATTTGATATTAAATCTAATTCCCTTCAACAGTCTAATTATCTTTTTGTATCTTGAAACAGTTACAACGCTTGGATCTTGGGCTTTTTCTGTGTCCAATGCTGCCACCACATGATTATCAACCGAGCAACCAATCATCAGCACTAAATTATTGGAAAGAAACTCTTGTCGGAATCCCAATTCTTGATAAAATTGTGCAGTCCTAACACGATTGTACCGATTTTCTACTATTAAATGTTCCAAAAATCGTCCCTTGGGGTCATCGGGGAATAAAGGAATACTATACACTGCCAAACCTTCCAGGAAAATATGTCCTTGTGTCCAATTGGGCAAGTCAGCAATGAATCGTTTAGTAGCTAGTTTGTCTGAACCTGGAATTATTAGCCTTTGTATTGGCCACGATTTAGTGACTCGATCAATTATGGGTATCCACCATTTGAGCAATGCTTGTCCATTGATCAAATGTTTGTATTTATTTTTCAACGAGTCAGGAAATAAATACTCTTGTGCAGACCTGGTGAACAAACAAAGTCTCAAATTTTGAGTAGTTGGAATCAATCTAAGATTTTTTTTGTTTTCTAAAGTTGATTTTCGGTTGTTGTTGTTATAGTACCGTAATTTCTTATAATAGTTTTTGTCAGCTAACTTTTCCTGTAGTTTTCTAATCAAGGTGACTGCCCCAGTTGACGCAATCGATCCCTTCTCAAATTTTTCCTTTTTCTTACATCGGATCATATACCGAGAAATATCAAATTCAACAACACTTTGAAGAAAAATTTCAACAACAGTACCAACTCTAAACTCCAATTTAACTAATCCTGTTGTGTCACATTTCGAAACAAAGATAAACCGAACAACATGGTCCTCGTATATTTGTATGTACACAAAAATTTCAATTCCTACAAGAATCAAATCATCTAGAATCAAAGTGAAAAAATGTCGAATCTTTACTGTATCTGGTTTGACTACTGATTTTCTCAAATGTATTGGCGATTTGACATAGATTGGCCTTGATTGGATATGTGCAAATTTAAAGTTTCCATTTTTAGGAAGAAGAACCTCGGACAATTTTGATGAAAAAGACATACATACATGTATATGTGTATATAATTGAGAGTCAAGTACACTCCTATTGCTTAACTCAAACGGTTAGAAGAGGGAGAAAAAAAAAACAGAGACCAGATGGGTGAAATTACACGAAAGTCACGTGAAGAGCTGATTCCCACTCGGTTACCAAAACAAGATTTCTGTAATATTCGAGTAGCACTTTGTAGGTAGTTACTCCACTATCGAGCAACACTTTGTAGGTAGTTACTCCACTATCGAGCAACACTTTGTAGCTAGTTACTCCACTATCGAGCAACACCTTTGTATCGACACGGCGCCCCTTTCTTATTACCTCAAACTAGAGCCAGCTGCCTATTTAAGCTACTGGTACTCACATGGTTACCGTGGTTGACAATCAGAGTTATCTAGAGTAGGGCAGTTTTGATGTGAAAAATAGAGTTGAATAAGTAAACAACAGATATGAACAAAACAACTGTTTTTGGACCAATAGCAACTTTAGTATTATTACTCATATTTTCTTGATAAATGGTGTTTATAAGTCTTTTTAATAATGTCACTTGGTAGAGCAAAAGACATATTGAGTTTTATATTAATAATAAAATCTCGCTAACAAAAAAATGTACCTTACAAGTAGAAAAAAATGTACCTTACAAGTAGAAAAGAATGTACCTAACAAGTTGCAAAAAAAAATTGCAATTCCTTTTGGGTTTTATTGTTGTTGAATATTATTGTTTTCTTAAGGGGGGGGGAGGGGAAAACAAAAACGGGTAAAATTTGATGTAATTAGCAGGAGTTAAGGCAGCTTTTATAACCTCATTTCTTTAAAGTCTAACCAGTGCTAAGAGGAAGATACGGGGAAGGAATGACAGGGAAGGAATGACAGCTATTGAAGTAAAGTAATGACGATTATTGATTATTAACAGGCTATCTTTTTCGTACTTGTTTTGTTAATACACGGGTTTAATGCCTCTCTCTCTCCTTTTTTTTTAAAAAAAAGGAAATCCCTCACGTGACCTAAATAATTTATAGTCTGTGTGTGGGTAAGATTTTGTGTGAGCATTGTCAAACCAAACAGCAACGACTGACCGTTGTGAATACGTTTTTCTTCTCCGTTAATGGAATATACATCGTTACCGATACCGAGTGAGTTTCCCTCATTTATACATTGTTACTGATACCGAGTTTCCCTGATTTATACATTACTACACATAGATGTCTAGATGTAATTCGATATTTTTTTTATGAAATAAGAAAAAAAAGCTGTTTTTGGAAAAATTGCACCTTAATAATAAGGTCTCTTTACAAGAGGGGGAAGGGGGGGAGGGGGCAAGGAGCGCGTTACATTTCAAGGTGTTAACAGATATAACGAGAGTTTTGTTTTGTTTCGTTTCGTTTCGTTTCACTAATCTTTTTAAACTTGAAAAAAAAAATTTTAGTTCTGAAGTTCATTCAGGGTGAGAAGATATTGACATATACACTAAATATCTCCTGATTAAGTGATCTCCATGACCTAATTAAAAATTTTTATTTTAATAGGTAGAAACGGTGGTTAGAGAGAGATCAAGTGAATACAAATAGGTTCTTGCTACTTACTCCTTATTAGATTTGACACGTTGACCAAATAAAAATTAGCTCTTTGTTTCATTTGCCCTCAATCTTCCCCACTTTTTCAATTGACGACTTTCAAGCATTGTTGGTAACTAAATGGGAAACATAGTAGAGTGGGGCTAAGTTACTGTTTCGGCTTTTATGCACTTAAAAATATGTAATATACTATTTTTCTCCAATGTATTATATGTATTACCACTATTTTCTCCAATATATTATATGTATTAGCACTACCTTTATTACTTTTTTAGGAAATCGTTGAGACTAATTATTGGTGTATAAAATACATCTTTGGAGATAGAGGAGTTAACCTGCATCTAACTTCTTTAACCACAAAAAATTGCAGTGATTGAGAAGATTGTAGGCAGTCCCTGCCTCAAGTGAAATTTTACAACTACTTTGCCAACCTAACCTGACCTATAGTGGCTGTTGCCTTAAACGGGTGTTGCTCTTTGAATAAAGTTACTCAATAAAAGACATTGATTCAATTTATGGAGTAAATATGCATTATTATACAATACTTTGTTCTTATTACTTTACTTTATTTAATCTATCTTTATATAGTTAACCCTAATTAGCTACAAAAGTGTCTGCAGCTTTGTTGTTAGTAGAATATATATATCACTAGTAATATCGTTTTAAGGAAATTACAACCAATAGTTAATTATTAAGTATACCTACCATTACCCACACTCACCATACACACAACACATCTTCATCTACTGTAGCACTATCTACTGTAGCACTATTTACTGTAATCTGTACACACACGCCTTTGAATAAAGTTCTAGTGCACCCATCAATATCCAACTGGCAGCCATCACCATTCAGGCAGCACCTATCGTCCCCCCCCCCCCCCACACTGAGATATCATTGCACGATTGGTTCATCAACACCACAGCACGGGTTTGAGGACAAATTGTATATACATATACAAGCAGGCAAAAAAAAAAATCAAGCCACTTAATCTGTACAGTTAAGCTATATCCACAACAACCATGGGTTCTTCTTCCTCACCGCTACAGAATGAGTTTGATAACTTGCTTGATATCTTTTCCTCAGATATGGACTTCGAACAAGCATTTTCAATGTACAGCAATTTACAACAAAAGAAAGCCTTGGGAACGTTGGAGGAGCTATCAAAAGTACAGATGTTGAATCAACAGTATACTACTAATCTACCTCCTCAAGACCAATCACAACAACAACAACAACAACAACAACAACAGTATGCCCAGCAATACGCCCAAGAGCTGCACCTTCATCATGAAAACCACTACCAAGATGACACATTTGCACACTCTAGACAACAAATACTAAATGGCAGTATAAACTATAATCAACAACAACAACAGCAGCAGCAACAACAAGAGGAGGATATTGTAGAAGAAGGTGTAGATGAGTTTGATCAGTTTTTCACAAATACAGAGTCTGATGCATTGGAGAGATTTTTGGATAATTTGGCAAACCCCAGCGGGACAGGTGATCCATTACAGTTTTACAATCCTCATATAACATCTCCCAATGGATTTCACAAGGATTTAGATTTAGATTTCAACTTTGAAATGCATACTATGAAAGTGCCATCATATTTAAGAAGCAAAAACTCGCCCGATGTAACTTCATCGACTCATACCCTCATACAGCAACATCAACAGCACCCTTCATTTCAGCAGCAACACCAGCAGCAGCGGCAACAACAACAACAACATCCACTGCATAGTTCTACATATCATGATACCCACGAGCAACAGCAACAGCATCAGATACTGCAGTTGCAAAACCATTACCTTCCGACGCAGCAACAATCTAATGACAAACATATGACGACGATTCACATGCAAGCACTTCCTTCTCCGCCAATGATTGAATACCACATAAACAATCAATCTCTAAAACGAGAGTTGACTGAAGCATTTGCTCCAGAAACGCTAAATACCCAACCATGCCTACAAACCAAGCCCAAAAGTCAGCTTGTAACTCCACCTACATCAGGTGACGAAAGCAAGAAAAGGCAAAGTGACGAAGAGCAAGAAGACGACGAAAGCGACGATGAAAACCCAACATTGGTGAAGACTCGATCCTCTTCTTCTTCTTGTTGTTTGTTGAATTCTTCCTCGAGCTCGTCATCAATCACAACTATAGAAGAGCCACAAAAGAAGAAACGGAGATCCTCAAATAAACCGCTTTTATCCCTTGAACAGAAACGATTGAATCATTCTTATTCGGAACAAAAAAGGCGCCAATTGTGTAAACTAGCATACCAAAGGTGTCTAGAACAAATCATTGACCTTGAAGCATTCAACATGTTACCTGAATGTAATGAAGCTGAGAGAAAATCTAAAAGAGCAAGAGTTAATAAAGAAGGGTTACCAAACTTGTCCAAACACAATGCTCTAATCAGAATAAGCAATGAAATGCAACTAATTATTGGTTTAAATGACCAATTGAAAAAATTACTCAATGGATAAAAATGAATAATCTCCCACCTTCATGCTGCCAATTAATTGAACAAAAAGCTGCATTTATTTATATTTATATATTTAATTCACCCAAGCATATAGTGTAAACGCCCTTTCCAAATCAATACGAAATAAGATGATGTGATGAATTAAACCAAAAGGATTCTATATAGATCATCCATCTTTTAAGTTTTGACAGTTGAGTTCTTTTTTTCTTTTTTCTTTTTTCTTTTTTCTTTTAATAACAAACAGGAAGTGAAAAAAAACAAACCCCCGACTATTAAAGAAGGGTACGGGTTTGTGAATATAAAGCTTTCTTTATTCAACTCTTGTTGCTTTTTTGTTGATTCCACGGGAAATAAAAGAATAGAGGAAAGAGTTAATTTTATCTTGCTGGAGATGGTCACCAAAGCTAATGGAGGAGCACCACTTGATACTGCAGAATTATACTCATTTGAAGATCTTACAATTGGCACAAATGATCAAATTCAAGCACTAGCGAAACAAACACCAACGATTCTCCCCAACCAGCAAGCGGATAAAGACTATGCTAAAACGCTTGATGCATTGAGATCCACATATCCTTACATTTTCGTTGTTAATTGGCTTTACAATTATCGGGGCTTTTTGAAATTACAATCTGAGGCATTCGATGTTGATATTTTCGAGATGGAGCTATTGAACTATTTCCCACAAGAAGAGAATCACCACGGTAATGAAGCCATGAAACAAGGGCATGTTTTATTTATAAATCGGTTGAAAGTGGCTTTGATCTCAAATATACAAAACAGTAAGATGTCGCTGGTTAATAATTTTGAAGCCATTTTTAGATTATGGTTTGGTGTAAATACGCCACTTGGTGGGATAGAAATTGATGACGACGACAACGAAGAAGAAGAAGAAGAAGAAGAAAAAGAAGAAAAAGAAAAAAAGGAAATTGAGGTTGTCACAAACGATTCAGAATTACCCAGGTTTGATTATTTGTTAATCAAGGATAAATTTGAAATTTTGTATATTTTAATCTCCTACATTGCTAAAAGCCCAAAATTCCGCGATTGGCTAAGCAAACAATCTTCCGGACCTGAGCTATCAAGAATTGACCCCGTATTCACACAACAGGTTCGGGAGTCAACAAGAGAAGAGTATTATCTACTTTGTGATGACACGAGATTGTATAAACGAACAATTACATTCAATCCTCTCGTGATACCGAAAAAACGCAAACTTTCTCCAGAACACCCACAAGACTATTATAAACCATCGTCATTTGATATAAGCGACAAAGTCACATTCGAAATCCAGTACAAAAATATCTATGAATTTAACAATTATATTCATCAACTCAAACGACAGCGTAATCTCAAAACACTTTATAGCAAGCTCACTCGTACCTCGACCATTGAATCGATGTTTGATTCAGAGTTGAAAAAGAGAAGATATTTGTCAAATAAAAAGAAGGAAGCTCAACTTGCTAGCCTTCTTGCTGTGCGTAAAAGATCTTCGAGATTAGAAGCCAAACAACGTCAACGTACAGAGGAAGAAGCTCGTCAACGTGCAATCGAACAAGAGGAGTTGAAACTTGCCGCACAAGCACGTTTGGAAAGGAGACAGAAACTCAAACAGAGAGACGTTGATATACTTGGCGGATCCTCTACAGGTATGACTAGAGATGAACGATTAAAAAGGAGAAATGAAATATTATATAATCGACATCTCAACGTTACGCCCACGCCCACGCCCACGCCCACGCCTCCTACTCCTGTATCTAATTCAGTGCAAGAAAGTCCCATTGCTGACGAGTCGAATAATTATGAGAGTGGCGGTAGTGAACATTCATTTAATTACGAGATAAATAATGGAAACGGTAATGGTAACGGTAATGATAACGGCAACGGTGAAAGTTTGCACGAAAATGCTATGGAAGTAGTACATAATAATACAGTTAGTGCTGAACAAGATTCAAATGAAATTCAAAAAATTGCTGAATTGAAAAGCAAACACGGACTGGTTGATGAGATTGACGAAAATTAAAAGTATCAAAAGAGAAGAGAAAACAAAAGTAATTCAATGCTGAGTAAAGACCATATATATATATATATACTATTATTTTTTAGTCACACTATAAGTAGAAACTACCCGAGTTTCGACAGTATTTATAGACTAATGTCAACGCATGCATAAAGAAAAGTAACAAGAACAGCAATTTTTCCTCTCCTTTTACAGGTGCACTCGGCCATTTTCCTTCTTACTGCCAGTCCTCCGCTTTTATAAATTCATTTCATTTAGTATTTGACCGGCTAACGTCTTATAGTTCCACGTATTACCTAAAAGTTTCTTAAATTGAACACCATATAATCCAACAAGAGGAACTTTGACAATATGGATCTCAAATTTCAAAGGTGATTTACTTGCTGGTTTATAGTTCGATGATGTGCTTGCTGTACGATGATGACTTCCACTTTGGTGTGCTCGGTGCTCAATTCTAGAAGACACCAACATATCACTACCTCCTCCATACCCACTCAACGATTCAGCCGAATTATCATAGTCAAAAGCATCGTTCTCCAAGTCTAGGTTATTACCAACGTGATTATTATTAGGATTTTCAAAATCTTCCTCATCGTATAATCCACGTACAGTCTTGAGCGTTGCCGGTGTATTGGGAGGCATGGTAACTTGAGAGCTATCCTTCTTTCTATATGCATTGAGGAATGCATTTCCAACAGAAATCTTCCTTCTGTGACCACCGCCGCCGCTGCCGCCACTAACGGAGTTAGAAGATCTATGAGGTTTGCCACCAGGTGTTGGTGATACTTGCCCCGTTTGAAAATGTAACGAGGGTTGACGACTTGGGGTTTTTGTCCCTTGAGAAACGTCCAATGTTTGCTTTTCGTCATCAAACGAAGACGACTTTAAGGTAGACGATTTCGATCTAAATGCATCCCCATACAACTCCTTTTCTTCTTCATTCTCATCATAATCTTGTGCGTATGCATCCAAAATCTGGTTCTCTTCATCATCTTGCTGAACTGAAGGTGTATGAACACATATGAATCCACCTTTCACCTCCTGGAACCTAACTCCCAACTTGCTCAATACATTGATAATGTTATATCTAATGACAGGCAATGGCTTAGCAGATGTTGTTTGGACACTGAAAAATCCCTTTAAAAACAACGTCTTACAATGCTCAATTGAGGGCATTGTTCCTGGCTTAGCATTGCTATACTGTCTCATAACTTCCTCTTCAGTCAATTGTGGAATGTCAGGGATTTCGTAGTCATCCAATTTGACATCATCAAAGAGCATTAAGTCAGATTCGTCTCGTGTATCAACCATATTTCCATCTTCTTGTGTACCCAAACCTTCACCTAACTGTTGATTAGCTGTATTGCTTCTAGCGCGACCATAAGCATCCCTCCGAACATTACCACCTACAGATTTTGCTCTAGCTGTTGGATGCATCTTGTGTCCAAGAACTGCCAATGATTGTTGTTGCTGTTGCTGTTGTTGTTGCTGCAGTTGCTGTTGTTGCTGCAGTTGTTGTTGTTGTTGTTGTTGTTGTTTTACTCCTATACTATCTTGAATCATAGTGTTGGTGGTAGGATCATAATGAGGCAACGGTGGCAAATACTCAACAGGTATGAATCCATGATTCTTGTTAGGTACTCCAGCTGATGGTGTTCGGAAATGGTTTCCGCCTGCTTTGCGTTCCTTTTGTTTCTCCTGTTTTGTTGGTGATGGTTTAAAACTAGACTCCTTTTCCTTTGCGGTAACTTTCATACTCACTCCACGACGTACCATTGGGTCCACTTGCAAGTGGAAACTTTGAGGCAGCACACGAATATTGTCTTTTTCATAACTTGGAGAAGCCGATACTTTTGTTGATGATCCGGTCTTGCTGCCCCCCTTTTTGGAAGACAATTTTCTAAATAAATTGTTGAACCCAGTCGTTCCAACTCCTATATTCTTAGGATCCAATGTTTCAATCGGTGTTGTGCTTCTTGGACTAGTTGGTTGTTGTGTAGGTAGCAACAGGTCGCTTTTTCCCGATGCTTGTGTTTGATTAGCACTAAACGAAGATTGTCCTGGAGATGTATGTGCTTGCTCTGGAACAAGTATAACAGGACGAGACGCAATGCCTGAAATTGACTTTCTTTGATCTCTCTTTGGATCCAAGGTTTTTGGGGTAGACTCGCTGAATGTTTCCACGATTTTTGGCTGAGAGATGTTTGGTGTTTGCTCTTTCGATGGACTATATTGTCCAGCAATGACAACTTGAGTAGCAACTTCAGTTGATGGAACAATAGCTTTCTGGTCGTCTTGTTGAGTCCTTGATTTCGTCGCTTGTTGTTGTTGTTGTTGTTGTTGTGGATAATAAGAAACATCCTCTTGTGGTGTTGGATATGAAGCATATGCTTGTTCTTGCCGCTGGTGCTGGAGTTGTTTCTGCTGTTGCTGAGCTTGAAGCAACTTCTGTTGTTGCTCTTGTTGAGCAATTTGTGCTCTGATGGCATCCTCTTTTGCCTTCTTTCTCTTTCTCATTTCGACAACAAGGAAGTATATCGATACCAAAGGATGGAAACCACCTGTAGGGTCAGGCAAAATATTCGAGTTTGGTGCAGAAGCATACTCCTTTCCCTGTTTTGTCACATTGTACCAATTTTCGCAACTCATCTGATATTCAACACTAGTAAGTATTGATGTCAAATCTTCTGTAACGGACTGAAATGATCCTAAATCAAAAGCAACAATTTGTTTGATAACCTCTGGATCTAAGGGCAAGTGTAAAGGCTCCCTACGCGGTAAATAATTTGAAACCTTATGGTCATAGCCTTTGTTCAACCATGGATGAGAAGTAATCTCATACAAAGAAGCCCTCTTTACAGGATCAACAACCAACATCCGAGCAAGTAATGAGACACACTCTCGAGAAAGGAAATTAGGATATTCAACATTTCCCTTTTTGATCTTTTCGTGCAAAACAGAAACCGATTGATCATCAAAGGGAACCTTACCGCATACCAACACATAAAGAACCACACCAAAAGACCAAATATCAACTTCCGGTCCAATGTACGGCTTGGCGCTTAATAGTTCAGGAGCTGCAAAGTAAAGCGATCCACAATAAGTTTTCAACAACGTTCTGGGCGCGTAAAGGTTTGACAAACCAAAATCAATAATCTTGACATCTCCCTTCTCGTTAATCATAATATTCTCAATCTTCAAATCTCTATGAACAACATTGTTTCGATGACAATAATCCAAAGCCGATGCTATTCCTCTGGCAAATTTCCTTGCATGTCTTTCCTTCAAAGAACCGTGTGCCACAATATAATCCAACATTTGCCCCCCTTCAATATATTCAAACAACATATAATAATGATTCGTCATTGGCACCATCTCATACAATCGACAAATAAAAGGGTGAAATAACAATCTCCCAAGCGCTCCTTCTCTTATTGTCCGCTTATCTCTTGCTAACTCCTTGTCATAGTCCTTATGCCTTTGTGATGCTTCTTGTGTCGATTGCGGTGGCGGATCATTTGCATGGGCTCGCTGGTATAGCTTAGAAGCTCGTGGAATAATTTTGACAGCACAAATTTCCCGTGTTGTATTATGCTGTGCCAATTTAACTTTACCCATTGATCCGGCACCAATCGTCTTGACAAAGTCCCAATCTCCAATTGATTTTCTATGAAACTGTTGTTGCTGATGTTGTTGCTGTTGATGCTGATGCTGATGCTGTTGTTGATGCTGTTGTTGATGCTGTTGTTGAGGTTGCTGTTGAGGTTGCTGCTGAGGTTGCTGTTGAGGTTGCTGTTGAGGTTGCTGCTGCGGATGCAGGGACAGTAGAGAATGTTGTAATTGAGATGGCTGCTGGCTTGAACTTGATGGATTCAACTGAAATTGCTGCAGTGGACGAAATTGTTGTCCCTGTTGAGTTTGACTTTTCCGACGTGTAGGTGGTTGCTGGTTTTGTGATTGCGATGATCTGGGTTGAATATGATATTGAGATAATTGCTGATCCCGGCTCAGAGTTTGTGAAATTTTGCTTCCTTCCGGCATATGATCTGGAGGATTAAATGGTTGTTGATGCATTTTTGCCATAACTCCGACTGGTGTTGATGCCGGGGATGGGATTGCGAGTGGTGGCAACAATTGATCTTTCTTTTGAGGTGAGTTTGCAGTCTCTATCCTTCTGCTCTTGTCGTCAGGTTTGTATGCACCCATACTCATTGAATTTGGATTTAAATTTGGATTTTGTTGAGCCAAACTATCCAAACGAAAGCTCGGTTTCCGCTTGTGAGTTTCTGTATCGCCTGCAGCAGTATAATGTTGGGATTCGCCAGGTTTATTGAGGTCCAATTTTTCGGTATCATTAGAAGTAGTAGGAAGCAAATCCGACTTTGATCTCAAGGTTCCGCTTACACTTCTTAGCATTCTTGGAGTAGCTGGCTGGCCATTGAACGATTGATCACGGGTTTGATCACGGGTTTGATTTTGATTTTGATTTGTTAATGATGCGAGCTGCAGCAGTTGCTGCGACGGGTTAGGGGCCAAATACTTATTTGTCTCATAATTTAGCTGCGCCTTACTAGTATCATCAGACATCTTGTCTTGACTTGTTCACCAACTAGTTTATTGACGAAAATGAGATATACTGCAATTGGACAAAAAGTTTTTCTTGATCTCGAATCTAGGGCCTTCTTTATTTGATGTTGACAAGAAAAAAAGGTTAGCCAAAACCACTTTATGGAAACTTTAGTCTTTTTCTCAACAATCACCAAGATTGTTTTTGAAGGTTGAACAAAAAAAAAACTGGGATGGAAAGGGGGTATAAACACACTCAGCCTGAATTAAAAGACTTTTTACCGGGTTTCAATCAATGCTTCTTAATTGGATCCAAACTACACGGGTTTGTTAATTAATAAAAAGAATTCTATAGTTATATCAATAGTGTATTTTTATACTTTTATCAAGAGAAACGACTTTTTCTATCTTGTTATTTTTTCGTACTAACAAATAATTAACGATTATTAATGTTGTATTGATTTTTAGTCGTTTTCGTATTTAATAGGGAGCCCAGCTAGCGAGGGCAGCGAGCTAATACCACGAGCGAAGCGAGCTAATGTCATTTTTTCTGTTGCTCTCAACAGAAAAAATGACATTCCGCGAGCGCAACTAGCGAGCTGAGCGAGCCATTACCGCGAGCCATTATTGCGAGCCATTACTGCGAGAACAGCGAGCTATTATCTCTTACCAGCTCAGCGAGCTATTATCTCTTAGCAGCTCAGCGAATTATTAATACCTTTATAGCGAGCCACTACTCTTCTATAGAGCTCAGTGAGCTATTATCTCTTACCAGCTCTGCTAGTTATTATCCCTTACCAGCTCTGCTAGCTATTATCTCTTGCCAACTTTGCGAGCTATTATCTCTTAGCAGCTCAGCGAGCTATTATTACCTTTATAGCGAGCCACTACTCTTCTAGAGAGCGCAGCGAGCTATTACCCTTACCAGCTCTGCTAGCTATTATCTCTTGCCAACTTTGCGAGCTATTATTACCTTTATAGCGAGACACTACTCTTCTATAAAGCTCACAGCGAGGTAATATTACTTTTCTAAAGAGCTACTACTTTTCAAGAGAGTTACTACATTTCTAGAGAGGTACTATTACTTTTCTAGCAAACTCAGCAAGCTGATGTCTCTAGTGTTTTTCTAGCTTGTTGCGCTCTTTACTTTGTCTACTCTTTACTCTACTATATTTTCTTCCTCGTTATCCTCTTTATTATATCTACTTGTTACACCACTATCTTGTTACTCTCGCAAGCAGAAAGACAGCTCACTAGTGGAGTAAATTATTGAAAGTACTATTACACTAGAAAGTCTTGCTCGACTATAGAGCAACACTATCGAGCAACACTATCGAGCGAAGCGAGATAGTGTTGTAACAAGCTACTTTTGAGCGAAGCGAGATAGTGTTGTAACAAGCTACTTTTGAGCGAAGCGAGATAGTGTTGTAACAAGCTACTTTTGAGCGAAGCGAGATAGTGTTGTAACAAGCTACTTTTGAGCGAAGCGAGATAGTGTTGTAACAAGCTACTTTTGAGCGAAGCGAGATAGTGTTGTAACAAGCTACTGGGTGTCGCTCGATAGTGCCGCTCGATAGTGTCGGTTGAAAGACCAAGCTAATACGTGTTGCTCCACTATCGAGCGACACTATCGAGAAGAGCGAGATAGTGTCGTAACAAGCCAATGGGTGTCTCTCGAAAGTGTTGCTCGATTTGCTCGCTAATCAAGAGTATATTCAATAAAAATCAATCTACAAAAGGAGAATCTATATCAACATATGTTGCTCCACTATCTCGCTCTGCTCGATAGTGTCGCTCGATAGTGCCGCTCGATAGTGCCGCTCGATAGTGTCGGTTGAAAGACCAAGCTATTAGGTGTCGCTCCACTATCTCGCTCTGCTCGATAGTGTCGGTGTCGCTCGCTTTGCTCGCTAATCAAGAATATATTCAATATAAATCAATTTACAAAAGGAAAATCTATATCAACAAGTGTTGCTCCACAATCTCGCTCTGCTCGATAGTGCCGCTCGATAGTGTCGGTTGAAAGACCAAGCTACTAGGTGTCGCTCCACTATCTCGCTCTGCTCGATAGTGCCGCTCGATAGTGCCGCTCGATAGTGTTGGTGGGCCCTCAATGATGAGCTTTCAAATGTGGGTACTCCAAAGCATAACCAAATAAAAGTACAACAACAGCCAAGTGAAGAAGTGGTTTTCCCGAGGCATTGTCTCCGTCAAAGTAAGCTTGTTTATATCTAACAAATGGGTTCGAAGACTTTTTAACCGCTGGTGCTGGTCCTTGTGGTAATTTCTTGTAAAACGAAACAACTTCGCTCATTCTTTTAGCATTTGGTGCTGAGCCAACACTCTAAATAGTAATATCGTTAGTATTCTGAAGCTAATTGTAGACTTGTAGACTATCGAGCACAGCGAGATAGTCTAAAATCTACTCTCTCTTTTCTCTCAATCCTATGCCTGATTCCTACCCTTACTTCCAGTAATATCGACCCTTAAACCAAGCTAATACGTGTTGCTCCACTTTTCAGTTGAAAGACCAAGCTACAAATTCTGCTCGATAGTAGAAAAAAAACATACCTTAGCTGAGGCAATCTTTGGTGGAATCAAAGTTGACAATTGTCTTCTAATAACAAACGACATGATTGGTAATAAACTGAATCGTTTCTAACCTTTAAAGTTGGCTTTATTTCAACTTTTCCTTTTGGTTAAATTTTTCGCACTACAAATATTTTTGTAATACAATACACGACTGAAAAATGATTTGCTACAATTTGTTCAAGAGGATTCAAAGAGAAGAAGAAGACTCATAAGCATATACAACATTAAATATCATGTCTCATGACAAGGGGCTTAAACTAATAAATATCATGTCTCATGACAAGGGGCTTAAACTAATAAATATCATGTCTCATGACAAGGGGCTTAAACTAATAAATATCATGTCTCATGACAAGGGGCTTAAACTAATAAATATCATGTCTCATGACAAGGGGCTTAAACTAATAAATATCATGTCTCATGACAAGAGGTTTAAACCAATAAGTATCATGTCTCATGACACAAGAGGTTATCTTTTGAAACTGAAAAAATGTGGTGTTCAATTTTCACTTATATACAACACTGTACAATCGGTTAGTAAATGCATTAGTAAAGAAGAAGAAAATGATGGTAGCAAACAGTATAGCTTTCATCTAAAGAAGACTATTGAGCACAGCGAGATAGTCTACTATCTACTCTCTCTTCTCTCTCTTTTCTTTTTTCTCTCTGCTCAATAGTGTTGATCTATCTACTATCAACTAGACTCGTTTCACTCGTCTAGTCTCTCTGCTCGATAGTGTTGATCTATCTATCAACTAGACTCGTTTCACTCGTCTAGTGTCTAGTCTCTACATACCGTTATTTCCTCTAAGAAACAAATCCTTGTATTTTCTAGTAACTTCGCCATTGATAACTTCCCTCCCATTCTCTAGTACAACATTCATATATCCGTCAATTGTCTGTAGATCGCCATGATACTCAATTCCATTGTGTAATTTAACCTTGACTGAGGATCCAATTATATCTCCTAAAAACTTACCAGGATCCGTTCTTTCGTTGGACATTATCTTTTGGTTCCTTACTTGATTGTTCAAGACCTCTTCAAGTTCTTTATAAAAAAAAAAAAATCAAAGTCTGATTTTTCAAAGCTCTTAGCGAAAAGACGGTCGTGCAAAGAGATACAAGATGTTATCTATAACATCTATTGATATTGAAAAACTATACAACATTTTCTACTCCTCTTTGGTTCTACTCCTCTTTGGTTCTACTCCTCTTTGGTTCTACTCCTCTTTGGTTCTCAATAGTCTAGAGTGGTGCTGGTATACTCCACTATCTCGCTCTGCTCGATAGTGTCCCTCCTCTTTGGTTCTCCTCTTATTCTCTTATTTAATCAATGAATTAATAACTGTGAATAGATGTACTAATTTCTTCAACAAAATGATTTCTTGGCTATCCTTTTTATAAATTGACGAGCTGACTTGGTTGGCATCAAGTAAATAATCTCTTTTCAAAACACCAACAACCAACTGTTTGACCACATCCTCCATTAACGATTTGGTTTGCACTATTCCCGGTTTATAATTCGGTCCCATTGCCAATAGCACAGTGGTAATCAACTCAAATATTGGTATCACCAAATCAAAATACGATAACGTATTTTCGTCTTTCTCAATATTTTCTGGATTCACCAAGTCGGTCAACGATAAGGGAGTATCCAACAACACCTTGATAGTGGAACTTTTTAAATTCCGAGTTTCGCTTACATACAAATTTAATCCCAAATCGGGGTCAATTTTAAGTAGTTGTAAATGTTTTAATGTAGCAAATAGCTCACTTTGAATCAATTGTAAGGCACCCACTTTAGTTTGAGCAATTTTCACCAACAAGTATAAAACAGCTTTAAATGCAGTTAGCTCCACAAACAAGTCGTTGAAGCTAAAGTCGGATTTTTCTTTTGACGTTGACTTTATCACCTCGTCTGTTCGACGAATTGAGCGCAACATTTGTGATAAGAAATTTGTCTTTACCATATTTTCGAGCACAAACTCGGTCTTGATAATATATCCTAACCGAAGTAACGATTCCAATGCAAATATGGCATTGATTCTTGCTAATCCTTCAGAGTAGGACAAGTCATTACTGATAACAGGGAAAAATTTCTTACTGACTGCCTTGATTTGTCTCATAAGCAAATCCGAAAGCAGCAGCTCACTGGTGCATGCCACCAACAAAAAACTGTTAAATATCGTGTACAACTCCGCTCTCAAATTTGGAGTTGAGTTTGAACTAATAATGCCCGAAACGCAAGTATGGAATAAAGGCATTACCTTGGTGATAAGCATAACATTTTCTTCGACATTCTTGCCAGCTGCAGCTAAAAACTTTTTGCTGTACAAATCAAATAATGAAACACACAACGATATCAATTCCTCTGAAAATGTTACATCAGACTCCAAGTATGCTGATATCTTGGGTAATATCGAATTGAATACTTCAATTATAAAGTCGCTTGACTGGATCTGTTCTTCAATTATCAAAATCTTCATCAATTGGCACCATGACTGTAAACAACTAAGCTGCACCTCTCTTGAATTTGTCATAACAAGGAATTTAGTGACAAATTCGTGTATTTTAATTCCTTCAATCATAATCTCTTCGGAAAAAGATTGCTTGGCTTCAGGAGTGATAAGATTCGATCCTTGACACAATATCCTAAATACATTCTTTAAAATTGAATAGTTGAATTGATAATTTGGTTTTGCAACTTCTTCCAAAACTAAGCTCATATCAAATGTTCTATTCAAATAATCGTATTTTTCAATCTCAAAATTATGGAAAATGTAATTCAACACATCCAAAAAATCCAATATTTTAGCACATGTACTGGGGAACTGGGTTTTATCAATTAGCAAAGATGTGTAATACTGCTTCTTGGTCACAGATTCGACGCTGTAAAGCTCAATAGATAAAAGCTTCAATGCCATATCTCTTTGGTTAATGAAGGAAATGAAAGCTTCTATACTAGGTAATGAGTCAAGAAATTTGTTTTCCACATCAACTGCTAAATCGCCATTAAATTCATACCCACACCACAAGGTTAGCAAGTCTAGTTTGGGTTGGAATGAAATGAGCTTCTCAATCAAATCATTGTATTCCCTAACTAAACTCATGGTTAAAGCAGAAGACACAGGATCTTTGCATAACTTTATCAACACCTCCAAGATCAATGAGGACAACTTGGCTGGCCCAACATCAATAACATGACGATTACCATTATTATAATCCAATTCGGAGATTAAATTCAAGCTCACGCAAAGTGTATTGAGTAAAGTTTCCAAAAAAGTGTTATGCTTTTTGTCACTATTCCAAAAAAGTCTTTGCCCTCTTATCTCATAGCCTAGCAAAAAGTGGGCCACGTTAATTGCGTTTTTTGACTGATCAAGTATCTGTATTAACAAAATCAATATTTCAAACTTTGAATCAAATTTATCTTCAATCTCTTCAAATTTATCAATAAATGCAAATTTTATCTTTTCAGACTCATCAATGTTTTGGAAAGTGGTCAACAATCTGTCATTGTTTAATAATGGGTCAGCTTCGGTTTTGGAATTTCTAAAGTGTGGTGACAGAGCAATACTTTTCACAATCTTTAGTGCATTTGAGGAAATGGAGTTTTCGCAACTGACAAATAAGGCAACATGCACGATGGAGGATATATGGAATAAAAAGATTTCGTGAAATGAACTAACACCTTGTGAACCTAAGCTTTTGGCAAGGTAAATATTATCAAATATAGATTGCGGCTGGTTCAAGACTAAACTCATTGAGGTTCCCATACCAACAATTGAATTCCGGTGAATTGGTTGTTGAATAATATTTCTGCTTTTCAAAACAGGTAGCAAGTATGTCTTGTATGTATCTTGGATTTCCATCAACATGGTAAGCACATCTAATGCTTGGCTAACAATTTGAGAAATTGTTGAAGAAGAATTTACCGAGTCAATTCCTTGATTAATGACTTTGAACAAAGCCTGACAAATATTATTTTCAAAAAAGTAACTTACAATTGCCAACGAATGGTGCAACTTAACATAAACATCGTAGTTTATAGGAGCCCCAGGAACTTTGGAATCAAACATCGTGTCAAAGGATGAAGTCTTGAAGTCTCGAATAACCTTCATAGCAATATGACTTAGAAATCGCCAATCAACTTCTCTCAATGCATCACTGCATAATGATAGCACAAGGGTTTGCAAATTGATTCTATCATTAGAATTGTCTAGGCTGTGGGACTGGCCAAACACCTCTCGCAAAAGAAACTCAATATAGGGCCAAATACCAATTTGATTATTTGGTCTATAGCCATATCCCAAATCACACGGATAGGCTAGTGTATATTTATCAAATGCATTTGCTGTACCAAGTGGTTGCAATAACTTTTTTACGATATCGGTGAAATTCAACACTTGGCTATAGTGTGTCAAGTTGTTGACAAATACCTCAATCATTCCAAGGGATCTTTTTCTTGTGTATTTCCTAGTTTCGTTTTGCTTACCAAACAAATCGTTTGAATTCTGGTTTGGTACAACCATGTGCAATCCATGATACATCCATCGATCAAGAAGTCTCCAAATTTCATATCTTACAAATGAATCATTACTATTCTCAACAAAGTTCCCCAATAAGCGAAACACCAAGTTCAACAAAATCACACGTGAGTCATCGCTGACATGTATTTCCGGCAAATCAACATAGCTTGGACTATTTGATGGGTTGGAATTAATGTTAACTTGCAATATCTTCCCCCCATTGATCAAATTGTCAAAGTCTAGATATTGACTTATTATAGGTATGAACCTCTGGTATGCAATATTTCGTATTTCAATATCTCTATCTGAGTTATCCGAGAGATTCTTCAAGATGGACGACAATAAATGTGCAAAACCAGAGATCGATACAATCGAATCCTCTGCTAGTTCAATGCAAATTTTGTTGCTTTGACCACCTTCAACATCAATACTGGGTCGGTTAGCAAACATGGTTTCGTGTTTTTTTTGGAGAACAAGAAACTGTTCAGCCAAGTCTTCTTCAAAATTAGTCTTTAAAGATTCAACGTAATAAAGTAACGAGTCATGAATTGAATCAATTGATATTTTCGAATAATCATTCTTTTTCATATTTGTGTTATTATTGTTTATCAAGATGTCCCAAATTTTTGTTGCCATTTTAGATCCCCCAGAAGCCAAGGAAGCTAACAAAACACTAAACGATGCCACAATCAAAGGCGAGGTGTTATTAGATAATCCCCACGATAAGAATCCCACAACTTCATTTGTTATTTCTTCTTCTGACCAAAACAACGAACACAATTCAGGTCTATTGTCATATGTATAAGCAAATGCTAGATAAAATCTTTCCAAATCTGCTCGTTGAGCAATTTCATCAAACTCCAGTAGTGGCGGAGAACTTTCCAATTTTTTCTTTTTATCATCATTATCGCTATCGTCGTCACTAGTTTCATCCTCCGCTTGTCTATCTTGAAACGATAATGCAAAGTCCTCCTCGCTATCTCTTAACGATGTTAATATCAATGCAGCATTAGAAATAAAAGTGCTGAAAAAGGTTTGAAAAAGCGGCGCTATCAAAGAGTCATTAAACTCTGGATTTAGCTTTAAAAAGGAAATATCTGTTAGTTTTTTCACATTTTCCAAACCTGGTCTCTGTCGAGCAAGGTTGTTTAGTTCACTTGAACTTGGATATGTAAACTTGGTTGGTTGCATTCTGGGAAGACTTGTTTGTAGTAAAGATCTAAAGTCATAGGTATCTGATAGTTCAAATATATTTCTAGTTTTTTGTGTTGCGGTTTCAGAACAATAACTTAGTAAAAGCTCCATTACTCCATAGCTAATCAACTGTTCCATGTACTTGATTATACTCTCCTGAAAGTCATATTTTGATTGTGATTGGGACTGTTTCTTACACCAGGGTATAAACTGGGTAAGAAATACAAAGCTCGTGACTATTTCGAATCCATTGAGGTTAGACTTTGATAAATCAAAAGTTTCACTTTTTTCCAAATGTATCGATTTGACAACAATATGTGTGTACAACTCACTCATTATCTCCGTCTCTTGAGCTTTTTGATAAAAGTTTAAAACAAAGGGTATAAAATGAGTAACGAGAATATCATCGCTACTTAAACAACTTTTCACAATGGTCAAAATTTTTTGGTAATTTTTCAACTGACCGATTTTGTCAAAGTAAAATTGAGATAGTCCAAATAGAATCAGTCCTAATAGTTCATGGCACTTGAACAACTGCACCCTAGCGAAATTGACCCCATTGATGAACACTAGATTATTAACATCACCCGTGACTTTTTGCTTATCGATCATATTATTTAGATTTCCAACTAGTTTATAAATCTTGTCAAAACTAGCAACAACATTATCAAACACCTTTTCTACATCCAAATTGAGCTCCCGTTTTGATACCAAATAGCCCAAGATATTCAAAATGTACTCGTCTCTAAGAAAATAACTCAATTTTGCCGAATCGTTTAGGGAAGTTCCCTTTTTAAAGCTTATTTCCTGAGCATTGTATAAAAGTTCCGCAGTACATATCTCATCCAAATCCAACTCTGTAGCCAAAACACCACTAATCTCGACAAATGCTTGATTTGGCTCAATCCTGTCTCCATTGGAAAGAGTAACCGGCTCATTCAACTTATTTCTTGACTCCTGCAGTGGTATGGGTGTTGTAAGAACATGTAAAAGATCCGTTGATATAGGCAGGAAATCTAGCGTAGACAAGTCAATATCTGGTTGAAATTTGATTGCATTGTATATCTCAGCAAACTCATCGGGCGACCACTGAAATGACATTCTACAGAAAACGGGCCCCCTCTCCTACCAACAAAAGCAAATATAGTAAACCTTGTTTATTAATCAATGCCTTTTGAAAAATTCAGTTGGAAATTTATCAATTTTTTTTTTCTACCATCAATGCGCTACCAATAGAAGCCTACCCTCACAAAGGTCAAGCTCACCTCAAAGATGGCCCATCTTTGTATTGAAGAAGGAGAAGAGTAACTTGGAAAGAGCCTTTCTCTCAGCTCAGCTCAGCTTAAAGATGACCCATCTTTGAGCCAAGAGCAAGTTGGAAAGAGCCTTTCTCTGTCTCACTTAGAGCAACTACATAGAAGACTACGTTTTGTTCAAAGAAAAGAAGAAAAAAATGCAATCAAAACCTGTAAATGAACTGAACTCTTCTCACTCCTTTCACCTCCCCTTCACTCTTCTTACTCTCCTCACCTCCCTTCACTCTTCTCACTCACCTCACCTCCCTTCACTCTTCTTACTCACCTCACCTCCCTTCACTCTTCTCACTCACCTCACCTCCCTTCACTCTTCTTACTCACCTCACCTCACTTCACTCTCCCCTTTCTTCTTCTAGTACATAGAAATATTTACTCCATCATACAAAGACAAGGTCAAGTGTGACATCTTTTTAGGTGGGTATGGAGTATTAGGGTCCATAGTCAAATGGCCAAACTCTTGGATCAACCTCGTTACAACATAACTAGCTTCAGTCAAGGCAAATTGTTGTCCCAAACAAATTCTAGGACCTCCATTAAATGGTACAAAAGCCCAGCCCAATTTCCTAGTTTCTGGTTCAAACCATCTTTCAGGTCTAAACTCATTAGCATCTTTTCCGTAATACTTTTCATCCCTGTGCAATGCAAACACTGAATAAATAACATTTTGACCTTTGCGGATCAATATAGGTGATAATCCATCTTTTCCACCACCATGGGGTAAAGTTGTTGTTCTTGTAGCAATTCTGAAATTTTGTGGCACCGAGGGATACAAACGCAAACATTCATTCAAGACAGCTTTCAAGTACTCGCATCCTTTCAACGACTCAAATGTAATTTCATCAATACGAGCCTCTTTTCCTGAACCAAATTTGTTATATAATTCCTCCTTCAACTTGGCAAACACATTTGGATTTCTTGCCAATTCAAAAAAGACAAATGACAATAATCCTGCAGTTGTATCTCTACCAGCCACCAAGATATTCAACAATTGATCCTGCAAGACTTTTGGGTCTCTAGTGTGTTTAACCAATTCGTAAAGGAAAATATACCCATTTTCCTTTTCCAAATCAGCAGCCGTCAAACTCAATGCCTTTCTAACATAGTGTTGAGCAAACTTGTGAACCACTTGATTACATTCTCTAAATTTTTTACCATTCAACAACCAATAAAACTTTTGCAACACGACTCTTGAAGCCAAGTAGTTTTGTGAAAAGTTGAAAGCTTTAGCAAACTCCTTTGTACCGGGGATCTCAGTAGCGTCATTTTGCATGCCAATTGAAGCATCTCGAAGACTCTCAACAGATTGGCCAAACAAAAACTCAGTAGCCGAATCAACAGTAAGTCTGAAAAGCAACTCTTGAATATCAAAAACTTGTCCCTTGCTCTTATAAACGTGTTTGAAAAACACTTGAATGTGAGGCTCCAACATCTTGACATGGGCAATTTGTTCTCTAGCAAATTGTGGTCTCAACATTTGACGAGAATCTTTCCATCCTTGGCCGTCCAAAGTGAAGATCCCGTCACCCAATAACGGTAGGAAATGAGCATGTCTTGTACCCAAGGAAAAGTCACTAAACTGAGTTGCCAATATAGCCTTGATATTTTCGGGATCTTTTGTAGCAACAATTGGAATATTGAAAATTTTAAAGGTCAAAGTAGGCACATCTGGTCTTGATATTTTCGAGTACCTTTCGGCGCTAAAATCTATAAGTGTTCCTTCACTCTTCTTTTTAATGAGAACAAATGGTATATGGAAGCCAAAATACCCATCGGTTTCGAAATTAGCAAATCGTTTAGCACCAAATTTCTTCATCAAATACACTTCATATATAGTGTCAAACAACTTGTACAAGATGAATATTAAAGGTACAATTACATACCATTTGGTAACATAGGTACTAACAACCTCTATCAAACTCAGCATCAGCATCAGCATCGTAATCTCACTACTAATATTATTGCAATAGCTAATAGCTCAACCTGTTTTGAGCTTTTCCTGCAAGAGATATTAGAGATATTAGAGATATGTGTATTACTTTATATGCTTGCTTACAATCCCCCCTCTCTCCCCCAGAAAAAAGAATCAAATGACTTTTCCATTATCCTCTTGTCTTTTCACATGAAGTTTGTTTGTTTAAAATTACAAAGTTTCTAACTCCGGTGGTTTTTAGTGCATATTTTGTTTGCGGAGTTTAATTTTTGATGGAAATTGTTTTTCCATCCATTGTAAAGGGCATCAGCGCTACACTACCCTTGCATTAAGGCTATTACAGCAAATAAAAAATGTATCTAGAAGGTTTAGTAAGGTGAAGAGAAAAAATATCATCAATTGATATTTCCCATCTTCCCCCCTTTTATCACTATCGAGGAGAGCGAGATAGTGGAGTATTACCTTTTAATACTATCGAGGAGAGCGAGATAGTGGAGTATTACCTTTTAATACTATCGAGGAGAGCGAGATAGTGGAGTATTACCTTTTAATACTATCGAGGAGAGCGAGATAGTGGAGTATTACCTTTTAATACTATCGAGGAGAGCGAGATAGTGGAGTATTACCTTTTAATACTATCGAGGAGAGCGAGATAGTGGAGCAGTACTTTATACCTATATACCTTTAAGCATTACTTTATACCTATATACCTTTAAGCATTACTTTGTACCTATATACCTTTAAGCATTACTTTGTACCTATATACCTTTAAGCATTACTTTGTACCTATATACCTTTAAGCATTACTTTGTACCTATATACCTTTAAGCATTACTTTGTACCTATATACCTTTAAGCATTACTTTGTACCTAGGTAACTTTAAGTTATAATTCTGCAACACCTTGTACCTTGATACCTTGAGTTATTATGTATCAACTTTAGTTGTATTATCTATCAGCTAATTTCAATTTGCTACATTTGTCAAGTGTCAGCTGATATGAAAAAAGTATATAATAGAGAATAAACTCCTTATAGAAATAAGAAGTTTTCTCTATTTTACCTCCTTTTTAGGAAATTATGGATAAATATAATTAGCGGAGATAGAGAATTGTTGGGGTTGCCTAATTGGTACACTACACTACACTTTACTATCGAGCGGAGCGAGATAGTGGAGCACGCTGACTACATCGACACTACACTACACTATCGAGCGAAGCGAGATAGTGGAGCACACTGAATACATCGACACTACACTACACTATCGAGCGGAGCGAGATAGTGGAGCACATTGTGGGGGACTGAAAACTACATAAAAAATAATATTATCGACACTACCCTATTTCGCTCTGGTCGATATACTGACTACACAGACACCATTTCGCTCTGCTCGATAGTGGGGCAACACTCTGTACCCTTATACTTTTTCACACACGGGTTTGATTTTTTTTTCCAATCTCATAATGTTGATATTTCTCCTCTATTGTATTTTTATCTAATGTTGATACTTTTGCTCTATTGTTTTTCATTTAATGTTGATATTTTTCCTCTATTATTTTTCATCTAGTGATTAGGTGTAGTCATGTTGGTCCACTATCTCGCTTTGCTCGATAGTGTCGAATGAATTTGGTTGCATCCTAGTGTATAGACGTTTTTACAATTTTTTCTTGACTCTATTTGCAGCTTTTATCATTATGTTTGTTTTCTAATTCTCTAGTGCAGCCGTTTATTTTTATAAACGGTCGACACTACACTACACTACACTATCGAGCAGCGACACCATCGAGCGGAGCGAGATAGTGGAGCACACTAACGACACCTAGTATGCTTGACTATCGAGCAGCTAGTATGGTTGACTATTGAGCAGCTAGTGTGCTCTACAATCAAGCAGTTAGTGTGCTCTACAATCAAGCAGTGTGCTCTACAATCAAGCAGTGTGCTCTACAATCAAGCAGTGTGCTCTACAATCAAGCAGTGTGCTCTACAATCAAGCAGTGTGCTCTACAATCAAGCAGTGTGCTCTACAATCAAGCAGTGTGCTCTACTATCTCGCTTCGCTCGATAGTGTCTAGTGGTCCACTTTGCACCTTGTTACAACTACGAGAGCCAATATTTACTTATTAACCTTTAACTTTTGATCTTCTTTGCTTTTCATTTTCCTTTAACTAGCTTTTTGCTCTTCCTTTAACTGCCTTTTTACTTTTTGCTCTTGCTTTAACTGCCTTTTTACTTTTTACTCCTTTGCTTTTACCTTTACTTTTTTATCTTACTATTAATTTTGCTCTTTCTTTTTCCCTTACTATTTACTCTTCTTTTATTATTTACTCTTCCCTTACTATTTACTCTTTTTTTACTATTGCTTTCTCTTGCTTTCTTTTTTCTCTTGCTTCTTTTCTCTGGCTTCTTTTCTCTGGCTTCTTTTCTCTTGCTCTTTTTTTGGCAAATTTATTAGATAAACTTTTTTCTACAAGTCTAGAGTATCAAGTATCACATTACAATTAAAACGTCAACTTCCTCTAATAATAATCTACAATTACAAAACTTACAACTAGTATCTTATTACTGACTCTCGCTACTAATCTTAAACTGTCTCTTTACTTGTCTCTACTTGCTCTACTTTCCCTACTTTTGCCCTACTTGCCTCTTTATTCGCTATACTTTCCAGTTGAAAGACCAAGCTCTGCTCGATAGTGTCTACAAAGTATTGCTCGATAGTGTTAGGAGCTAGTATGCTCCACTATCTCGCTCTGCTCGATAGTGTTAGGAGCTAGTATGCTCCACTATCTCGCTCTGCTCGATAGTGTAGCTCGATAGTGTTCCTCAATGGTGTTGCTCGTTTATAAACTTTTTTCTTCATTGGACAAAACTTTACTAAGCAAGTTACTCATTACGTTCTCCCCCCCCCCCTCAGGATATTATCAGCTACCGTATCACAAACTTCCCCCTATAGACCACCTATCATTTCAACTACATTGACTACAACTACATGAATCATATTGATTACCAATACATCGACTAAACCCAACCTCAACCATCTTTCTAGCCTTCCCTTCCCTTCCTCTTCCTCTTCCCCCTTTTTTTTTTCCCTTCGTCTTTACCTTCTGCATTCCTATTGGACAACAGAACAAGTCGACACGCAACTCAAAAAAGAAGGAGAAAAATTTTTCTTTTTTCGTTAACTTTTTTTTGGGAAGAAAGATCCATACCTCAGTACTTAGCACCAAGATAAAGGGGCGGCGGGCCATCACCATCAACGAAGAGGTTCCAACCATTATTCGCCTATATTGCCAGTGCGATAGCAAGGAAATAAGCATAGAATCAATCTCGCAAAAAGAGGAGGGTGGGTATTCAATCCCCGGATATGGCAATTATACCAGCAAAAAGTGAAAGCAAATCCAAACAACATGCTGCTGGTGTGAGATTCCGTCAAAGGAAAATCTCGGTTAAACAACCATTAACAATTTTCAAGCAACGAGAGTTGCCCTCGTTAGATGCATCGGAGTTGGAGCCGAGTCAGATCCATCATTTGAATTCAAATACAATCGGTCAGCCGCCGCGAGATATCCATGCTGTAGAAACTGGTGTCGATAAAAATGAGGAAGAAGAGGTTCATTTACAAAAGGTAATCAATGCGGCTCAAAAGGCTCTCACACTGAGCCTGGCGGCGGCGGCTCTGAGCAGCTCGAATAAATTAAGCGATTTGTATATACCTACACCAGATGCTTCAAAGACATGGCCAGAGGCAGGCAAATACTATAAGGACCAGAAGTTTAAAGAGCCCGAGTCCTATGTCAAGTTTAGTGCTACCGTGGAAGATACCGTTGGTGTCGAGTATAATATGGATGAAGAAGATGAAGTATTTTTCAAGGAAACATTACTGAAAAAACTACCGACAAGTAAGAAAAAACTGGAAACAAACCTAGCAAAGTGTACCGAGCTAGAGTTTGAAACAGTATGTGACAAATTGGAAAAAACAATTGAAACAAGACAGCCGTTTTTATCAATGGACCCAACAAATATTCTTTCTTATGAAGAGATGTCAAGCTATATTATAGACCAATTCGAAAGTACCATAAAAACTAGCAACCCTTATGTAGAGTCTAGTGGAGGAAACTTGGATTACTTATCCACATCAACATTAAAGGAAAGGTTATCAAAAGAATTAAATTATAGTCCATTCACTACCATATTTGACAAGGATCAAGACCATACCCCTTTGGTACGTCCAATTTCAAAATTGTTGGAGCTATTTGGGCGCGCAATTTACGAACACTGGAAGAATAGGAAGATAAAACGCAAGGGTCGAAGTATTCAACCTACACTACGGTTCGAAGACCCAAATGCAAATGAAAAGGATAACGACAGCGATCCATACATTTGTTTTAGAAGAAGAGAATTTCGACAAGTGCGAAAAACTAGAAGAGCAGACACAGTGGGAGCAGAACGTATTCGGCTTTTACAAAAATCACTCCATCGTGCTCGAGATCTAATCATGGGCGTTTGCGAGAGGGAAATTTTAAATCTTGATAACTTACATGCTGAATTAGATGTCTTCAAACTTCGTTGCGAGGCTAAAAATCTCAAGCGGGAACTTGGTATCAAGGGCGACGATTATTTGTTCTTCCCTCATAAGAAACGGAAGGTTGTTAAACCGAAAGAAGACGAAGAGGAGAAGGAAAAACGAAAAGAGAAGAAAAGACAAGAGGCAGAAGCTACTGCAAAAGGTCATCAACAACAGCTGCTGCTGCAACAGCAGCAGCAGCAGCAGCACCAACAGCACCAACAGCAGCAACAATTGCAACAACAGCAATCAAATCAACAACAGGAAGGGGCTTCCAACAACCAGCCATATATCAAACTTCCAGCTGCAAAAATCCCGGATATGGATCTTGTTACCGTTTCAAACGTTTTGAAAGAAAAAAACGATACAATCAAGCGTGCTGTGTTTGAAAAGCTCCGCAAGAGAAAAGAACAAGACAAAGGTTTTGTCAACCTTACAGATGAGCCATACGAGCCAATGTTTGACATTTCGACAAACGATCAAACTGTAGAACCTAGTCATATACCATACTCCTCAATTGCTGCTACCAATTTCTACCAACTCAACACATCTAACTACTTGAGTGAGTCTTTGAAATCGTTATTAAAAGATAGCAAGCCTTTGCCAGGAGTCAGAACTTTCAAAGGGGAAAATGGTGAGTTGATTCCAACTAAAGCATTCCCTCACATACTGTCTCTTTTGCATGAGAAAATGTCGAATCATAAATACAACTCAACAAGTTACATTGCCAAATTATTGCATAATATTGAGATCAACAACTTTGACCAATATACACATGGATTTGTAAAAGAAAGTGCGCTTGAAATGCAGCAGGACGAAGATGATAATGCTAAGTTATCTGAACCTATTTTCAGATGGCGTAAAAGAGCAGGACGCGCTAATAGAATGTTTCTTGATAGAAGAGGTCAACAAACACCAGACATTGTTGACGAGTTTTTCGATTTATCAAATGACGTTGGCGATGCACCAAATGTATACGAGAGCAAACTAGATACGTTGAAAAGATTAAAGTCGAACTGGAAGTTTGATACTGATTTATCTGCCACTCAAAAGGGTGTACTCGAGCCGTTTAGTCTTGACCCATCTCATCTCAACAACATCAGTGACGACACCCAAGCTATACGATTCGGCTCTATGCTTCTTTCCAAGTCCTATGGTTTACTTAAAGAATCCGTTCAACAAAAACAACAATCTTATCTTCAACAGCAACGTATGCGAGTTTTACAACAACAACAGCAGCTAACCAATCGACAAAGTCAACAACACCTTGCGTCAAGTCAAAAGCATAATCAAGCACAGCAGCAATCCCCTCCACCATCACAGCAGCAGCAACAACAACAACAACAACATCATCAACAAGCTCAGAAAAGACTTACCCCTAGCCAACCGAAAAGTTCAACCAATACAGTAAATAACAATCCGAAACCACTTTCGCCAGCTCAAAACTCCATAAACAAGCCATCAGCTCCACGCATTCACTGAATATTGAGACTTTTTTACCAGGTTTCTGTGTATAATATGTACTATAATAAATAATGAACAAAAATAAAAGAAAAGAAATAAAAAAGAACAAGAAAGACATGGTAATGGAAATGGAAACAGAGAATCGCCCCAGTTTGTAGAGTTTATTAGTTTGCAAAAGTCAAGAAAGTAAGTGATTGCATAACCTTGAATGATGTCACAATTGCAACACACAAAACAATTGATGGTGTTCCCAAGAGTTGATATGTGCTTTCATTTTTTTTTAATGATATACAAGCTTATTTCTCCTACGCATCAACAGTCTATAAATTCCTCTATTCTCAAGTCTAAACATTTAGATACACATTCCTCATTTTACTCACAAATCTCTAAAATAGTTTCTAAAATAGTCCCTCTATTTGACCATCATCATTAACTTCGACATTCATAAAACCAGCATGAGTCGGTAAACCAGGAATGGTCATGATCTCTGCAGCTAACGCATACAAATATCCAGCACCTGCAGAACATCGTACTTCTCTAATGGGAACAGTGAACCCTGTTGGAACACCTTTCAATGACGGATCATGTGATAGTGAGTATTGGGTCTTTGCAATACATATAGGTAATTTATCAAATCCTTGTTTTGTATATGTTTCAATTTGCTGTTTTGCTAAAGGTGACAACTCAATATCTTTGGCACCATACATCTTTGTGGCGATTGCATTCAATTTGTTCTCAACGGTATCATTCACATCATACAAGTACTGTTGTTCTCCCTTTGATGATGATTTAACTGCCACAGCTACAGTTTCAGCTAATTCCTTAGCACCTAATCCACCTTGAGACCAGTGGTTTGATTTAACAGCAAAATCGGCTCCTGCTTTCATAGCCAAGCCTTGAATCAACCCAATCTCTGCATCAGTATCAGTTTCAAATTGATTGATTGCAACAACAACTGGTACATTGTACTGTTTGATGTTGGAAATTTGCTTTGCCAAGTTTGCACAACCTTTCTCCAAATATTCCAAGTTTTCGTTAACGTATTCCGCAGGTAAGGATTGCCCTGGCTTGACGTCTGGAGCACCTCCGTGTAATTTCAATGCTCTAGTCGTAGCAACCAAAACCACAGTATCAGGTTTCAATCCAGAGCTTCTACATTTAATGTTAAAGAACCTTTCTCCACCCATGGTAAAATCGAAACCTGCTTCCGTAATAACAAACCCAGCATGGCCACTGTTAATTGGATTGGAAGGAGAAGTCAACTTCAATGCCACCTTGTCTGCAACAACAGAAGATGCACCTATTGAAATGTTTGCAAATGGACCAGCATGTACAAAGACTGGTGTTCCTTCAATAGTTTGCATCAAGTTTGGTTTGATGGCATCTTTCAATAAAGCGGTGATGGCACCGGCAACTCCAATGTCTTCAGCAGTAACGACTTCACCTGTTCCTCTTTGTGTTCCAATAACAATTCTTCCTACTCTTTCTCTCAAATCCTTGAGCGAGTTCGAAAGTGCTAAAATTGCCATTAATTCACTTGCAACAGTAATGTCCATACCCGTTTTTCTTGGTGGGTATTTGCTTGCTTCATTCTTACCTTCACCAATAGTTATTTCTCGAACAAATCTGTCATTACAATCAACAACTCTTTTGATTGTGATCGACTGGGGATCAATATCCAAAATGGCAAATTTTTGGATTTCCTCTGGAGTTAATTCATCTGGATTAATCTTGTTGATACCCAATTTCTTTAATCTCTTCAACATTGAGTAAGTAAATGTCCTTGCGCCCTTTTTAGAAGGAACCAATCTCTTATAGAAACCGCCAACAGATTTTGAAGTTGCTTCGTGGAACATTCTAGTATCGACTGCAGCACAAAGCAAGTTTTGTGCTGCTGAAATAGCATGAATATCACCAGTTAAATGCATATTGAATTCATCCATTGGAATCACTTGCGAATACCCACCACCTGCAGCTCCACCTTTCACACCAAAAGTAGGTCCCATAGATGGTTGTCTCACATTGGCAACGGCATTGTATCCCAATTGTGCCCCAAGTGCCTGGGCTAACCCCATGGTTGTGGTTGATTTTCCTTCTCCCAAGGGAGTAGGGGTGATACCTGCAACTAAAACATAGTAACCTTTATCGTCTGCTGAACCTTCAACTTGTTCATCTAGTCTCTCAATCACGGATTTGGAATCAACTTTCGCTTTGTAATGACCAAATGGCTCCAACTCTCTGTCAAGTATTCCCAATTCTTGGGCTACTCTAGTGATAAGCTTTGGTTTTTGAGCTCTGGAAATATCAATGTCCGATGGCACTGGAGTTTTAAAATCCAAGGGAAGTGCTTTAAATCTGTGTTCGTGAGCCTTTCGAGCGTGCAACACTGCGGCATCATAAACATTTGAACACAACATCGCAACAGTCATTGGTCCAACTCCACCAGGAACTGGTGTGATATATCCCGCCTTTTTGGAAACTTCATCGTATGCAACATCTCCAACCAACCTTTTTCCATTTTTTGCGGTTGGATCTTCAATGTAATTGATTCCAACATCAATCACAATAGCACCATCTTTAACCCAAGACGAACTAACATACTGTGGAATTCCAACTGCCGCAATTACAATATCAGCTCGAGAAACAACCTCCGGCAAGTCTTTAGTATAACGATGACATATGGTAACTGTACAATCTTCATTTCTCAACATGGTGGCGACGGGTGTCCCAACAATATCTGACCTTCCAATAACCACAGCATTCTTGCCTCTTAATTCGATACCGGTTGTTTTGATCAATTCGATGATACCGTTGGGAGTACATGGTTTGTAATACGGAGTACCTCCTTTCTTTGACAATTGTCCGACATTATAGTGGTCAAACCCATCAACATCCTTTTCACTAACCACTGAATTGGTAATCAACGTTTCATCAATATGACTAGGCAATGGTAATTGAATAAGAATTGCATGCACTTTGGGATCCTTATTCAAGCGGTCAATTTCATCCATCAAATCATCTTGACTAATATTTTCATCAAACTTGACCAAATCTGAGCTGATGTTTGACTTTTCAGCAGCTTTCAACTTTGATTTCACATAAGCAGAAGAATCTGGTCTTGATCCAACTTGGATAATGGTCAATCTAGGCTTGAACTTCAATTTTTCAAAAGCTGTCTCATTTGTGCCAAAATGTTCTTTATTGTACGTTAAAACCTTTTCAGCAATTTCCTTCCGTATTTTAGAGGCCAATTTGGTACCTGACACCACTACTGCATTAAGTTGTAGTCTAGTTTGAGAAAAGTTTCTTTGCAGCTTCAAAAGGCGTCTCGTAAGAAGTCTCAGACTCTGTCTCGGGCTTTGTCTCAACATGACTTAAAAACTTTATGACGCAAAATTGCTTTGAACTCCGGGGAAAAAACAAACAAACAAACAAACAAAAAAGGACAAAGGACCTAAAAGAAAAAGATTCTGACTCTTAGTCCAAGTTCACCCTTTTATGAGGCTTAAATTCTGGAGATCAAAGTTAAAACTCTTGTCTTACGGCAAAAAGGGGAAATTTGAGATGCCCTTTTTTTTTTTTTTTTTTTCATTCTCTCTGATGGAAATTTTTCACTAAAAAAAAAAAAAAAAATGTTTGACTTTTTGCAAAGCATTTACTCACCCCAGATCTTTGGTTTTTCTTTTTCCAGTTGATTCACAACAGGTTTTCAAACGTTAACGTTAAATATTCTCTGTCTTTACCATTAGTCCTTTTTTTGTAACTTCCTCAGGTATTGGTCATATTCTTTTCGCTTCGTAGATGGTGCAACATTACCTGAGCTCTCAGGGCTGAAGGATCAATTTTTGTGGTGCTAGTACTGTTGGTATTAGTGGAGGATTCTGTGTGGTTTTTTCTTGTTGTTAGTCTTCTTTTCAAGTTGCTGACACTTTCGTACTCGTTGACTTCACATAAATCAAGGTCAACGGGTTTCGTGGTTAAGGCGTTATTCTTGTTCATTGCCATTGTATTCAAAATTGCGTTTAATCTAGTTTGTTTGCTTTTTATTCTACGATCAGAAATCGTACTTGCTCTTAGCTTTTCCAATAATGAATCAATCACAGCAGAAGACTCTTCCACGGTATCGACAAAGTTCTTATCTTCAGACTCATCGCCGCTTTCAATTGATGCTGCTTCCTTGCTGAGAAGTTTGTCCTCAATCTTTTTCTTTCTTGACTCGTAGATTTTCTGTTCTTCTTCTTTCTGAATGTTTTCCATATGCGCCTTTTTAAACTCATTAACAAATAGCATGATTTTCGCAAAAAAGCTGTCTTTACTATTAACATCATTGGAGTTCTCGCCAAAGTAAGTCATCAACAAGTTGATCTCGGACATTGTTCTTTTCAAATGAGACTGCAAAGTAGTGTTCACGATTTTAGCGTTCTGCATTGGTGCAGCAATAACGGCTAAAATACGGTCCGAAACATGCAAATCGCTTTTTCTGCTCAACCTGCCCTTTTCAACAGCGTCATTAATCACTTGCACCGCTTTGGTCATTTCGTTACAGTCAACTTCTAGTTGTTCAAGAGAAATATTTTGCACTTCGTTCAACTCGTTCAACTCATCAACAAATGAACAATACTCGGGAAAGGTTTGTCTAACAATTCTTTCGAGATGATGCAAAAAGCTCATCGAGTTCAGCTCATCCTTCATAAACTTCAATCTCTGCAATGTTTCAATTTTAAACCCAGAAGCTTGCTTTGAGTACTCATTCATGAAATTTCCCAAAAGCTTAATAATACCAAGAACATTTCGGAGACTTTCACAATTCTTCAAACAAACCACGCACCGGTCTACCACTTTCAACTTTGCTTTCAAATCATGATCGTCTTTCTTGTATGTTTGTGTAAATAAAAGTGCTTTTGATCGCGCTTTCCAGTAATGTCTTAGATTGAAACATAGCTCCAAAAATATTCGATCTGCTCTTTCTAATTCATCGGGATTCTTCTCTGGTTTCTTCTTGTTTCGGGGATCTGTAGCGTACGGTAAAAACTTTTTGGCTAAATTCTCACTGATTTCTGTGACTGCATCACTATTGAAAAACTCAATCACACTGATATTCTCCATAATATCTGGGGAACATCTTAGAACCTTGGATACAAATTTATCCTCAGGGACATTGGAAAATTGGTGCAAGTTGATACCAAATTGTTGAGCAAGATCCCGCGATAAAAAACTGATTTTAGGAAGTTTGCTACCAGATAATGCTTGAGCATCTTTAACATTATTGAGGGTGCCTTTTTTCAAGTTTAGAGAATTTGCGGTAAACACCTTTTCAACTTCTTCAAATACACCTTTTTCAACAAGTTTGTGTGATAACGTGTCATCCTCTATATCAATCCAGAATGTTTTTTCAACATCATGAATTTTGTTCCAGTGCATTTGTTTGAGTCTGGTCTTTGGTCGCAACGAGGTCACCATAGCTCTACTACTATCTGTAGCTAGAAATTCATTGCCGTGAATGGGAGTAGACACGGAGGCCTGATTAGGGATATTGTCTTGTGACGCATTAATAGCGCAAATTTGAACAAGAGAATGTGATTGCAGTACAAAAGGAGTAGCTCCTAATGATTTCTGCAGCAGTGCCTTTCCCATTAAAGAAGGAGGAGGGGGAAAAGGAGGAGCAGGCGGAGGCGGTGGTGGCGGTGGTGGAGGAGGAGGTGGTGGTGCAGATGACAAATCATTAGTATTTGCCATAAATGAAGGTAATGGAGGCGGTGGAGGAGGAGGAGGAGGAGGAGGAGGAGGAGGTGGTGGTGGTGGTGGCGGTTGTGGTGATGTTAATACTGGTGTTGGTGTTGTTGCTTCTCCAGCACCAGTAGTTGACCTTTGGTGTAAATTTTGCCCATCATGATTAGATAGACGAATCAGTGACCCATGAGGGACGTTTGGTTCAATTTGCTCGTTCATAGAGTTTCCCAAAATGTACTCTCTTCTACCAGACTTAGCAAAAAGACCTGGCGGCGTAGGCTGTCTACGAATAGAACCAGGATGGGAATCGTTCAATTCGCCATAAGTCGCTTGACTCATTATTGTTTCTAATTCCTTACTGACTGACTTTCTATTAAGCTTTTCATGTGTATTGTCACTGTCGAGTTTGTTCTCGCTCAAATCATCAAGGGAGTGATTAACTGCTCTGTTTCGGAATATTTTGTTCTTTTCATCTTCCAATCTCTTAATCTGTAATTGTAGCAAGGAAATCTGCTTATTTTGCTGCTCAATCTTTTGTGCTTGTTTTTCGTAATCACTAGGTATTATTAGTTGTTTATCAATGGGTCTCTCATCTGATAGTGCGCTTTTGAGAGATCGATTTATTTCTTTGAGTTTCTTAACCTGTTTTTCTAATTTTTGTGATTCAGCAACAGCCTTACGGGCTATCATCTCTGACGATAGTCCATCTATCAATCTTTGAATGGTCACGTTTGATAGCTGTTCGGGCGTCGTCTTGACTACACCGCTGTTGGTTAGTTGATCTAGCATACACTCCATAAGAAGTACAGCATTCTGGACTCCTTCATTTGTGTTTGGAGGTGATGAATTTTCAATATCTACAAGCCTTGAGAAAACTTTCTCAAGTTTGGCATTTAAGCTTCTCGGTCGTGCCAAACTCTCTGCAAAATTGAGACTCAGGGACTCAAGTACATGGTTGGGGGTGGTGGCACTGCTACTACTTGGTTTATTTTTGTATCCCATGTTAATTTGTACGGTGTCTTCTCTTTCTCCAGTTGATTCGCCTTCTTCTGTGAGGCTCATATCCTCAAAAATGTCGTCATCATCAATATTGTCTTCTCCTTGGTCTGGAGTTTGCGGCAACGATTTTATACTCAATTTTCTCCTTTCTTCAAGCCATCTCTCGCTATCTTCAACGGCATTTGTTTCATAAAACTTCAACTCTTCTTCAATTCTATCATCTTCAAACACTTTGATTTTCTCAAAAATCTTAAGTATATGACCATTGTTGAACTCTTGTCTGATTGCTAGTCGTCTGTTTAAGGATCCTCCAAAGTTTACTAGGAAATTGATAAAGATCAAGGTGATTGTGATATAATTTTTCAAGTGAGATCCAAGCTTACTATTCCATGAAGTCTTAATAAGCGACAGCTCAAATGTGGAAAGCCATGTCTGAAATCGCAGGCCCACAACCGGTTGTTTTTCTAGAAATTTAAACTGACTAATAATCACCAGATATACCTCTCTGTGACGAAAATGCAAAAGGGTGGCCAAAACTTGGGTTACAAGTATTCTTGTTGTTATTCTCGGGGATATTATAGCACCAAGTAATGCACCAACAAGGATCTTTTTATTTTTCAACACATCAACGTCGTCTGATGTCTTGTACGTTTCCTTTCTTTCATGATTTATAATGTGTTTTATGCACTTGACTAGCAAGTACTCTTTATCAAATTCCTCATTTGATTTGATACTTTTCTTGCCAATTTTTGACAAGATTACAGCGAGCGCCGTTTCTCCTTGAGCAAGTAGGAACTTTTGCAACCAAGTCACATACTGGTCATTGATATACTCATCATTTACAACAAGTCTTTTTTCTAATTTCTTCAAATCTTTCAATGTGAGCTTTCCCGCCATAATCCGCGAGACATACCATTCTGGGGAGCCCTCTTTTAGGACGTTTATTTTCTCATTACCCCCACCAGTAGACGATTTTCTTGAGTCGCAATGAGACATATCTGGTGAGCGTATGCTCAGTGAGTCATTATTATGCGACGACGAATAGAAAGTTGAAATGGTATTGTTGTCTTTTGCATGCTGATTTTCCAAAAGCTGAAACTGATGCTGGTATTGTTTGAAAGGCGTGGACCTTGATAATTTGGCTATATCGAAAGCACTATTAGTCTCATTTTCTCGTAGAATCAACTCCCACTTCCTCTCGATTGACTGTTGTCTCAAGGTTTGTATAGCTTCTTCGGGAAAAACTCTAATCGATAATAGTTTTTCAAAAAGACCATCAACAGTCTTGGTATCGGGGATTCTATCTCTATAATTTGATGCGGTATTAAACGTTGATATTGCCTCGCTTGGCGCGTACTTTGTCGTCACATGTAAAGAGGGCGAATTACCTCTCAACATGGATCTAACAAATTGTCTTGAATCTAGTAAGATAAACCGTCTGTGTTTGAAATATTATTTTAGTAAGATGCCGTTATGCTACGTTGTCACAGGTATTTGTATATCATCCAATCTTGAAGACGTATACACCCGTATATGTACATATGAAAACCACAACAATAGCCTACCGTGGCTGTTGCTATTGTCGTTTCACAAGTAATCAAGTGCTACTTACCTCTCCTTTGTATTGATCATCTCCTATCGCAGTCAGCTTTGGGCCAAGAAAACATGTGGTAGCGTGTGGTCATATGGTAGTAAGAAGATGCTACACTACACTACACTACACTACACTATCGAGCGAAGCGAGATAGTGGAGCAGCACTAGCTGCCACCACTAATTGATACTATCGAGCAACACTATCGAGCGAAGCGAGATAGTGTTGTAACAAGCTACTGAGTGTTGCTCCACTAATTGACACTATCGAGCGAAGCGAGATAGTGGAGCAGCACTAGCTGTCACCACTAATTGACACTATAGTAGCTGATTTTTCATACGATAGAAGTAATGTTCTATGAAGCAGATTTATATCTGCTCAGCGAAGGAGACCAGTGTAGACCGACACTATCGAGCGAAGCGAGATAGTGTTGTAACAAGCTACTGAGTGTTGCTCCACTATCTCGCTCTGCTCGATAGTGGAGCACACTAGCTGCCACCACTAATTGACAGACTTGTAAGCTGTCAGGTCAAAGCTATCGCTATCGAGCAGAGCGAGATGGTGGAGCAACACTTTGTATCTTGTTACAACACTATCGACACTATCGAGCAGAGCGAGATGGTGGAGCAACACTCAGTAGCTTGCTACAACACTATCTCGCTCTTCTGGATAGTGTCGCTCGATAGTGGAGCAACACTTTGTATCTTGTTACAACGCTATCGACACTATCGAGCAGAGCGAGATGGTGAAGCAACACTCAGTAGCTTGTTACAACACTATCGACACTATCGAGCGAAGCGAGATAGTGGAGCAGCACTAGCTGCCACCACTAATTGATACTATCGAGCAACACTATCGAGCGAAGCGAGATAGTGTTGTAACAAGCTACTGAGTGTTGCTCCACTAATTGACACTATCGACCGACACTATCGAGCGAAGCGAGATAGTGTTGTAACAAGCTACTGAGTGTTGCTCCACTATCTCGCTCTGCTCGATAGTGGAGCACACTAGCTGCCACCACTAATTGACAGACTTGTAAGCTGTCAGGTCAAAGCTATCGCTATCGAGCAGAGCGAGATGGTGGAGCAACACTTTGTATCTTGTTACAACACTATCGACACTATCGAGCAGAGCGAGATGGTGGAGCAACACTCAGTAGCTTGTTACAGCACTATCGACACTATCGAGAAGAGCAAGATGGTGGAGCAACACTCAGTAGCTTGTTACAACACTATCTCGCTTCGCTCGATGGTGTTGGTGTTACGCGTCTTGTTTTCCATCTACAAATTCAATTTCTTTGATGAAACCATAAAAAAAAGAAATTGAACGCGTTTTTGTGCGGGTTCTGATTATACCAGAACAAAGTAATTTTCTTGATCATTCAGTTCCTTCAACTTCCATCATTTTGTTTGCAATTTTCTCATTTTGTTTTTTTTTTTCGTCTATTTTTTGGTGGTGTAGTCAATTGTGGTAATTTGTTTGCAGAAAAAGTATGAGTATATGAGTATATGAGTATAATGAGCATAAAGACAAAAGAGACTGCCACCAGTAAAGGTCAAATGAAAATTGAAAGATTCTTTGCTGATCCCAATCGAATGAACAGGATAAATTTACCAACTGTGAAAACATCAAGTTTAATACAAAGACAGAGCTCGATACTAAGCAGTACTGTAAATCACGATGATGCCGGTTTTGAAGAGGAAGAAACTAGTTTTGACACTTCGCAAGATACAAGTATGGAGGTTCTCAATTTTAAAAGTGCAAATTTGAAAAATGCATTTCTGAAGGTGAAAAGTCAAACAACGTCGTCCTCAACGTCGTTCTCAACGTCGTCGTTCTCAACGTCCTCCTCAACGTCCTCCTCAACGTCATCACTAATACCCGAGAGGTCTACTTCAACTGATCTAGATTTCTCCTTGAAAAGAACAAGTACAGATCTACTAGAAAATCTCAACGGTTCTAAACATGCTAAAAAAGTAGCCAAAGTTAATGTGCCTCCAAGGTATGCCAAACCCGCTTTAGAGCAAAGCACCAGGAATTTAAGTAAAGAACAACTCAAAGTTATCAATGCCGTAGTTCATGGTGGTAAAAATGTCTTTTATACAGGAAGTGCTGGTACAGGGAAGTCAGTTGTTCTTCAAGAGTTGGTAGATCGATTAAGAACAAGGTATAGAGATAATGTAGGCGTTACTGCACCAACCGGAATGGCTGCTTGCAATATTAATGGGCAAACTATATACAAGTTTTTGGAAATTGGGTTGGGCACGGAGAGTGTGAGTAAACTTGTTAGTCGAATCCGAAAAGTTCATTTGAGATTGAGGAAATGGCAAACATTAAAAGTATTGATTATTGATGAAATCTCTATGGTGAAAGCAGAATTGTTTGACAAGTTGGAGGAAGTTGCTAGAATAATAAGAGGCAATGATAAGCCCTTTGGAGGAATCCAAATCGTTTGCACTGGGGACTTTTTCCAACTTCCGCCAATTAGACAGAGCAACCAACAAGCAAAATTTTGCTTTCAAGCAGAGAAATGGCGTTTGGTTATAGAAGAAACATTTGTATTGCGGCAAGTTTTTAGACAAAAGGGAGATGATGAATTGATCAGTATGTTAAATGCTTTGAGAATAGGTGAATTGAGTAATGAGATAATCCAAAAATTTAAAGCTTTGAATCGTACTGTTACTTATGATGATGGCATCGAACCAACTGAACTATACCCTATCAAGGAGGAGGTAAACAGATCAAACAATAAACGCTTAAATGATCTAAAAGGTGACAAGGTGACTTTTGTTGCAGATGATTTTCCTCCAGCTAGTGAGTTTAAGAGTCAATTTGATCAACTCATGTGCGAAAGTGTTTTACATCTTAAAGAAGGTGCTCAAGTCATGAATATAAAAAACATTGATAGCGAGTTGGTTAATGGGTCTCTCGGAACAGTTTTATTTTTCGCTACACGAGGATTATTTGGCAAGATTTTGCAAACTTACGAAGAAGTTGATATTGATGATCACCAAATGATGAGTGAATTGCAATTGTTAAGAAAAAGAGTTGGTTCAACAGAAAAATGGACATCGGATGATGTGCGTATTGTTGAAAACATACCCGAAAGTCGTAAAGCCCAATTTGAGGCTCTTGAGCATTATGCCGCTCAAGAAGCTCAAAGCGAACTTCTTCCTGTTGTTAACTTTAACTTTAAAGGCAGGTATGAGGCCAAACTTGTAAGCCATCAAGAATTCCCACTTGATAGTTCACATAAGAAATTGGAAGCAGCAAAACCACATCGCAACCAAATCCCTTTAATCTTAGCCTGGGCCATGTCAATACACAAATCTCAAGGTCAAACTCTTCCAAGAGTTAAAATTGACTTGGCAAGGTCTTTTGAGAATGGTCAAGCTTATGTTGCATTATCAAGAGCAGTCAGTAGAGAAACTTTGGAAATCAAAAACTTTAGTGAGGCAAAAGTAAAAACATCAGAAGTCGTAAGAAGATATTACAACTCGATAGGTGCTTGAAATAAAGCTTTTATCACAAGTACATTGGCATCTGTTTGCATATCGAACTGAGGATATCAACAAACCAAACCTCCAAGGTTAGGTTAGGTTTTTGCAATCCTTCATTTCTGTACAAAAAATATATTTTTGTTTGGTCGTGTGAAAGGTTACAGAAAAGACATCATCTCCATTCATCTTCTTCGTGATTTAATTAACAAGAAAGGAAAGGTTATTTATAGTTACCAGGTATATCATTCATCATTTTTTTTTGTGGAAAGCTGCCGCGACTCGTGCATTGCAAGGATGAGTTATTGGCCAGAGCCCGTCAAGAGGATTTTTGATCTGTCCGATTTGAAGAATTTTGAAAAATCAATTGCTTTTCATGAGTTAAAGGAAACTTTAGACGAGATTGTGGTATTGGTGCAAGGTGTGAAACTACCACCGGGGATCTTGGATGTCGCAATTGTTACACGAGATGGTAATAGCACGGGTCAGCCACGACTACCTCCCCCGAGTGTAGTGATCCCGACATTGGACAAGAGATACAGCGATAACGTTGAACAGCTACTACATTTTTTTGTCGCTTTAAACAAAGATATAGATGAAACTCCCCCTATATCAGGTCCAGCAAGGTTTGGAAATGTGGCATTTCGAAAGTGGTATGAGAAAATGGAAAAACGTCTACCCCAATTGCTACTCAATTTAACCAGCACCAGCACCAGCACTGACACTGGCACCAGCACGAACACTGACACTAACACCAGCACTGACACTGACACTGACACTGGCACTAGCACAAATTCGGTAAATAATCAACAATTTGTAGAGGAAGCAAGTCACTACTTGGATAATTCATTTGGCTCGAAAATGAGACTAGATTATGGAACAGGGCATGAGCTTTCGTTTCTTGCATTTCTTGGAGGTTTAATGAGATACAAATTTATAGAAAACCCCACAGGGGAAGAAATTCTAGTCTTGTTCGCCAAGTATTATGATCTTGTACGGCTGCTTATATCGGTTTACAATTTGGAACCTGCGGGATCGCATGGAGTATGGGGCTTAGATGATCATTTTCATTTGATATATATTCTTGGCGCATCGCAGTTTTGTAATGATCCACTGGCACCATCTGTCAAAAGTGCGTTGAGCAAACAATTAATATGTGCATATATGGCAACTAATTTGTATATTAATGCAATTGCCTTTATTTTCAAATTGAAAAGCGGTCCGTTTTTTGAGCACAGTCCTATTATTAATGATATTCACACTAACGTGGTGCTGTGGAACAAAGTCCGACAGGGACTAATGAAGATGTATATGGTTGAGGTGTTTGGAAAATTTCCCGTTATTCAACATTTCTGGTTCGGAGAGAAATTGTATCCTTGGAGAGATGCGCGGTCAAAAAATTTGTTACCTTTTCATCAAAAGGAAGAAGAGGGCGTAGGTGGTGGTGGTGATAGCAGTAACGTACATAGTCAGAAACTACCAATGCCAATGACGGCTGCTCCTTGGGCAACTAAACAACGCAATCCACCACCACTGCGTAAGTAATGATTTCCCAGAAAGTTCACGATGCATTACAATTCAAAAAATTAAAGAAATAAAGAAAAAAAAAAGTCTTCAATTGTTTACTCTTCTTCCTCTCTGCCACCCCTATGTATATATATATACTGATCAGCTCCTGTACTTGAAATTAAAAGCTGTACGACAAAGCGGACATGTTGAATTTCCGGAGCTTTTGAACCATTTATACAAACAAGCAGCGTGGAATTTGTTATTACAAGTTTGACACGTCTTTGAAGGCAATGATAAGTCCTGATGCAAAATTGAATAGCAAATTGCACAATCTTCAAATCCCGAGAAATGGAGGTTGATGTTTTTGCAAAATAATTCAATTGCATCAACTACTGTTCCGTTAGATATGGAAATAATCTTTTGTGACGCAAGTAACCAAGCCTTCCATCTGTTTTCTTTAACTCCAACTCTCGATGGACCATCAATAATTACATTCTCCAACGGGTACAGTTGTGGAATCTTTATTACCATTTCCAATCTCTGATCATCAACAACGTACATCGTCCTAATTTCATTAGCAATCAGAATCACCTTAATAGATAAATTGTCCTCTTTACCTTGAAGTTTATCTTTTTCTTTACTGACTTGCTCTAAAATCTCCTTTCTCAAAGGTGGTGATAAATATTTTGTGGTAATCTTTTCCGCTTTCATTTGTAATTGTCGATCTCTGATTTCTCTGAACCACAACTGCACTTGAAACGCGGCGTATTGAAGACACTGGAAGTATATATACAACGCAAGCAATTTCGTTTCCCCTTCGAGATCATGAAAATTGTGAGTCTTAATAACATCATAGCTCAGTATCTCTTCCTCCGTCAAACTGTCAAAGAACTTGTTGCTCATTTCAATATGTTCAAAAATGAAATATAAAAGAGTCTGGAAGTTTTTGGTGGTAACCAATTCATTTAAGTAATTATTTCGCATCATGATGGTAACGTTCTTGAAAAAATTAGTAATCAAGAACCAACTTAGAAGGTACCTCAAAATCTCAAGCTTATCCAGGACATTGAACTCGTTTACTATTTGGATCAACTGAGGGGGCAATACAGCTTTCTTGTCCTCTTCTTTTGATAGTTGAAAATCAATTACAAAATCATTTTTTTCATTTTCAAGCACCTGAGAAAGGTAATAGGCAGATAATCTGATTCCAATCTCAGACTTGGATTTAGATAATATCTTGAAAAACTCTTCTTTTTGGGCATTCAATTCCCCATTGGAAAACCGCAGCTGAAGCATGGTTCTTTCAAGGATCCGCTCAACCATAATACAAGCTTGCGTGTTGGTGTACTCGTACTGTGTAAATATTTCTAATAATTTTTGATTTTGATTTTCCAAGTCCACATTAGTTTTTTTCAAAAGGGCCGAATAACTTTTCAAAGTATAAAATTTGAGATCTATTCTATCTGCTGCCATTTCAAAATTTTCTTCAATTAATCGGTTGACCAACTCGTTGTAGACATCAGGCAATTGTGATTGCTTGGATGGTAGCAAGCTGAGGAATCTAACCGCTTGGATTCTCAAGTCTATAAATTCAGAGTCATACGCTATTGATGAATCTAGCCAGTTTTGAATTTGGTTCAAGACCATTGTCAATTTCACTATAGGGAATAGTCCAGTATCTGTATTGGTCTCAGTCTCAGTATCAAAATCAAGAAATGGTATGAGCATGGTGATCCATTTTAGCCCGCTTGAAAGAATATCTTCTTCCTTCTTGACTGCCAAAATCTCTGAGAAGATGTAGTTCCTGATACGGTCAAGTGATGGCGATGCACAAAACTTGCTTATCCCAGTAACAAATGCAACAAATTTGAGGGGAGTTTTGGAAAGCTGTTGAAAGTTTATTTTCAAGGACTCAAATTGCAGCTGTGAAGCAGATTCGCATGCTACCTCAATTGACTTAGCCAAGCTGCGTGCAGCAAAAAAGGCATATAAATCATTGCCTTTGGTGAGCTCTACTATTGGGTCATTTTGCTCTTCTTTGGTCATCGAAACTATAATCGTGTCTATGGAAAATGAGATCGATGGTTTCTTTGCCAAAATGTCAAACAAGATAATCTCCTCCAGCGGATCTACAAACTGGGCAATCATAAAGTCTGAAACATACTCACAAGCTATTACGGACAACGCTTGCCAGTTTGGCTCTTCTTTGTTCAATAAGACAAGAAACTTGGCCAAAATCAAAACTTTTGGATCAAATGAGTCTTGTTTGTAGTCACAGATGTACATGGACAGCGCCAATGAGTTAGAAATGGCAATCTCAAAGGGGGATAAGTTATTGATACTCGTTCTGATAGTGGTAACAAGTGCCTCATAAGGGAGTTTTCCATCCCTAACAAATATCACAAGGTCATCAAGAGATGATTCCAAAGTACATGAAAGTAAATACTGAAGCATTGAATCAAGATAGATTTTCTCATACGATTTCAAAGCCTCCAAAAATGACTTCAGACCATTAACATTGCTCCAAGCCAGTTGTATCACATCTTCAATTCCCAAATCTATAACAAGATCAAGCTTATTCAATTTGGAAACACAGTCGATGAACATTCCAAAAGACAGTGGGTCGAGATTTTTTATCAATTTCAATAAAATCGTTTTGTCACCTGCTTGCAAAAACTTCTCAATATCTTCTGCATGCACATTTCCCGTAAACTTCTCATTCATATAAGTGTAGATTTCCGGGTACAAAGACTCATCAATATCAATATTCATACCCCGTATAAAATCATCTCTAAAATTGGGCCCATTCAATTCAAGCTTGGCAAAGGATTCATTAATAATATCAGCCAAGTCATTCTCTTCCAAAATCTCCTTGGTTTTGACCATTTGCAATAATTGTATAGAGCGCTCAGTCATGTCTTGTTCAGCAATAATGTTTGGTAACCTGAATATAAATTGTTCAACTTTAGATGTCAAAGCATTTTCACGGTCAATGTATGCGCTAACAAAATGGACAGGTACTGACGCACCAACGCGTTGATTTTCGTACTCACTGATACTAAAGTCAACAAGACTATTCAAGTTATCCCGCAAGCCGAGAGATTGTAAAATTTCAAAATATCCATCAATAAACTTTGCGCTGTTGTTGTGTAGAGGAGATGAAATATCACCTTTGATCATCTCATCAATTTCACTAAACACATCTTTGAATTCTATCATACTCTGATTGTCGATAAGCTGTTTCTTGATTTCTTCCCTGATTGTTTGCAACCTAGTCTTTGCAAAAGCTGTTAATGCCTTTTTAACAATGTCCACCAAAAATGGCATCCTATCTACATCAAACAATTGAACGATTTTAAAAGATGCTCCTAAGCAAGAAGGTTTGAAACTATCCCGAAGTCGCTCAAACTGGTTCACAAGGCTCTTTGTGCAAATTTCACACTCCAGTAAGTTACTGAAATCAAGAACTGATAATCTGCAGTTCTTGATCTCCGTCATCAAACTTGCAACCAAATTGAAATAAGCAGGCGCCAGATCACAAGCTCCAAGTTCAAGATAGTCATGAAATCTAGCTAAGCTTTTACCACCACCCATATCCCAAATATTTTTTTTTAGATCATGTTGAAAGCCAAATCGCGTAAGTTGAAGGAGTACTTGCCAAAAAGGGATGATCACAGACGAGTATATTACCGGTTGCACGTTTTTATTGAATTTGACTTTGAGTACCGTCTTGGATACTATCTTATACAACGACTTAACGTCCAACTCGGTGTTTGCTGAAGTTTTTGATTTTGAAAACAACAGCAATATTAGAGCCAATATTGCTGTGAATAATGATAAATTCATTGTCTCTCCCTTGATGCTTGAAATTAATCTGCTCCATATCGTTTCCGCTTGTAAAATGGTATTCACCGCTGCCAGCGGGTTAAGATCCATTACTTTCAAAAGCAAAGATATGCTCGCGCACAATACCCTATCATATTTGATTTGCATCTCGGACTCACTAGTGTATCTCGCATCAGCCAAGGTTTCAGTTGTTTCAATAGTTACCACTGTTCCCACCAAGTTCACTATTTGTTCTTGGAAAATCTCAAATGTCTTGTCAACTTTAGTTGCGTCGCCTTGAAAATTCTCCAACAAGGAGCCATAGGCAACCGCCGCAACACTCTTGTCTTGATCATTTGCTCCCATTAACCATATGGGAATACTACTTTTCAAATATTTGCCATACCTCTTCCCACCGAGATACTTCAATAAGGCGCCCTGGATCTGATGTGCCAAGGAACGTACACTTTTGGAGTTGTCAATGGCAATCTTGGGGTACAATTTGGTCCAACATACAACTGCTTTCTCGTCAACTTCACCTTCTTCTTTTATATACAATAGCAAGTCATTCAATGCCTTCTCTTTAGTCTTGGGATCTTTCTTGCTTAATAGTTTGAAAATCACCGCTAGTTCTGCATTGGAAATGCTCGTAGCATCAGGTTGGTAAGTGAAATAGTTAAGCGACAGCTCTTGCCCATTATACCCTAAATTCCCCGTAAATTCTACCTCATTCCCTGACATAGCAAGCAAGTATAAAGTCAAATGAAAAGCTTTTGATTCAAGGTCTTCCTTATATTGCCCTTTTATTATTTGGTGATAATTTTTTTTTCTCTCTCCCGCTCTTTTCCGCCCAAGAAATGGCGCGCCCAGCTCACACGATGGGCTTTAAAAATTAAAGGTCTATAAAGGGATTGTCTTGTACATCTTTTCGTAGATTTGGCTTAAAAAACAGATCTAGTTTTTGTTGACCAGGGAGGATTTCATGAAGTTTTTTGGGTGAGCCTTTTGGTGAGTTTTTTGGTGAGTTTTTTGGTGAGTTTTTTGGTGAGTTTTTTGGTGAGCCTTTTGGTGAGGTTCTGGGAGATCTCTTGTCAAAAGGTATTTGCAATATTGGGATAGCTTTCAATTGTTGGGCCCATTTAATGGGCATTGGATGTAGGTCCGTAGTGGTAGTAGTAGCTTTGTACCTTCTTGTAGGGGAATGCTCCAACATGTCCAAAGTGGTTTTTTGCAGAGACGTTTTGTGTCTTTTGCATGACTCCTCTTCTTTCTTCCTAAAGTAATCGGCTAATAACAGTGGGAAAAATAGTTGAGCTAGAGACTTTGGAACCCATAAAACGTTCAATTCGCTCTCCATTTTTCCAGGGGATGATAGTTTTCTTCTAGCTTCAACTGAATCGGGAAATCTCTCACAAATTTCACAAACGTTAAATTTGAGCATTATCTTTTCAACTTCATCCTCGAGCTTATGATTGGTGATTCTAATGGACGGGTCTTTAGACAATAGTTTAAAGACAATGTATCTGATTTGCCAGTTATACGTATCTGGCACAAATAACTCAGTTTGACTTATACCACACAAACAACTATTTTCAGCTAATCCAAGATCGCTGATTTCGCTTGATCGATAAATATCTTCATTTATAGTGATATTTAAAGAAGTATCCGTTGTGAGCTCACCTGAGCTCAAGGTGTACGGCAAGAATATCGGTAATCTAGATTCAACAAATGGGAACAAGTACAACAACGTACAATACTCATCAAATTTGATCTCCTCTTTGATGGCAACACTTCTGCCAAATATATCTCGATTTGACCCACTCAAGTACAAGTTTAATCTCGTTGAAAAGCTCTCTAGTTCCTGTTTTCGTTTGTTTTGATCCTTTCTGGCATCCCACGGTCGTAAAAGCACCTCTTGCGAACACACAAAACAATCAATAAACTCCTGGGCAAAGTCTGGAGGCGGCCTCAAATTCTTTGATGCATTTTTTTTCTCTTCTTTCAACTCCTGCTTGGTTCTTTGACGATGATAGTACATTGCATGTCTTGTACCACTTAACGCCAAATTTTTCGCATTGGTGATACCCATTTTCAGTACACCCGATGAATAATCGCCCCCTCTCATTGATGCCAAAAATACCAACCTATTCGTAGTCAACCCGGTGATTGCTTCAACTTGGCTCATGTCGACGGGAGTCACATAATATTTTTGCTTCAAAGTTGCCTGTTTCTTTGTAGGCGATGCACCTACATCCTCAACAAACCTACTAAAATTGCGCAAGACTTTTGTAGCTCCAAAAATTAACGTATCCACATCGTTTGAAATAACAAAGTCAACAATTCCTAACCGCTGAATATAAGCGCACTGTGCCTCTGCCTCGCCTGCAGCTTGGAAATACTCAATCTTGTTCAATTTCAACACTTTTTTCAACTCCTCGACAAATGAGTTATTCTCCGAGAAATTGAAATGCCGTTGAAATCGACTCAATGCCTTCTCGTAATCCATTCCCTTGGGAGCAGTATTTCCCGACTTGTCTGGTTTCAATATCCCGTCAAATACAACTATTACAGATATATTCAACCCAATCAAAGCAAGTATTTTCGACATGAAATTTTGAATCATTATTGATCTTTTATCTTCAACGACAATTGAACTGTGGTGTGATTGAAACACAAACATGTAAGCATCAACAGCAACTCGAAGTGTACGATTGAACCTTCGAACATATTGGTCAACTAGCCGATCAAGAGGAATTCTTTTACCAAATGCTGGTCTTAACACATCCCATAACTCAGGAACCCCCATTTCCCCCCTTGGACTAACTCTGTATTCTGATACTCTTCTCTCCAAAATAGTTTGAACGCGGAAATGGTGTACCAATTTGGAAAAAAGAAAACATGAAAAAATTTACAAGCAAATCCGAACATTGTGCCATCATCTTCATTGAAATCTGGTAAACCATAAAGTATATGAATGATGCTACTATTTGGCAATTTACAACAACACATGGGTTTGATATGATATTGTTTCCATCCAGAAATAGTCAATTTTCATTATCTTCTTTATTAAGAGGAAAATTGGCACGGCAAGCCTAGAATTCTTTCTTAAGGGGTATTTTTTGACATCCCCTTTTCTTCTAGCGAGCAAAGTGAAAAGAGTCTAGCTCGTTAGAGAAGAAGGAAGAAAAGAGTCTAGCTCACTAAAGAAGAAGGAAGCAAAGAGTCTAGCTCACTAAAGAAGAAGGAAGCAAAGAGTCTAGCTCACTAAAGAAGAAGGAAGCAAAGAGTCTAGCTCACTAAAGAAGAAGGAAGCAAAGAGTCTAGCTCACTAAAGAAGAAGGAAGCAAAGAGTCTAGCTCACTAAAGAAGAAGGACGAAAAGAGTCTCTAGCTTCTGCAAAACATTTGTTAAAGAAAAGGGTAATATTGTTTCTCTAAAATATATCCATGCTAGAAAAGTGATGCAAATTTTTTACCATTCAAAGTTCTTATATTAAATATACATAACAAGATTATAAAGTTGGACCAGCATTTTTCACCTCTTCTGTAGCTTCATCTGTGTACTTTTTAAAGTTTTCTATAAACTTCTGAGCAAGAAGAAGCACTTCCTTCTTATCAACACTTGGTGTCAAAATTTCATCAGGTACTCCAGGACAAGTTTTAGGTATCTTCAACAGGAAAGTTTCAAATGTACCATATTCAGCCTTCTCCAACTCTCCACTGAAAATGGCAGCTAATATAGCTCTGGTGTACTTAAGAGGACATCTCTTACCACCACTCTTAACGGATGCACCAACCCATCCAGTGTTTAAAAGCCATGCATTAGCCTTGTGTTCTGTAATCTTTTGAGACAATTGCTTAGCATACTTCATTGGGTGCAATACTAAAAATGGTTGTCCGAAACAAGCACTAAAGACAGCTTCCGGCTCAGTAACACCTTCTTCTGTACCAGCCATTTTACTTGTGTAACCGGAAATAAAGTGGTACATCACTTGTTCATTTGTCAATTTAGACACTGGAGGTAAAACACCTGAAGCATCACATGTCAACAAGATAATATTCTTAGGATGAGAATCAGCTAAACATGGAATCTGGGCAGATGGAATAAAGTCGATTGGGTAAGCACATCTGGTATTTTCTGTAATAGACGAGTCTTCGTAATCAACAACTTTAGTAAGTGGGTTATAAACAACATTCTCCAAAATAGAGCCAAACTTGATTGCATTGAAAATTTCTGGCTCCTTTTCTGCTGACAAGTCCAAACATTTGGCATAACAACCACCTTCAATGTTGAAAACACCGTTATCACTCCAACAGTGTTCATCATCACCAATAAGCTTTCTATTTGGGTCGGCAGATAAAGTTGTTTTACCGGTACCTGAAAGACCAAAGAACAAGGCAATATCTCCCTTTTCGACACCTTGGTTACATGACGAATGTAAAGTCAAAACCTTGTGTTTAATTGGCATCAAGTAGAACATAACGGTGAAAATACCCTTCTTCATTTCACCAGCATATTCTGTACCCAATATAACCATTTCCATATCTTTGAAATTGATTTCAACCGAGGTTGATGAAGTCATACCTTTAGTGTGAACATTTGCTGGGAACTGACCAGCATTGTAAATTGTAAAATCTGGTTCGCCAAAATTTTCCAACTCCTCCTTTGTTGGTCTAATCAACATATTGGTCATAAACAATGCATGATAAGCTCTTGCACAAATAATACGCACCTTGATTCTATATCTTGGATCCCAGCCAGCAAAAGCATCAACAACAAACAATTTTTCTCTAGTTCTCAAATAGTCCAAGGCTCTTGATCTTGAAATCTTCCAAGTTAACTCGTCAACTTGTTTATTAACTGGACCCCACCAAATATTCCGAGACGAGGTTTCCTCTTCAACAATTCTCTTGTCGCTTGGGGATCTACCAGTCTTTTTACCAGAATAAGCCATCAAGGCACCGGTTGAGGAAATTGTGGTACCTTTTTCCAACAAACCGTCTTCGTACAAAGTTGGTGGTGGAGCATTGTGTCTGATAATAGTGTCTGGGATCAAATTCAATTTCTTAACCAAAGGATCTGGCGAGCTTTTTATTGAAGGGTGACCTTCAAAATTGATGGTAGACTCAACAGCAGCTGGTGGTGGTGACATTACAAATAACTGGAATATATATATATAGATAGATTGGCTTGACAAACAAAAAAGTATCAACCAAAGGAATAGATAGCAACTTGTTCCAAAAATTGTTTTTCAATAAAGGAGATATTCACGGATATTTATATTCGTATATTGGCCAATATATATTACCCATATATAGGGCGGAATGGAAATTCCACAATAATGTAATGTCGAAAACTAAAGAGGTTAAGAAATTTGAAATATTATTAATCCTTTAGTCCTTTCATCCATCCGGTCCAATAATATTGGAATCTTATGCGAGAATGAAGTTTGGGATAAAGTTAGATTTTTGTATGGCATATGAAATAGTCATAGTCAAGAAACATTAAAAAAGCCTACTTTAACTTACAGATTTAGCTAATGGTAGCCTTTACATAAGAGGTTACTTTTACTTACACTGGACAGCACACATCCAAGCAAGTTATTTGTGCTGTCGATTTTGGCTAGATTATCATTCAGCTCGACTAGCCTCGTTTTGTGAATAAGTGACAAGAAGGAATTTTGTGGTGTGACTTTTTTTTTTTGGAGATTCCTCTTTATCACCTAATGCTTGTAAAGAAAGGCAGAGATTTATTCACTGGGAAAAGCGTTATAATGTCGAGACCCGCTAAAGCCATCGCCACCAACACGACCAACCAACCCCATTTCGCTCCTGTCTTTTGATGTAGAGCTTTGTAGGTTTCCTTTAGACGTAGAACTTTGCAAGTTTCGTTGGCTCTTGGCTCCCTCCATATGTCAAAATACGACCCATCGGAAATGTAAAAAAAAAAAATTCAAAATTAACGCTGAATTCTGAAATATGGGGTAAAGAATAAAGAAGAAAAAAAAAAAAAAAAAAAAAAAAAAAAAAAAAAAAAAAAAAAAAACATAATGATGCACGTTACCCGACATTCTCCATGGTCCCGGGAGATCGCTAAAACTAGTACTCAACAACCGAGCAAAAAAACGAAAAATCTTGAAAGGTAAAACAATCCTTCTACCAAAGCCTGATTGACTTTACCTGGTGTGAAAAATTTTTCAGACTTCGGAATGATAAAAAGTAAATATACTTCCCCATAATATTCTCTCCGGCCCCTTTTAATATTAGACCTGCAGTAACGCCATTGCCTCAGCCTCAGCCTCAACTGAAAAATTACATATTCTAGTACAAATCAAGATTATAGCAATTTTTAGGATGAACTGTTACGAGGTTTTCCGAAACTTTATTGACTAGTTTTAGAACAAGTTTTCCCCGCTTTCTTCCAATTCCATTTAATCCCGGGACAAATGTCATACTCAAAAAGTCGTGCATAGTTAGGGGGTATACATTTTTCTGTCCTGCATTAAAACACCGCTGACACTCCGCTTACACCGCTCACACCGCTCACACCTCTCACACACCGCTCACACCGCTCACACACCGCTCACATTTTCTTTTTTTTCAGGAAACCCCCTCTCTTAACAGGAAAATGCCGTTTTTTCAACATCTTTATAATAGTAAATGACTCTTTCTCCTAAATTCAACCAGACGTGTCACTGCTCCACTATCGAGCAGAGCGAGAGATAGTGTCGCGCAGTATGTTACAAAATGATTCAGCATCTTACATGATTCAGCAACTTACAAAATGATTCAATAAGTGAATCCTTATTCTCTAGTTAATTATTGGATAATTCTTGAAATTGCAGGAGTTCCCAAAATTAATGTATACAAAGATCCTGTATCGGATTTTGTATTAGTGCCATTTTTAGGACCTACTCCACTAGGGAGCGAAGCGAGCTAGAGGAGCAGTATGTAGTATCGCGATACTTTGCTCCCTAGTGTCGTGACACTACATACTCCTCTAGCTCGCTCTGCTTCCTGGTGTCGTGACACTACATACTCCTCTAGCTCGCTTCGCTCCCTAGTGTGACACTACATACTCCTCTAGCTCGCTTCGCTCCCTAGTGTGACACCACATACTCCTCTAGCTCGCTTCGCTCCCTAGTGTGGGGCTAACATAAATGATACATGTACAGATATATAGATACACATTACAAGTCTATAGACTTCCCCACCCTCCGATCATAATAATCATAGTAACTTTTCCAAACCCTGAACCCAATATCCTCTAAACTTTTTACAGTCTTATCATCCTTGACATTAACCATAAGACATTGATTTATAGCTACTTCACTATTGAAACTTTTCAAAAACGTTATGGCACTGCATATTAACCCATATTTGAAAATATCTAAAAGATTGGCATACAGGGGATCAATCACGGGAGCTACAATTCCACCTATTAATGGTTCATCGAAATCAGATGTAATACACTGATCGATAAATGGAAAATATTTGGATAGTTTGGATTTGTTGGTGAACAAGATAATACTGCCAATAACACTTTGTGTATTTGGTTCAAGCGCAATAATAATTTTAACTTCATTCGATGTTTTAAATTGTACTGTTTTCAACGCATGGTTATAATATTTTTTTAGTCCAGAAGAACAACTGTCAATAAGACTGCTCAATTGTTCTGGGTTGTTGCAAATATCAAATCTCACGCCAACAATCATCAACTCTTTGAGGATCCGTGAAGGAACCTGCCAGCCATCAAGACTATTCAAAATCATAATATGCTTCTTGCAAGATCTATTATCTTCCCAACCAACCCTCTTAAAGAATAATCCACTTTTGAGACTTTTATTTCCGGGAAACATCAATAATGGGAAAGAGCAACCTAAACGTATCTCCTGACAATTCTTTTCTCTCGTTAAATAACGCATTGCTCGTGCGTTCAAATTCTTGCCTATGCTTTGCATTCTTTTGGTTTTTTCCACAATTAGATATACAATGTATCCTGTGGTTCCCTCGCACCAGGTCAAAACCGTTCCGTACAAGATATTCAACGAGGAATTTCGCACTACAAAGTGCTTTTGATTGGAAGTGGCTAATAATCCATGTAATCGTTTGTAAAATTTATCATCTTGATAATCAATCTTGTCATTGTCATCGTCCTCTATATCATCTTTCCATAACTTGACTAGACTAGTAAAATCTCGATTGATGTCAAACTCGTCTACCAACCACTTTCGCTTGATATGTTTGGAGCTTTCAATTTCGCTTGGCCTTCGTTTTGTAGGAGCCCTATTCTCTCCCGGAATACATCCTTCGGCTTCAAAATCGCCCATTAGAAGTCCTGCAACTTTGCTCAATGCATCATTAGTGTAGTCATAACAACAAATATAAGTACTTCCAATCTTTTTGTCGTAAAAGAAGTCATATGGAGACAGTGTAGCAATAATTACCAACGGCTTCTTTGGAGTATCACTCTCTGTATTGGATGCAGATGAAGATGGATTGATGCCACATAAAACTGACACATACTTTACTATCCCTATCTGATACATATTTCTGGAAGCTTCACTGGTGAATACAATTACCAATTTTGCCTGCTCAATCAATTGTTCGTGAAGCTTGGTCAATCCGTTTGCCGTGTAAGTTGTATGGAGTACCACAAAAGACTTGTCTTTGTTAAAAGGATGATTGGACAACTGCTCTCCAAATGACTGGAAAACTTCCTCTCCTGCAAACAATGGTCTTGTAGTCGATAGCTTCCGCTTGATGTCAATGGGACTTAACAAGGGACTCAACACTACTATGGATTCTACTTTGGTGCCTTTGAAATGTTTTGAAATCGGTAGCACTTTGTTAAAATCTCTAGCAAGTGTAATCGACTTTTGATAGGCAAGTGATGCTATTTCCTGATGCTTTTTCCATGCCTCGGGGAACTCATTTTTGAACAACACTGGATCCTGTTTTGCTGATGTAGCACCATGGGGAAAAATTTCGTCCCACTTGGGTAATCTCTTTTGTAAGTTCTCGATCCGTTGACAACTAGCCAAAACAGTCTCCTCTTCCAAGTTCCCATTTGCTATCCCCTTTTTAATGGAGTCTATTGCCTCATTCTGCAACCTCAAATCGTGGCACACCATAACCAAGTCACAGCCTGCATTTATCGCCAAGATAACGCCCTGGCCTAATCCAATTGAATGGTACAATGCCTCCATCTCCAAACACTCACTAATTACAAACCCGTTAAATTTCAAATCTCGCCTTAACAATTGGTTTATTATTAATGGCGATAAACAGGCATGAGTCTCATCAGGACACACATTAGGCACACCGCAACCAGCTGCGCTTATTCCATCCAACAAGCCTTCTTCAATTAAGTAGGCAAATGGTACAGCATTAAACAGCTTTATTTGAGCCAAGGAGTCACCAATCATGGGCAACTCCAACAACGAGTCCACGGTAGCATTCCCTATCCCCGGAAAATGCTTCCCAACAGTAAATAAACCACCATCTCTCAATCCAGATGCGCACATCAACCCGTACGTTTTCACATCCTCCAAAGTTGGACCAAAACTTCTCACGCCAATTAACTGATGCGAAAGCTTTGTAACCACGTCCAAAACGGGGCCTAGGATAATCGAAAACCCAATTTTTTTCAATTCTATCGCAATAGCCTTTGATATTTCATATACTAGCTGAGGATCACCCGTTGAAGCTAGTGCCATAGCACTAGGAAACTGTGTTAGAAACTCGGGATCAAACAACGAGTTCATGACACCACCTTCCTCGTCAATAGCAAACATTATGGGGTACTTGTATTTACCTTGCGTAAATGCAATATATTGTAGATCATTAATCAATTTCGACATTTGCTCAACATTAACGGCATTTTTCCTCGATAAAATCATAGAGGAAACATGTTGTTCCACTATCAAATGATATGCTTGAGAAGTTACTTTTGTTCCTTGAAATCCCCCGCATAGTAGTTGTCCAGCCTGTATTTCCATTTGGTTCTAATGTTGATGGCTATTGTTCTTTGCAAGTGTAACACAGAAAAAAAAAAAAAAAATGGAAGAGAAAAAAAAATAAATAAAAAAAAAAAAGGGCAGAGAGATCAATCGGTGCAGGGATCATAAACTAGTCGTTCATGGGACGGACTTGTTGTTCTTGTGTCAAGGAAGAGGTAGTGTGCTACGAAGGAGAAACTACGAGTAGTGGTGAACTTACACCAATTGGAGGAAAATTACTTGGTAGTGTAATTTCATAGTCTAGTATGTCAGAGCTCACATAAGAAGCAAGCAGAAATCTAACCCGTGTGTTGTTGTTGTTGTTTATAGTTGTAACCCATTTAACTATCTATCTAGAAGCCTGCTTATATCAAAAAAAACCAATTTTGATTGAAACAATAGGAACGAAAAAACGTAAAAAACGAAAAAACTATCTTAAATTTTAGTTACCTCCCTTGAAAGCTAAAATGTATAACTATTTTTTCTCCTTTTTCTGTTAAGCTTCGAGGAGGAGGGGGGGAGTTTAATCATGTGAGAATTACAGAGGAGTTGGATCATCAAGAAGCTTTTTTTAGAGTTTTGATTCTGATAAATATTGCACGTTTGAGCCCTCAATAGGATGAAAGATTGAGCTCAATAGGATGAAAGATTGAGCTCAATAGGAGGAAAAATTGAGCTAATAGGAGGAAAAATTGAGCTCAATAGGAGGAAAACTTTGGGATAGTTTTTAGTGGGAAAAGGCTAGTAGTGGAAAGATGTTTAGAGAATGAGTCTTTTATCTACGATTGAAAAACGGGTCTTGAGCGATATTAGATGTTGAAGCTTATGAGATTGATCAGATAAGTTGAACAAGGATATTATGTAATCGGATTATTCTTTGCACACCTAACATTGAGCAAAATCGAGCAAAATCTGGGGTACGAGAATCGACACTAGCGACACCGACACTATCGACACTATCGAGCAGAGCGAGATAGTGGAGCACACTGACTGTAACCGACACTATCGACACTATCGACACCGACACTATCGACAC